AAAGAGTCACATACTGTATTTATAAGGAACAATTCACCCTAAAATATCATTCTGTCTTCATATAATGTTCCCGCCGCAAAATCACACATGACGTGAGCTGACCTTGAGCTGTTACTACAGAGGGCGGACTTTGATAGACGTGCGCGTATGGCAAGCCGTTTTAGCATTTAAACCTTTGTTCTGACTATCCATAAATATATTTAGAGATATCTCTAATTATATTTTGACTAGTCATAATTATAATTCGACTAGTCAGAATGACAATTAAAGATATCTGCAATTACAATTGTACTAGTACGAAATCAGATTGGAGATATCTGCAAATATATTATGACTAGTCATATTCCTCCATTGACTTCCATTGAAAAATACTTGCAGATATCTCTAAACGAGTTTTGACTAGTCACAATTGTAATTACAGATATCTCTAAATGAATTTAATTAAATATGAATTAAATACCTGGAAATGTGGATTTTTTTTTGCACACACAAAAAACGCAAGTGACCAAGCAAAGCCTTAAGCTCTTACTGTTAAATTCAATTGAATAGAAAGCTTATTTTTTTGCACCTTTACTTAAATTGTTCCTTAATTTTGTCTCTGTAATTTCAATAATATTTAAAAAGTTTTAAATTGTTTTATTTTCCAGAGACAGGCCTGTTTAATTTATTTTCTTAAAGAAGGTTCAGTTCAACAAGTTGAAACAAAAGAAATACATAAAAAATAGTTTACTTGGTCAAATTTGCATTTCAGTTTAATTTTCAATTTTTATTCAAAATATCGTGATACATATCGAATCGTGAACATTATATTGTGATACACATCGTATCGTGAGCTGAGTGTATCGTTACACCCCTACTATTTGCATCATAAATAATGTTTCGAGCAGCTTTAAATGAATATAACCATGCAGTCAACCTTTTAAGCATTTAAATGCCGTTAAACATTTAAAGGCTTCTGTTTGTTAGCATTAAGATAAACATTAGAAAACTAAATTAATAATAAATTAAATGATTAATAAATAAAAAGTGTCAGTATGTGGTGACCACCGACACAGTAAGCAATGCTAACAGACTTTAAAACCCATATAACACATAGATGCAATCTTAAGAGGTCACAGCAAATGCACAACACCAGGTATAAACAGTGTCTAACACCCCATGATTTCCTCTCTCCTAATTTATCCAGGAGACCCAGGGCTACTATCATTTGTGGATTGGGCACCTTCACAAAGTCAACATGAAGAGCGCACACAAAACACTCAAGCAAACGAAGTCAAAGGTGTGCGTAGGCCCGAGAGCAAGAGTGCATGTGTGTGTGTGTGTGTGTGTGTGAGCATTTGTAAGCAGGAGGCAGAAGCTCTGATGACTCATTCGTCTCATCTGGTTAGTTCTGTGTGTGCGTTTCGAGAGCGTTTGAGCGGGCGTTAGCCGTTAGCATGAGCGCAAACATGTGAGGTTCTGACTCCAACACCTCACTACAGAAACACAAGCGCTCTCACTGAGCCTACACAAGTCAAAGCTGCCAATAGTGATCGTGATAGGACAGAAAGAACCGCTCTTCTCTAGTTAAACACAGAGTGCCTGTCACAAAATGTGGAAGCAGCTCTAATTAAACTGTGTTTTCCAGCCAGGGGGAGGATACAGCTGTTCCCCTCTGGCATACCAAGCACGTTCTCTTATGCAATGTTAGTACACTAGTATTTAAAACACAGTGAGGATGCAGGCAAAGGATGTGTGTTGCTTTAAGGGGAAAAAAAGAAAAAGAGAAGGAAAAAAAAAAGCTATTAAAGCTGGTCACGATTTTGACACTTTGAAAAGATGTGTACTTTGTGAACATATAAAAGCTTGTGACCTTCAAGTGCTAGGCTTTCACTGTAAAATGATTACTGTAAATTAATAGTTCTGAATTTAAAGCCCGACTCTGTGAGCCTTACAGCCGTAACAGCTTAAAGGTGCCATAAAATGGAAATCTGAATATACCTAGGCATAGCCTCATTGTTTTCTCATTTTCATAAATTCTGTGACTGAAAAATCCAAGTGAAAAACGAGCCAATCAAGAGGCACAAGGTGTTAAATGTATCTTTTGTTAGCTTAACGTGTATATTGTGAAATTTGTTGTAACACATTGTAATTAGTGGTGTAACACATCACAAATCTCACAGTTCGGATCACATTATGTTTTTTTAGTCACGGATCGGACCATTTTAAAGATCAACCAAAAAGGGGGAGACACAAATGTAATTTGCTTTCCATTCTTTACAAAAACAGTACTGCAAGAAACTTTTGGTTTTAACAAACAAATAACTTGTAATTTTATTAAAAATAAAATGAACTAACCAGCTGAATAAAAAAATTTGTTCAATATTCAGTACTGTGAAACATTCTGTTACTAACACTGTTGCTGATAACAGTAAACATATAAATCTAACATTAAAATTTGTACAACCCATATTTATTTTTAGTCTCATTTTCAAGAAATGATTTAGTTATTCACTCATAAAACTCATTGCTAGATGTGTCATTTTTGAAGAATTATTCAGTGGTATATTTTTGATGGCTGGTTGTCCCAAATACTGGTTAAATAAAGTAATTTGCTGCCTACAACTTTCATTTTTGAGTGCAAGTTAAATGCATATCATGATGATTTGAATCTTTACCATAAACATCACTGGTTATATCTTAACTATAAACTGTTATCCCAATACTTCTGTGTTGTTTGACTGTTTGTAACTTCATAACCAACTCAGACTAAAGACTGAATCTCTCGATTCGAACGCAGCGATTCAAAGGGTTAATATACATCAGCAAATCACCATCATCTATAATGAATGTTGCGTGGGTGTTGAGATCCTGATCTTTTAAATGATTAAAAGTGCAGCTTACACTAAATGCATTGATGCAGGCTAAACAAGTAGTGACAGAAAACACCTTTAATAACCTAAGAAACCCAGCACATCCTGAATAAACTACCACAACTTCTTCCATCATCTTTATATTTTACAGGAAAGCCTAAATGCTTTCATACATGTGATTTGAATGATGCAAGTGTCAATCTCTCTGCGATTATTAAAAATTTAGGATAAATCTACGAGTAAAAAAAATAAAAATAAAATAAATATGTATCAGCCTAATCCGCGGGTCACATGTGATCAGTTACACCCCTAATGTAATTAATGTAATGACGCAACAAACACTTGTAAACTGCTGAAGTGTTTAAGTGTCATATCACTTAATTCTTAAGGTGGTTAAGCTTTTTAGAACTGTAAACATAATTTTCAATTAGTGTAGCGCACATCAGCACCACAATTTGACATCTGTTTGTGTGGCTTTGCAACGTACAGAAAACAAAGACAGGGCCTGTTTTCATTTATTTCATTAAAACCACAAAATACCACTCTAAATACATCTTTATCGGCTCCTTTTGACGAGTATAATTACATTTTAGCATTTATTTAGTTAAAAACACAACTCAGAAGCAAAATAGGTTATGTTGACAGCATACACCCAAAAAAATTATGTTTGAGGTTTGTTCAGACTACTTAGTGAAGTTTAAAAACTAATTTCGAGAGGAGCATGTGATAATAATGATCATGGCTGGTCTCTAAACCATAATCAGCATAATCCAATCAAATCGATCCAAGCTTACAATAAATAGACCGATTTCACCTTACTGCCTTATCTTTGTTTTGGAAGAATCCCCCTTCTACCCTATCTCCTCCTTTTCCTCCTTTTACCAGGGGGAGCTCTCGAGACCTACCTGATCTCGGACTAGATTAAGTGTGAATTCTTGAATTTAAAATAAACTGAATCACAGTTCTTGACTTTTTATCAAAATATATAATTTTGATTAATATACTTAAATTGGTAACAAATAATAAGTTAACTTAATTCCTTCATGTTGTCCCAAAACAAATTGATTGTTTGGAACAAAGCTTTTTTTTTTTTTTTTTTACAGTGTAAGGCTCAAATATAATGTAAAATAAATATAGCTCACTCACTCCTTCTAGCTAAAATAAACCTCTCCACCACTTCAGTCGAAAAGATTGTCATTTAACAGGGAAACTGATGTATGATTTTGCCGATTTATATTCTGATCCTTCCAAATATGGTCAAAACAAAACCTATCATACCATATCAGAATTCGGGATTCAGCATACCTTCTAGTTATATATCAGAGAAGAGTTAAACATTGTATCAGTGTATTCTCTGGCACCTTTAAAATATGGCTCATAACAATTTTAAAGATTTTAAAGACAGAACCATGTTACAATTATTATTGTAACTATTATTAATAAACCAGTGTAATTTAATTATTCTGCATATTACCAATCAGCAAATCACATTGCATTGATTTTATGGTTATACTACATAATTCAGCCCTCCTAAGAATCATGTAATTACGTAATTCTGCCTAAAAGAAATCATAGCTCCTTAATAAAATAAAAGGTTACAAAATGCTTCTAAACTACCTGATATAATTAGCTGTAATACTCGGTTGTTTGCCTCTGATTTTAAGAAGATTATACTAAACTAGTAAGCCTGTTCTTATACATCTTGTACGTACATTGTCTCCTCGTCGATATCATTCTCCTCTGTATTGCTGGTGGCTGTGGAGCTTCCAGAAGTGCTGCTACCATCCAGAGGATTGACATCTTCGTCTCCAGTTAGACAGTCCACCTCCAGATCGCCATCAGACAACTCCTAACATTACAACAACATCATATCAAACTCATGTATGTGCATCAGATCGCATAAAATTGCTCAGAGCACACAAATGATTAGAGTAATGAGGCTGTCGGGCTGCCGGTATTACAATCACATCTAGGCTTGTTTTCTTTAGTGATCACAGTGAGTGTAATCGGATTTGAATGTTATATGCTTAAAAGCAGAGCCTACTGTCAGGTTATGATGATGATGTAAGTGAATCATTGAGGTTCAAAATAATGGAGGAAATTATGGATAATATCTTAGAGTAAAAAAATAATAATTTTTAGTTCTCCAGAGGAACAAGAAAAGGCTTTTATAATAATAACAACAACAATAATAATAATAATAATTATTATTATTATTTATTTTATATATATATATATATATATATATATATATATATATATAATTATTATTATATATTACTGTGTGTCCACACCGAATGCGGTGAGAGTGTCAAAGTAGCCGGAAGTCGAGGAGAGTTGAAATCAAGTCAACATTGTGGTAATGAGCTTTGACAGGGTTCGGTGCTAAGCAATCAGAATTTAGAAGTCCACACATTGAGAGGAGTCTAGAGAGAACAGTCACTGTGAACATTGGTTTTAACCACAGTTGTTCCCAAGGGTTTGATTATTGTGGTCGCTGGATTTCAAATTATTTACGATGTTTTCTAACAAGGGACATACATTAAAAAAAGTTACTACCGAGTTACTGATGTCCATTAATTGGATAAGTGGAGCAAAGCCACACCACACGCAATAAATTAATTTTCCATTGGTAAATGAATTTGATAAAAATCGTGCAACATTTTCACGCTAGAAAGCACATTATTTATGCAGGAATGTAAGTGATTTGCTGATATGCTGCAACGGCTCCTTTAATTGCGAGATCTATGTAGGGAACTTTGACGCTTTCACCGCCAGAGCTGTTAAGGCAGACAGCATTGTCAACAGGGTGGTTGGATAAAACTTTGACGCTCTCGCCGCCTTCGATGTGAATGCACAGTTAAGCTTTTATTAAAATTTATTTGTTTATTTATTTGATATTATTATTATTATTATTATTATTATTATTATTATTATCATTATCATTATTATTAATTATTATACCAGGGTCAGAAACTACCTTTTTTATTAAGGGATGGCATTTACCTCCTGAATTGGATTGCTGGGGCATTTTTACTTTCAGTATGAAACCTTTTATAATTAGCTTGTTGCTTTTTAATTAACCTGTTGCCTTTTCTGTCAAGAAATTACATTTAGCAATCAAATCGAATTGAATATTAGCAAAATAATTATATTTACACCACCAGCATAACATGAAGTGTTTGTACAACGAAATACAGGCGGCTTAAAACTGATTATAATAAAACAACATTTGAAATTTAACAAAAATAGTGCTTTAATAAGAATAGAGCACTTACAGACATCCATTTCAAAAGTTTAAATCAGCCCCAGACATAATCTGCGGGTGCGGACCGTACACAGAGAAACCGAAAGTAACCCAAATATATAGTACAGTACTTTAAATGTACAGTAGGTGGTTTTGTTGGGCCAAATCACATTATATATAGACATCAGTTGCGGGATGGAGGGAGGGCCTGTGGGCCATCTGTTAAACTGGTTTAAAATAACTTTGTTAATTATACATTTAATAATAATTACAACAACAATAATAATAATAATAATTTTTATTTATATAGCGCCATTTACAAAAATTACAAGAAAAATTTTAACTAAATGTCACAAACTGACTGTTTTAAAGCTTTTTTCCTTTTTTAAAAGCATTTTTGCAACAAGTCCCAATCAGTTTCCAATCCTGGTAGCTACAAACATCATCATGCTGCTTTCACAGGCCTTACATTAGAGTCATCATGCTGGGTTTTCTCCTCATCCTCATCTTCCTTTGTCTCTACTGAGGCTGCCTGACTGCACTCCTCCAGCACGGAGCTCTTCCCCTGACGAGAGTCTCTGCCAGAGGATGTGGTGGGACAGAGACGCCGATCAGGTGGAGACGAGCTTCGTGACTTCTGCCGACGGAACAGTTCTATGGCCAACCTCTGAACAGAAACATATCAAAACATAACACTCTGGGGAAAAAAAAGGTCTCAATAGTATGCTATTAGGGTTAACCACAAATGAACTTGAGTCTGTATAATATTAAGCAGTCCTTAATAATACTGTAAAAAAACAGGTTTAGAATTAACATAACACAGGGTTAAATGGAAGCCTAAATTGTCAGCTATAACACTAACCTCTTTTAAGTTATTGATTTGTTGAATGTAGCTGGACTGGGCGGACTCCAGCTGAGTTATATACCAATACTGATCTCTACACTTCTGAAAAAATGTAGGCGATCGCACTTGATACCTGCAACATTAAAAACAGAAGCAGCAGCAGAGCATGAGAAATGAACAATACAGCAAAAAAAGACAACTTATTATTCATTTTCCTTCAGCTTAGTCCATTTATTCATCTGGGGTCGCCACAGCGGAATGAATTGCTTGAACTTATCCAGCATGTTTTACACAGCGGATGCCCTTCCAGCTGCAACCCATCTCTGGGAACCCATTCACTCTCACATTCACACTCATACACTACGGCCAATTTAGATTTAATACACCTATCCCGTATGTCTTCGGATATGTGGGGGAAACTGGAGCACCCGGAGGAAACCCACGCGAACACAAGAAGAACATGCAAACTCCACACAGAAATGCCAACTGGCCTATCTAGGGCTCAAACCAGCGACCATCTTGCTGTAAGGCGACAGTGCCACAAGTCATGATGATATATTTATTAACTGTTGTTTTTAAAGTAGACGACAAACGCTGCATCTTAATTCGATACCTTCGAAAACGTAATGCAGTATGCAAACTTTGAGACATTATACATCCTCATTAATGGACCAATATGTTGCGCCCCCTGTCAATCATCTCAACACATCCACATTTCTTTCATATTTAATTACCTACGATATTGGAGAAGCAGCAGCAGGATAATCTGCCATTCACTAGTCTTTTTTGTAGAGAAATCTCCTCAGGTCTTTGGATAATTGTACATTCAGAAGTTAATGTCCAAAAATACATTTAAATAAGTTCACATCGTTGTTGCAGATGGATTACAAAATGGAAAATGTGATTTAAATATTTTCAAGTAGGCTAGATATTAATTAATAGTCATGCAAACAACTTTTTTCCGAAGCCTCCCTACTGGAGGGTTGGTCTCGCGCATCCACCATGTTTGTAGTTTGTTTACACTTGCACCTGTACCTGCACCTGTAGAGTTTATGCGTTCCAGTAAATATATATACAAATAAAATGGAGCGTGTGCTTTTTAAAACTAATGACAGTAAATAAATGAAAACCGGTGGGCCGTCTGACTAAAAAGTGCCCTTCTGAATCAAATCAACAGGATGCCCATCTGAATCTTTCACATACTTTAAAGACTACTGACTATATTTACATGGACATCAGTAAAAGGTATTTGCCTTAATCTGAATAAGACATTCAAAAGTGCTTTTTGAATGTTGCGTCACCAGGCTATCCACGTTTCCTGCAGAGTCTCATGTAATTTTGGATGTTTCATCTTCAACTTCTCAACTTTAACTGCAGTTCGGGTTTCATTCATGTACATTTTATTCATGCCCCCATGACAAACTGGGGTATTTGACGCAAATATGAAGGACTGGTGGAAAAGTGTTGCTTTATTTGAAATTTTACGTAGAACGGAAAGAAAAAAAAAAAAACTTCCACATTTTGGGGGGGGGGGGGGGGGGGGGGGGGGTTGGGGTGTTGTTGAGGTGACATAGGACAAACTTGGGGGGCAGCATGTGTTACTAAAGTATAAAACCCCTGAGCTAGAGTACGGATGGCTCTACACTTCAAATTACTAACGGAAGTGGTACACTGTCCAAAAACCTTTTCAACATATTACAGTTTGGGACATAATAATTGTATTTTTAAATAATATTTAGGACAGAAAGTATGCACACTGGGTAGCAGCAATAGCTCATAAATGCAGTGTTTAAAGACATTTGGTTAAATAAAATAAGTACTTTACAAAAATACTTTTAACAAAAAAAAAAAAACTTCTTCAGGCATGAAAGTTCAGTTCCATCACACTCAATCCAAGATGTTCCTAAACACTACCTGGTTTTCAACTTTGGCAGCACAGGCCTAACACAAAGTAAATTACTTAATCTCCAAGGTCTTACCTTAGAACAAGTGTGTCAGTCTGCATATTCAAGTAGCCCTCGCTGGCGAGAAGGTCCAACCTGAAGAACCTGTTATATCCCCAGCACTCGCCCACCTCGAAGTCTGATGCAAACTCTCGAATGATATTTTTGGTGGGGTCACTGGAGGCCTGATGGACCATCTCCACCCTGTATTCATATCTGGGGAACACGACAAGTCGGGTAGGAAAAAAGGAGTTATTTGTGACATCGCCCAGCAGGATGAGGGTAAGAGTAGTTAGTGTGGCCTACTTAGAAGTCTCAGGAAGTCCTGCTGACAGCTCCAGAAAAACAGACAGATAGTTTCCTCGAACGACACCATTGCCATCCTAAAAGACAAAATCAAAGTCTTTGAGAAGGATGAGTAAAATTACCGTCATAGTAAGAGTAAAAATAAATAAGTAAATTTCAGAACAGGCTATTTTGTACACTTAAGTAATTCATTTGAATGTAATTTAAATTGAAATATATGATAACTAATTTGTGACGTTTGCTAATATTAAACAGTTTTAGTGTAATGTTGCTGTGTGAACAACATCTTTGAATGTAAAATGCTCAAAGTTCAATGCAAAGAGAGACATTGGCTTTTACAGAGTTAGCTTAGGAAAGCCTAAATGAGTAAAGTTTGGGGGACTACAAAAAAAAACAAAAAAAACATCCACAAATCATAACACATTAGGTTAGCTGACAAATAAGAACCAGTTGAGGGCGGGCTTTAGGAGGAAGCAATATATATGGTAAAGGTCAAGGTAAGATGTGAAAAAAATACAAATGAAACATGAGTACAAATTGTTTTGCACCCCGTAACCACAATCACACACAAAAAACACTCGACTATCCCTTTAAAATTATTTGAGTGCATGATGCATCTTTACAAAGGACTGAAATGAACATAATGCTAATCCAAAAGGGTGACACACACCGAATAAATGTTTTGTTGCTTGTAATAAAGAAGCTGCACTTCTTTAAAAAGAGAATCTTATTTTAATATTGTGAGCCATGCAATGTAAAAGATGCAAGATGCAAATCAGGCATGTCTAGTGCATGTTTACAAATTAAAAAAAAAATAAACAGAATTAAAATACAACAAATAAAACGCAACAAAAAAAAAAAACAGACAAAACAAAACAGAAAATGCAAGCACAAAAAAAAAAACACACACACAAAACAAAAACACAAATCAAATAATGCAACAACACCAAAACAAAAAACACAACAAAACAGAACAAGACCAAAACAAAAAACCCTAAACAAAGCACAACACACAAAAAACAACAACAACATAAATCAAGCAATGCAACAAAACACCAAAACAAAAAACACAACAACAATACAAAGAACAAGACCAAAACAAAAAACAAGACACACAAAACAAAACATCAACAACACAAAACAAAACCACAAAAAAAATCAAAAATAAATAAATACAACACACAAAACGGAAAAAAAAATAAAAAAAAATACACAAAACGACACAAAACAAAACAATACACAACAAACAAAACAAAACAAAAAAAACACAAAACAAAAAAATTATAATCTTCAAGATTTGACTTTTGGTCCTACAGCAGACATAGTTGTGGATGTCATACTTACTGGATAAACCTTCAACCTCCAGCACAGGCCTGATATCTGTAGTGGGGGGCTGTAAACAGGGTCAGCTCTCTGCCGCAGAGTACTTAAAGCAACGAGAAAGAAACAATTCCAGTCACGCAAGAGAACTAATGCACCATTTATGAAATAAATTAATAAGAAAGACAAATGGAGAGACGCTACCTGAAGTTTGCCAAAACAAAAGTGCTGGAGTCATACGCAGGGACCAGCTCACTGAGAAGAAATAAGAGATTAAACTGGCTGCAATTCATCTTGCAGATCAAAATGGGGAAACTCCATTCAAAAAGGTTAACTTGACAGCCTAGAGAGTTTTTACAGGTGTGCATGTTTATTCATCGCTCACAGTCTGCCACGGAGAGTGCAAAAGTTCAAGATTACTGAGGTCTTGTTACTGCATAATGTTGGAGAATAGCAGGTACGGTGTCTATGTGTGTGTACCTGGTAAAGTCTGGCGGGACAGGAGTGGTGACGAACGACTGCATTGGTTTCCTGTGTACCTGCTGAAACATGAGCAGGATCTCTGGACTCTTCGAGATCAGTTCACTCTTACTGCATGAACGCAACTGTGGGGTGATAACACACTCGTGTCACAAATCAACAAGCGTCAAATTAAATAGAAAAAAATCCAAAATTAGGTTTGAGATTATTTTCAGGTTGAAATTTGATTTTAGTTGAAGCTGTACTAACAGGAAGAAAATAACAGTTTTCGGCATCTCTATCTAGTCTGAATTAACTCAGTTAACTAGTGTGCTCCAAAACAGTGACAAACTTCATGTTTAGAAGATATAAAACTGATATAAACATGTAAAGCTTGTAGTTTGTCACTTCCGCCTAAATGGATCTAAGGCTGTGCGATTAATCGAAACCGAATCGCAATTTGAAACATTGCGATTAGTTAATTTTGCAAGAGCAGAGGTCACAAATCTTGGTCCTGGAGGCCGGTGTCCCTGCAGGGTTTAGTTCCAACATCCCTCACACACCTGCCCGGGGGTTTCAAGCATACCTAGTAAGTCTTTGATTAGCTTGTTCAGGTTTGTTTGATTAGGGTTGGAGCTAAAATCTGCAAAACACAGGCCCTTCAGAAACAAGTTTGGTGACCACTGCGCAAGAGGTTGCAATATATATATATTATTTAATTTCCTCCATCCAGAACAAATGCGTGACTGCTGTCTGCATGTGATAGTCTTACTAGCCAATTGAGTGAGCACACTTTTGTTCTGCCCAAGCAGAATTGCGCAACCGAACTACGCCAACAATAAAAAAAAAAGTCAAACAAGAAGGAAAGCTCTGATTGTGGGGGATTGTGGTGTTTGCCACTACAGAAGCATTAATAGATGAATTAATATTAAAGAATAACAGCATTGGTAATATGGGATTATTTTGGTTTCAAAGTCACAGACACCAAACAAAAAGAGGTCATTTTTCAGAGCTGTAACAGAATTGTTGAAACTACTTAAAGATTATGGAGCTGAAGCTTGACTATAAAATTAAATCGTAAATCAAAATTCACAATATAGTCAAAAAAAAAAAAAAAAAAAAAAAAAACGCATTTAGATAATTTCCCCAAATCGTACATCCCTAAATAGAGACCCCTAAAACATCACCTCATACTTCAGTTTCTCATCAGAGACAGACATTATGCGATTTTTTTTAGGAGTTGTTTACATTTTTAGATTTATTTTAAAAATATAATTATTAAAAAAGTTTTATCTGCAAAGTCGAACTCTAGCTTCGCTCCATGATGTTCTTACTGTGAGCCAATCAGCATTTTGAAAGCACGCATGAGGACCAATTAGGGTCAGCTCTCTGTCATTCCACCGGACTGCTCCATTGTTAAAAAATTGTAATATATTAATAACACAGAGATAATTTTTTTAAAGTATTTACATGGTGTACGCTATGGGGTGTTATGTTTTCATAAAAACTTCTGTGAATAATGTAAAATAAAAAAAGGAAATAAATTAAATGTGAAATATTTTTATTTGTGTGTATTTATAGTCAGCGAAACATTCCTTTGCTCATTGTCTGTTTTCTTTTAAAGTCTTTTAATTTGATATGAAGCCTTGAGGGGAAATAATGCATTTAATTCATGGGGTCTTAATTACAACAATAAATATGACCATATTAATTACATTAAATTAACATCTGCACTGAGTAAAATATTTGGCACAGCCTTGTATGCTTAATTCGAACAAGAAAAAAATATTTACCCTAAAACATTAAACAAATGTTATAGAAAGCAAAAATCTAACTCTCAAACATCAACATATTGTTAAAAACCATTTTTTAAATTAAATTAATAAGCAGACTGATTGTATTTCTTGTAACGCTTCAATTAATGATCTGCTAGACAGAACCTTATATTTCCAAGCAAAAAATTACTTTTTAGAATTAGAAGGTTCTATCTGTATTTACCCGTTTTTTACCTCAATTTGCAAATTTAAGAGAATTCTGCTCATTTACATTTAGAGTACATTTAGGGTCTCTGTCATGTTAATGCATGACAGAAAACTGGTACATGAAATGTTGTTTGCTATATGGAACGCCAAATCTGTGAAGCTCAATATCTCAAAATCATTCACAACGCAGGGAGAACCTTATTCAAGGCGATGAATTGCATCTTTCACAATAAAGGATTCATCAAATTAATAAAACAGACACTGGATGATCAAATTATCACAATTATAATTAACCATCAGCCCTATTCTCTAACTTGATCACTGTGTTTCCCCACAAAATAAAGGGTTTTTGTTGAACTGCCAAGAATACTTTGTAAACCACCGCTTTTTTTTTTTAGCATGTCATAGCAACAAATATGAATATTATTTCCGTCTTTTCATTTTGATCTGTGGTCTAAAGTCGCCATTTTACTGATACACAAGCACACAGACCTGATGCTCCACTTCCTGCAGCAGAGACTCCAGCAGTTCCGTTTCCTGTGTCAGAGAGGTCTTCTGTCCTGTGGATGCAGCAACACTGCATTAGACCAGAAACACTTTAAAAGATCCTTTGAAAAGCTTTGTCCGATTGAACAAAAAGCATGTTTGCACCCATGAGTGTGATGAGTTTATTCTTAAGCTGATTATCAAGCCGAGCGATCATCATTTCCACAGCATTCCGGATCTCCCTCACTCTCTCATCCTTCGCTCCTCGTACTGCCTCAACGTTCTTCTCCTGAAAAAAAAAAAGGAAAAAAACACATAACTTTTAAATTTAGGCAGAACGGATGTTAAAATGGTCAAATTGTGTGAAAACACTTAAATGTTTGGAGTCAGTGTGTGTGTGTGTGTGTGTGTGTGTGTGTGTGTGTGTGTGTGTGTGTTTTCGTCAAAAACCAAACAAACTATGTTGTATAAACAGTATTTAAATAGAAATTCTAATTGTATGAATAAATCAGATGCTCTTTTAAAATATATTTTCTATTCATCAAAGAATTTTGACGAAAAGCAGCTAAATATTTATAATAAGAAATGTTTATGCTAAGAAAAGTCACATTTAGAATTATTTCCAAAGGATTAGGTGACATTTATGATTGAAGTAATAATGAAAAATCAGCTTTGCATCACAAGAATACTCTTTCAAACATACTCGAATAATAAGTATAAGAATATTTCCGCAATATTATAATTTTAGCTTATTTTTTATTATTGCACTATAACAAATATAACAAGGCAAAATTCAAACAACTTTTATCTACATTGACAGAACAGAGCACAGATTATAATCAAATCAATAATATTTTAATAAAAATAAATAAAATATTAAAACATAGAATAGACAAACACAACCTAAAAAAATAATAATTACGCTACCGGGTCTTATTTTAATGGAATTAATTAAAACTCAAGTCTCCTTCCTAATTTTGATTTTACCAACGTTAAGATTTACAGTATAACCAAAATTCCTTTTGGAAAACCTGAAACAGCAGTTTTGTTTTAAGGCACTTCTATTTATGAATATAAAATTTCTCCAAAATTAGAATATTGTTCAATACATACTGAAAATTACCATCTTCCTCTAATAAACCAAAGAAATAGACCATTTTAAGAGATGTAAACAATGACAATGGTCCTTACGTATTCCCCATTTTACATTTTTCATTTCCATAGTATCCTAGAATCCATAAAGGTCCACATATTGACAATGTTATAATAATTGTTTTAACATCGAGTTATGATTAAACTCCTTTTTTTTTTTTTACAGTTATGAAAAAAATTGTCAACAAACAGAAAATGTTCATGGGCCAATTACATCACCAGACTGAAATGGTCTACACAGTATATAATTTTCAGATAATCGGGAAGACAGCTTGAGAGAAACTTTTAACCACTCGAAACCAGTCTTTTACTTATAAAATTGCCACGTTTAAGGTCTGATCAATTTAAAAAGTCAGGGATTTTCACTGCCTGATAAAATAAATAGGTTATAAAGTGGGTCTCAGACCAAACTAGAAGTACTACACTCCCCCCACTATATTTCTTTAAAATACGAGTTTATTTTACACTCATTCAGTATTTTCACTGGAGTTTCTGCGCTCGCCTGATGTTCCTGACAGCACTAGCAGTCTTTCATCTCGTTTTACGACGAACAACTAAATGAATGCTTATGTCTATTTCAAGAGTTCACAATTAGATATTGTTTGACAAACGTTAATAGGTTTGGCATGCTGTCCCGTGAGAGAACTCTGAGCTCGGAGATAATTGAGCCCAGGGCTCCCGCCTGGTCAATTGAGCATGTAAGGGGAGTACAAAGAGATGGATGGGTGTGTGTGGGGGGGGGGGGGGGGGGGTATTTGGAAAATGAAGATAAGGAACTAATTTTTTTGTAGGCTACTTATAGTGAGTTTGGATGAAGTGATTGGCTAACTATTCATTGTAGATGAAAGACCAGCTGCAGTCAATTATATCACATGCTCCTCTAGAAATTAGTTTATGAAACTTCACTTAACTGAATGTATTTTAATTTCATTATAGCATCGATGCTGTAAAAGAAACCCTATGACATTTAAAATAGTCCTATTAAGCTTTCACCGGACGTTTATCATTGGCTAAAAAAAATACTAGCTGTGCATATGGTCCATTATAAATTTTAATCAAACAAATACAGCATTGTAGAAGCTTCTTTCAAAAGAAATGAAATATTAGTGAACCTTAAAACTTAAACAACTTCTGGTAATTAAAATATTAACTAGACATTCGACAAAGTGTATTTTCTAGGAAGTTGTTTCCTGTTTTTGTTCATGCAGAGCAATATTAATATAGAGGAAAAACCAGTCATGCAAATTTGTTACGTGCTTTGGCGCCCTCTATTGGACATACACCCGACTAAGGATTGAAAAGTGAGCTATAAACAGTAACTGATGGGTTTGTGTGGGTTCCTTGGCGTCCTGGAGTTATGCTACATTATGTAAACCGCCTTCAAAAGCACTTATCAAACCAGGAATACGTGTAATTAGATAACATTTGATTTGTCATTAACAGTCACGTCTAAAAAGGATTTGTTGCTGATAAACTAGTAGCATCCATTAAGAACGGTCAATTCAGAACTTGTCTAAATGGCTGGGAGTGGGCGTAAAGGAGAAGCAATGCTGCTTACCACTTCTTGAACCAGACTAATGAGCTCCATTAGCCGGTGCCGCAGCTTGGCCACCTCCTCGTTCACCTTCGTCACATGCTGCTCATAGATCTCAGCCAGGGGTTTGAACGTATGACCGCCATGCTGGGGAGAGAACATAAGCAAGTTCATGCCTGATGCAACTGAAATTAATGTATTACATATAGTTGAAGTCAAAATTATTAGCAAGAAATTTTTCCACAGTATTTCGTATAATATTTCTTTCTTCTATAGAAAGTTTTATTTGTTTAATTTTGGCTAGTATAAAAGCAGTTTTTAATGTTTTAAAACTCATTTTAAGGTCTATATTATTAGCCCTCTTAAACAATATTTTTTTCCCCGATTGTCTACAGAACAAAACATCATTATACAATAATTTGCCTAATTATCCTAACTTGCCAACACAAGTTAAGCCTTTAAATCGCATTTTAAGCTGAATACCAGTACTTTTAAAAAAAATTTGTTAAATATTATGTATGATAAAATAATTAATAGTTTTAATAACTCATTTCTAATAACTGATGTTTAAAAATGTGCTGAAAAATCTCTCCGTTAAACAGCTCACATTAGCACCAGTATTATTCATTGATAATTGACATCTATGTGTGACCAGTCATGCTTCATCTTAACACATTTGGATCTGAAGAGGAAATGACACCAAACACGCAATTCGTCAGCCTGACTAGGACAGAAGTGCGTACCATGCCTCCCCACAGCGCGCACTGGTGACAGATGCACTTCTTACAAGTCCAGCAGAACACACTCAGCTTCTCATGATGGTTCTCACACCTGTAAGGATGAAAGAATAAACGAGGTGAGAGGAAAAGCACAGACTGTCAGAATTATGTGGACACTTACTGGCCACTAATAAAACGGTTATCCTAAAAATCCAAAAAGGTTTTGTATATTCTGTGTAATGCATTAGGTTTGTCAGTGAAAGACTGTCCAGCAAACACACACGCAGTGAAATTGTGCACAGTTTTTATGTAGTTGGAGTTTTTATGTAGTCGCCACCCTCGCCAAGTAACCTACAGCAGCATAGCGCATATGAGATAAATGACATCAGTACCTAATAACCAGTTATGATTATTATCGATATAATTTTTATGATTATTAAAATTATATCGAATTTTCCACGTCTGCATCGTGGTCCACCAAAAAAACGATTCATTTTGACATCCCTAATGCAAACCACTAAAAACAAACATATTATAAAAATCATCTGACAAAGGTCAAATGGTTAAGCACAAAATAAATAACATTTCTATTAGTGCTGTCAATCGATTAAAAAAATTTTACTAATTAATCGCACATTTTTTTAAAAAATTAATCGCGATTAATCGCATTTAAAATACTGAAATTTGTCATTTTGGCTATTCAAATGTAAAATTAATGTAAACGCAAGACAAAAACTATTTAAATTCAAAATATAATTGTTATTAGAATTTAGTTTAACTTGTAACACAGATTTCTTCATGTAAACAACATACCCACAATAAACCATCAAGATTCTGGCTTGACAGCCATATTTATAACAGAAATTAAAACACAGGCATGTTAATGACATTTAAATTTCAAAACAATCAATGCCAATAAAGAAAACATTGATTTCCATGTTGGATTCTAAGTGGACTGCAAAAAAATGGCAAAATACAGGAATTACAGATATGGAAAATGGAAAATTACAATAATAAACTATAGAATACAAACTGTTGCACTCATTGTAAAGTTTTATTGCTGTAAGTTGAGAACATTAGTTATAGAGTAGAAACAATTTTGTTTAATCCTCCTTTACATTCATCCAGTTGCTAAGACTAGGAGTATCCCGCAAATGCACAGAGACTCCTGGATGCCCGCAAATGAATGATAATCTCTCGCAAACCGGTCGTTAAATACATTGCACACCCCTCTTCACCGCATCCCTCCTAGCTCTTCAGGTATGTCGCGCGCAACTCACCCCCACCGTCCTTCAGGTACGTCTCGCGTGCACACGCCCCTACTCAGATACGTCACCCTCAACGGGCCTGACACAGACACACACACAAACAGACAGACGCACACACAACGCGCTGGAGCGACTCCCTTCAGATTCAACACGCATGATCACGTTCATCAAATTTGCTTAAACTATGCGTCCTAAAGTATTACTGTATTTCACAAGGATTCTGACACAACAACGCAAAGCATACGCTTTCGTTGCGTTTAATGAGGAAACATGCTAAACTTGGAGGCTCATGCTGAAAGGCAGAGTAATGCCCTGTCTTTGACAGCTCGCGACTTCAGAGACGTTCAGAGTACATTTTCATAAGACACCAATACTCCGATTTTAAAATGATTAAGATCATACTCTTATTAAAAGTCTACCGTGTAGCCTAAGCAGTGATTTTATTACCTTAAAGGAACACCGAGTCACGAAATGCAGAGGTTTTTCTTTCTGTTCGCCATGCGGTATCAACTTACAACAGAAGTCGAAAGTTAAAAATGAAACACCCGAAATTGCATGAAACTCTGGATAACATGTGATGCAACTAATTGTTTTATACTGAAACTTGCCTTCAAAAACTGCTTCCGTGGTCTTATCCACATTTCTTGCATGTTGAATACACGTCCACCACAACAGGAAGTTAAAAAAAAAAAACCTGCACCTGCATTAACGCACTAATTTTGACTGCGCTAATTTCTATATATTAAAAATATTTTATCTAAACTTTTGTATTATCGCATTTTATTTAATATTTTTCAATAAATAAGCAATTGTAAAAATAATAGCTTTTTACATGAATATATGTGTTAGAGCATGGAACATTATTTCACCCATATATTAACATAAAAGGTCACTTTACTGTAAGAACCAGACACAACACGACATGTTTTATGCAAATTAGTAGAGCTTTACCCTTGTTGCAGCATTACTATTCAGTGTGATGTAGTGCATGGCTCACTTGTCTTTGTCGTTCTCCTCATGTTTTGTGAGGTTGCAGAGCTGCAGTGTGTCCAGCTGTTGAGTCACTTCCTCTGCCCAGCGACAGTTGACCAGTTCCCTCAGCTGTAGCGGAGCTCTGAATTCAACATTTACAAGTGTTATTAGCATACATATTTATCATTTCAGCTATTGTCAGTTTTTAACTAGAGCAAAGACACTGTTGGAAGAGGATTTCATTTTTAAATTAACCAAAAGCGAATATGGGATCAGGGATAAATCTGTTCCACCATTGTGTTTGAGCTTTAATTACAGAGAAGTGTTTTGCACACACTTCCAACTGCTCTGCCAATTTTTGTAAGCATGTTTCTAGTTGCCAAATATGAGGTGGCTCTGATCCAGTTTTCTAAAGTTTTTTGTGAGTATCTTTACTGTAACTAAATTCTTCCCTGAAGTGATGTCAATTATTAACGCAATGGCAAAATCAATTCTTAAATCTCCAGATTTATTCCAATGACAGTCAAAGCATTATTAGTAGAACTTACCGACAGTGGGGACACTGGGCTCTCTGCTCTGTCAGCCATCGCTGCCAGGAAGACAAACAGAAATGTGCTCATTTATAAATGCAAGCCTAGCTAATCCTCTGAATCAATGGAAAGTCAATTATTAAAATATATTTTAAAGGGGACATTTTATGCAAAAATCACTTTTATAAGGAGTTTAAACACCATTGTGTGGCAAGAGTCAATGAAAATAAGCAGTTTCTAATGGTAAAAATGTAATAATTTTATTTTTTATAAGCAGACCTGATTAAAAACACTAGAAACACTTTGACTGACGTGCTCCCCTTATTAGTGTCATCAGAGGGGAAGTGCTCTGCCCATTAGTGACATTAGTCTTGTTTTTATATCGACCACCATGCTGACACATAGGCATTTATAGCTCTGCCCTAGGCATGGGATGATAACTGTTTTTAAGGTATAAGGTGGTTTGGAAAGGTCAAGCTTTTAATACCTATATAGTACCAATATAGTATCTCCAGCAGAAAAAAATATCCAAAGATGCCGTTTTAAATTGTAAAGAAATCTGTTTTTGAAACTAATGAAGACAGCAGGAGTCAATGATTCATTTGAATTATATAGCCAGACATGTTTATTGCTCCAAAAAATGCAGAAATATTTAAAAAAATAGAATATAGGGGAAAAAAATTTATTATTTTTAACCCAAACATTTAAAAAAAATATATTGTAGAGCAGTGAGCACAATACCGTAATACTTTTACCCAAGGTTCTCATAACATCAGAATCATATACCGGCCCATGCCTACTCTGCCCTCTTTTGAAAAGAGTACAATCTCACTTGAATTTAAAGCGACAGTCGCCTAAATGGCATAATTAGGATCAAAGCCTAATTGGCGCCGTTGCAAATAGTTAAAAAAAACATTAGTGTGGAGTATATTTAGCTAAAACTTCACTTATACACTTTAGAGGCATCAGAATTGTTTTTTACATCTTGTATAAAGGGGCATGATAGTTCCCCTTTAAGAGTCTCAATAATAGCATTTTTTCCAGCATTCACTAAAAACCCATTCAAAAACTGTTCAATATCAGGGTGCAAATTACAGGGAAGGATATCAAAACCAGATGTATGGGGGGTCAGCAATAGTGTGAGAAATAGTTTTCTCTGATCTGCATCTTAAATAATATTTAAAATAAGTTATTTGTATCTTTAAGAATATTAATAAAATAATATAAATATACATTTGACCACCCTTATAATGGTTCATACCATTAAATTAGGTTCATATCCAATTATGCCAATTAGTCTAAGTGAGAATCATTCAATATATTAAAACTGGCAGATTTAGAGCATGATGGACATAAGCCCTCACACAGTGATACCGGTAAATGTCCAGAAAATTTCCGAAACGACTTTACCATAAATTTAAAAAAGTGCTGTTCACACAGTCAAGGACGTTATGGAATTTTTCCAGAAAAGACCGTTCACATCCCTTCCAAAATACTGGTAAACTCTGAGATCATTATCCAGAAATGGCCTCTAAACGGCTGCGCTTGTATTTGTAAACATTTGACTACATTACAAACTCTTTGGATGCATAAGTATTGTGAACAACTTAAATGAAAACATATGGAGGAACACTTTCGCATGTCAAAATGAACATAATATGTTTTTGTGATGGTGCTCACCGGCTGCTTCATGTGCACATGTGACGCATCAAGCAAATGAAGGAAAGATCTTGAAGGTAAACAAAGAACGGCTTATTATAAGTATCTTATCGATAATAATTTACACAGTTGGCATTCAGAAGGAAGATAGAAAAATTATTTGATTAAAATCTAGCTGCTAAATGTGTCTGGAAAAATATTCAAGGGCTGTTATTTTCATAAACAGCACAGATGTGAATGCATCGGAGTGTTCTGATTGGATGGAGTAGACGTCTCACGTCTAGAACGCGCTCTTTCTGGCAATCTTCCTTCAGGGTTCACACAGCGCAGAATTCCAGCAAATTACCGGTAATGTTACAACTTTTCTTTCCGGAAAATAGCCAGAACGAATTTACCAGTATTTTCAAAAAAGGCCTGTTCACACATATAGACCTTTCCGGAAAATTGCCAGCAATTTTCTAGAAAAGACTGTATGTGTGAAAGGGGCTATTGTAAGTGTTCACAAGACATTTCTCTAGTAAACTAGGTGTTTGTATCTACATATGGCCTAAAAGTAAAGTACAATTTGACACATAGTTTGTATAGTTTGACCCACACTAACCTCTGAAATAGCTAATCTGTGGTTACTGTATATCAGAACACACTAAATATCCCATAAATAACAGTTAAACACGCATTATTAAATAAAATAATAATAATTAATTTAAATAAATACTTGCTAATAATTATTTGATTCACTGAAGCATGTATTAAACAGATTACCAGTTTAAAAAGTTTACCCCCTTGATCATCAATGTATAATTCGCAGCCCACTCATTACCTAGAGTTTTGGTCAGAAACAGCTGAAATCAAATCTTGTGATTTGACTTTTAAATAATCATGTTTCTAAAAAAAATAGACTAGTTCTCTAAAGTCCTATTGAGCTGGTGCAATAAATAGAGCAAAGAGAGTGTTGTTTAATTAGACAGGCCTCTAGTACACTCTGAGGCTGTATTCATAATGATCATCGTGTTGTTGTTAATGAGCGTGTGTGTGTTTGTTCACCCGTATGCAGCTGAAACAGCACAGTTTGGAGCAGTGAGGGCAGAGACGGGCATCACGCAGCTTCTCCATGCAAATGAAGCAGCGGAAGACCTCCGCTATGCTCTGAAGACAGACACAAGCCAAAAGACATTTCAGTCAAACTTCTGCCTTTCATAACAAGCTTCTTGTTAGCAGACACATGAACACAACTTAATCAGTGTGCGGCTAACAATATGCAATAAGTGTAATGAAAGTAGTCTTTTTTTCCGAAAGGAACAGAAACATTTAAATTCTGTTATTATTAACACAATTGTGTATTTTGCTTTCTTTAGTTAATGAATCTCGTTATTTTATTTGCAAAAGTGGTGTTGAAACAGATCATGTAAAAAAGCCTATTTTATTAGACAATAATAAAACATTTAATAATTTAATAAGATACTAATAAAAATTCATGTCATAAAAAATGTATAAATTAGCAGACTGCAAACAGTGCATCCAAAAAATTTTCATAGCGCTTCAGTTTTCCACATTTTTTATGTTACAGCCGTATTTTAAAATATATTTTATTCATTTATTTTCTCAAATTCTATACACAATACACCATAATACCCCAGATTTTTAAATTGTTGTAAATTTATTAAAAATGAAAAAGCGGAAAAACAGATGTACATAAGTATTCACAGCCTTTGTTGTGAAGCTCTAAATTGAGCTCAGGTAAATTTTGCTTCTTGAGATGATTCAGAGCTCAATTGCAGTTCACCTGTGGTAAATTTGAAAAGGCATACACCTGTATAAATAAGGTCAAAGGGTTGACAGTGCATGTCAAAGCACAATCCAAGCATGAAGACAAAAAAATTGTCTGTAGACCTCTGACACAGGAGTGTCTCGAGGCACAAGGCTGTGGAAAGTTACCGAAAAATTTCTGCTGCTATGAAAGTTCCAATGAGCTCAGTGGCCTCCATCATTCGTAAGTGGAAGATGTTTGAACCACAAGGACTCTTCCTATAGCTGGCTGGCCATCGAAGCAGAGTGATCGGGTAGAAGGGTCTTAGTCAGGGAGGTGATCAATAACCTGATGGCCACTCTGTCTGAGCTCCAGCGTTCTTCTGTGGAGAGAGAAGAACCTTACAGAAGGACAACCATCTGTGCAGCAATCCACCAATCAGGCCTCTATGATAGAGTGGCCAGATGGAAGCGACAAGGCCAAAAGGTATCTGAAGGACTCTCAGAGCATAAGAAACAAAATTCTCTGGTCTGATGAGACTAAAATTAAACTTTGCAGTGAACGCCTGCAATTGAAGCATGATGGTGGCAGCATCATGCTGTGGGGATGTTTTTCAGCAGCAGGAACTGGAAGTATAGTCAGGATAGAGGAAAAGATGAGTTCAGCAATGTACAGAGATATCCTGAATGAAACCTGCTTCAGAATGACCTGAATGACCTACTTCAGAGAGCTCTCGACCTTAGACTGGGGCGACAGTTCATCTTCCAGCAGGACAATGACCCAAAGCACACAGCCAAAATATCAATGGAGTGGCTTTATAACAACTCGGTGAATGTCCTTGAGTGGCCCAGCCAGAGCCCAGACCTAAATCCTTTTAAAACATCTCTGGAGAGATCTGAAAATGGCTGTACACCGTACAAACTGATAGAGCTTGAGAGGAACTGCAAAGAGGAATGGACAAAAATTCCCAAAGACAGGTGTGCTAAATAGTGGCATCATATTCAAAAAGACTTGAGGCTGTAATTGCTGCCAAAGGTGCATCAACAAAGTATTGGGAAAAGCTGTGAATACTTATTTACATGTGATTTGTCCGTTTTTTTTTTTTTTTGTTAGTTTGTTTTTTTTTTAATTTGCAACAATTACAAAAAATATTTTTTCACATTGTTATAATGGGGTATCGTGTGTAGAATTGAGGAAAAAAATTACTTAATCCATTTTGGAATAAGACTGTAAATTAAAAAATGTGGAAAAAGTGAAGCGCTATGAATACTTTCCGGATGCACTGCATACTCATCTCAAGTTCACTCATTTAACAGTTCACCTACTGCAAAAACTATGAAAACAAAGATCAGTCAAAAAAATAAAACTAGTGTTATCAGAGTCAGAAAGTGTATTTTTTGCATTAAAATACATCATATACTGTGTTTAACTTCTTGTTTCCCTGTTCATTAAGGCAAGGCAAAGCTAGGTTATTTATATAGCACATTTCATACACAATGGTAATTCAAAGTGCTTTACATAAACAAAAATTAATTAAGTTTTTGAACTGGACTAGCATTTATTCTCTTTATTCCACTGACTTACCTGAACATTCCAATACAATACTTATATATGTGCACCATGTCAGTGACACTCATTCATAATCTATACTTGGCTCATATCTGGTGTTTTGAGCAGCTTGGCACAGCTTGGGTTTACAATTGATGACGTTTTGTCAATTTCAAGATTCAAGTGTCAGAATATGCTGCTGACCTTCCTATGTTAAAATAATTTCTTTTTAGCATGTAGTTAAGAAGAAGCTTGAGGAAGTCTGTTATGTCTTAACTAAGTAAACATAAATGGCAGAGGAAGATATCAGATGTGTATTTACATACTGCCAATGAGCATTCAATCAAAAAATGATAGTAGATATAAAAAAACCTCTCTATCAATACCATGATAAAATTAAGAAAAACACAAAATCAATGATAGACCAATTTAAAGAACTACATTTTATTTGCATCTATATTGGTACAATTTATTGATGTCACAAATTTGCTGACTTTTGCAAAAACAAAAAAATATATATTTTATTTTATATATATATATATATATATATATATATATATATATATATATATAAAGGGATATGGGTAGTTTTGAAGCACAAATCTGTTTTATTGTCTCTAATAACAAAAATACTTCAAAGTAGATTTTAAAAATGGTGAAAACTGTTTAAAACCGTTTCTCCATATTTACAATAATTAGCAGATTTTCACCAAGTCTACAATCTTCTTTACACAGTGCAAAAGCAAAAGCTGAACTTGATATTCCACATAAATTTCAACGTTTGTGTTCCATGGAATAAGAAATAAATAGTAGACATTTCATGTTTGGGTTAAACACAATCCTCCAAACCAAAAGCACCTTGACGTCTGTTTATATAAAACACACACAGAACACCGTAAACACACCTCAACACTCTGCTCATCCATCTCAGCCAGGTTTACTTCCAAACAGCCAAATAAACCTGATGGGAGAATCCTGGTGCCTTCACTGCAGTAAAAACAGACAGCAGAAAACATTCAGATGCTCATATTTCATTCATGGAGAATACAACACAGCAGATTGTCAATAATCAATCAATAAGTTTCACAATGCAGAGATTAAAATGATTAGTGACAGAATATAGAATTAATCTGTATAAGCTTCACTATATATATGACTCTATAAATCATACGATCAAATAAATATTTATTAAATGAAATGCTGCAGGATACATCTGTCAACACCAACTAAAGGCCTGCATGACTTTATAAAGCACACAATCACCATATACACGCTTTCATATGAAAGGGTTGACCAATAAACAGCTAAATAAACCTGACGAGAGAATCTTGGTGCCTTCACTGCAGTAAAAACAGACAGCAGGAAACATTCAGATGCTCATATTTCATTCATGGAGAATACAACACAGCAGATTGTAATCAATAAGTTTGATAATGCAGGCCTTGACGTGATTAGTGACAGAATATAGTAATAATCTTTACAAACTTTACTATATATATATATATATATATATATATATATATATATATATATATATATATATATATATATATATATATATATATATATATATATATGACTCTATATGACCAAATCACACGATCAAATAAATATATATTGAATGAACTGCTGCAGGATACATCTGTCAACACCAACTAGAGGCCTGCATGACTTTATAAAGCACACAATCACCATATACACGCTTTCATATGAAAGGGTTGACCAATAAACAGCTAAATAAACCTGATGAGAGAATCCTGGTGCCTTCACAGCAGTAAAAACAGACAGCAGGAAACATTCAGATGCTCATATTTCATTCATGGAGAATACAACATAGCAGATTGTAATCAATAAGTTTGATAATGCAGGCTTTGACGTGATTAGTGACAGAATATAGTAATAATCTTTACAAACTTTACTATATATATATATATATATATATATATATATATATATATATATATATATATATATATATATATGACTCTATATGACCAAATCACACGATAAAATATATATTGAATGAACTGCTGCAGGATACATCTGTCAACACCAACTAGAGGCCTGCATGACTTTATAAAGCACACAATCACCATATACACGCTTTCATATGAATGGATTCACTTATATACGTTTAAATAACACACACACGTGCAACATAACGAGCAGTTCGTCTCAAAACAAGCCCGTTATCGATTAAACATGCATGAAGGCATCATATTTCAGCATATTTATTAAGACAAATTTGCTCGTGCCAGCTCATTGTCTAATACCAAATGCATAGACGAAAAGAAATGAATTATAAGCGGTTATAATAAAACAAAAACGGTGCATAAAAGCAGGTGAGGTAGCGCAGGTTAGCATTTTAGCAAGCTAGCTGGTCCAAACTCACCAAGCAGAAAAATCATCAAATCTATAAACACGCATTTACCTTTTAATGTCACCCTCGAACCCGTCACTGCAGATGTCTGCATCAAACGCTACTGGTTTAGTGTTTTTAAACCGGGTATTTCAACATCGGACTGCTTGTTTATGGACTAGCAGCAAGCAGCGAATAGCGCCTATATGTCAATGCCAGTCACCATGGGAGACCGTGTCAGTCACCATGGGAGACCGTATCCACCAATCGAATGCACGTTTGGTAGCCGAAAGTATAAGCATTAGCCAATCATAAAGGTGAGTTTAAAGTAGGCGGTGCAGTTTGCGAATTGACACGCCTGCATGAAAGCGCCAATATTAAATATTTAAATCGCGAGTGTTTAATTTCGCTTCTTTAACGCTTTTTTGGTATATTTTTGATATTTTTTTGGTAATATTTTACATTGTAGTTCATATTACATTTAAAGGAATAAATAATAATAAAGCACTGTTAGCACTGTCGCCTCACAGCAAGAAGGTCGCTGGTTCGAGTCCTGGCTGGGCCAGTTTGCATGTTTTCCCCGTGTTGGCGTGGGTTTCCTCCGGGTGCTCCGGTGTCCCGCAAACAGGGGCGGACTGGGACAAAAATTCAGCCCTGGCAATGTAGCCACACCAGCCCACTACCACACCGACACAGCCCCACCCACGGACCCACACATTCACTACTTATATGGTGTACAGATGGTGAAATAATATGAGCAGTACCATGAAATGTTATAAATATTTCAACATTTAATGTATGTGACTGAAACAAAAACAACTCGTTTATAACAAATGTATGCATACAGTAAACACTAAATAACCAAATAATCTGTGAATCTTGTAAAGTCCATGTGCTGTCTGTTTATACCGTTTGTCTGCTATTACTTATGATAGGAGTAACCTGTGAATGTGAACACACCTTTACACACAAATGGACATGCAGCACTAGCAACACTTCAGCATAATTTTATTCACAAATAACTATATATGTCATTTCTGCAGTGGTGTTCTTTATTGCCACTGTCTATATGCTGGCTTCTCCTTGTTTAGTTGACATTGTACACATTGTCTATCTGATTCTATATCTTCTCATCTTTTTAACTCTCTCACTGTGTCATCATTATTTGAATCACTCCTTATGCTAGGCTTTGCCTCATTCTTGTTTAGAATAAATATGTGCTTATTAAACAATTATAGGTGACCTAATGAATAAATATTAATTGTTATGATGACCTAATGTACAGTCTCTGGCTGCAAGAAACCAAGCAGCCATTGGCAATTGGGCCAAATGCCTAACCTTTATTATTATTATTATTACTATTATCATTATTATTATCCTCATCATCATAATATCCAATTTAGCAAGAGATAAAAGCTGACCACATGTAAAAACAATACAGATAAAAAAAATAAAAAAATAAAAAAAACTGACCGGCCCACATTTAAAAAATGGTCCGGCCCTTCTGGCATTAGCCAGAATTGCCAGATGGCCAGTCCGCCCCTGCCCGCAAAGTCAAAAAACATGCGATACAGTTGAATTGGGTAAGTTCAATTGTCCGTAGTGTGTGTGTGTGTGTGTGTGTGTGTGTGTGAGAGAGAGAGAATGAGAGTATATTGGTGTTTCCCAGTACTGGGTTGCAGCTGGACGAGATTTTGCTGTGTTAAACGTATGTAAGTTGGCAGTTCATTTCACTGTGGCGACCCATGATAAATAAATGGACTAAGGAAAAGAAATGAATGATAACAAAACAATTAAGCTGTCACAAAAAAACTCAAGATTTGTGTTGATTCAGCTTATTTTTAAATAATTAGATTTAACAAGCAGCAAAAATAAGTATGAGTGAATGTAGTCCTGCATTTTTGCAATTTAAGATAATAAAAAATATATATTTCTAATTAAAACGACTAAATGTTTTGTGTAAATGTTGTAACATTTTCTTTACAATTAAGGCACCACAGCGGAATGAACCGCCAACTTATCCAGCAAGTTTTTACACAGCGGATGCCTTTCCTGCCGCAACCCATCTCTGGGAAACATCCACACACACTCAGTCAAACTCATGCACTACGGACAATTTAGCCTACTTAATTCACCTGTACCGTATGTCTTTGACTGTGGGGGAAGCCGGAGCACCCGGAGCAAACACACGTAAACACAAGAAGAACATGCAAACTCCACAGAAATGCCAACTGAGCCAAGGCTCGAACCAACGACCCAGTGACCTTCTTGCGGTGAGGCGACAGCACTACCTACTGCACCACTGCTTCGCCATCATTTACTTTTCATCAATTAAATTGCATTGTGGCTTTAATACAGTTGCAATATAAATGTAGCAAATTCTGAATATTTATTATATTTATATTTTATTAATCATTTATTTTATTTTTATGTGGTTAGTAAATTTAGAAGGTGTCATAGAAAAGCACAACTGTGTAAAAAACATATGCTGGATAAGTTGGCGGTTCATTCCACTGTGGCGACTACTGATAAATAAAGGAACTAAGCCGAAGTAAAATGAATGAATGAATATCAGGGGTTTTAATACGGTGGTCCAAGAAAATGTTTGAAGAAAAAGCATTACAGGGCGGCGCAGCGGTTAACACTGTCGCATCACAGCAAGAAGGTTGCTGGTTCAAGCCTCAGCTGGGTCAGTTGGCATTTCTGTGTGAAGTTTGCATGTTTTCGGCGTGTTGGTGTGGGTTTCCTCCAGGTGCTCCGGTTTCCCCCACAAGTTCAAACACATGCGCTATAGGTGAATTAAATAGGCTAAATTGGCCATAGTGTATGTGTGTGAATGAACTTGTATGGGTGTTTCCCAGTACTGGGTTGCAGCTGGAAGGGTGCTGCGTAAAACAAATGCTGGATAAGTTGGTGGTTCATTCCACTGTAGTGACCCATGATGAATAAAGGGACTAAGCTGAAGGAAAATGAATGAATGAAAAAGCATTACAATGCAACTAATATTAACAATAATAATTGAACTTAAATTAAAATATTAAATATGTGCTTAAAATATATTATCACATTTAATCAAATCAACAAACACACACCATTATGATTTGAACAAATCAAAATAAATCTAATAATTGAGTTATTATAAAAAACGTCCATAAAATGTATGATTAATACAGCTCATATATATATTAATATTGAAATATAGTTCACATAATTCATCAAAACATTCTTAAAATATATTAATTGAAGGAAAACAAATACCAATGAGATTAAAATGACAAAAATGACTAATAATAAGTACATTTTTAAAATTATTAATTAAATTATAATTGTAATTTAGAGTATAAATTGGGTCTTTATACAAGAAACCATATATATATATATATATATATATATATATATATATATATATATATATATATATATATATATATATATATATATGCCTTTGACGTTTTCGGATTGGAAGATTTAATATATGGTTATGCGCATAAATACAGCACTTTTATCATCAACCACGATTACTTCCATCAATAATCACTAATACATCAGCAATCATACGTCTAAAATAGCCTAACAAACATCGAAGTCACACATTACCTGAATAATGTAGAGCCAAATGTAGAGTATGCACAGTAAATCAAGATCTCCAATGGAGTGTGTAAGTCTCCTGAGAAACATTGACCTATATTCTATACTGGGAGCCTCTGGAGGCCTGCAGGTGCAGCCGAACCATCGTACGAGACTCAGGTTTGGTGGGGCTGCAAATCTGTTATGGATCTGATGCTTCATCAAATGAGCCATTTTCAAAGTCCCTGATGAGCATCTGTGCAAATTAAACAGTTACATTCAGGCTATACCCAATGCGACTCAATTCTACTCATTTTAAAAAGATATTGAAGTTATCCGACTGACAGATCTGCATTTTTCCATATATCCTCACCTTTCGTACACTGTGGAGCAATTCGCGAGCACTTGATTTCATTTTCAGAAATAATATAATCTTCATTGTTCCAAACATTAGTTGCGATTTACAAAACAACCAAGACGCTTCCTCCAAAACCTGTTCTTTTGTTTGTAAGTTTAAAACATGGTGACTTTCATACACTGAGTAAATTGAGTCTACCATCAGATGTCAGCATTGTGCTTTCCTGATATATTTTGGTGTTACAGAGCAATTTACACTCAATGGCCACTTTATAAGGTACACCTTACGAGTACCAGGTTGGACCCCCTTTTGCCTTCAGAACTGCCTTAATCCTTTGTGGCATAGATTCAACAAGCTACTGGAAATATCCTCAGAGATTTTGGTCCATGATAGCATCACGCAGTTGCTGCAGATTTGTTGGCTGCACATCCATGATGCGAATCTCCCGTTCCACCACACCCCAAAAGTGCTCTATTGGATTGAGATCTGGCGACTGTGGAGGCCATTTGAGTACAGTGAACTCATGTTCAAGAAACCAGTCTGAGATGATTCGTGCTTTTTGATATGGTGTGTTATCCAGCTGAAATTAGCCATCAGAAGATGGGTACGCTGTGGTCATTAAGGGATGGACATGGTCAGCAACAACACTCAGGTTGACACAATGCTCAACTAGTACTAATGGGCCCAAAGGTTATCAAGAAAATATCCCCCACACCATTACACCACCACCCACAGCCTGAACAGTTGATACAAGACAGGAGGGAACCATGCTAAGTTGTTGGTGCTAAATTCTGTCGCTACCATTCAAATGCCGCAGTAGAAATCGAGACTTGTCAGACCAGACAGTGTTTTCCAATCTTCATTGTCCAATTTTGGTGAGCCTCTGCAAACTGTAGCCTCAGTTTCCTGTTCTCAGCTGACAGGAGCGGCACCCGGTGTGGTCTTCTGCTGCTGTAGCCCATCCGTCTCAAGGTTGGACATGGTGACATGTCAGAGATGCTCTTCTGTATACCTCTGTTGTAAAGAGTGGTCATTTGACTTACTGTTGCCTTTCTATCAGCTCAAACCAGTCAGGCCATTCTCCTCTGACCTCTGGCATCAACAAGGCATTTGTGCCCACAGAAGGATAATTGACTGGATAATTTCTCTTTATCTGACCATTCTCTGTAAACACTAGAGATGGCTGTGCCTAACATCCCAGTCGATCAGCAGTTTCTGAAATACTCAGACCAGCCAATCAACCATGCCAACTTCAAAGTCACTTAAATTCACTTTCTTCCCCATTCTGATGCTTGATTTGAACTGCAGCAGATCATCATGACCATGTCTACATGCCTAAATGCATTGAGTTGCTGCCATGTGATTGCCTGATTAGAAATTTGCATTAAGAAGCAGTTGGACAGATGTACCTAACAAAGTGGCCAGTAAGTGCATCCTATAATAATGCACAGAGAGCAAAATGACACACCTCAATTTTTATTTACATTATAAATAATGCAGTTCAGTTAAAATATCACACACAGACATCAATCATTATCATTACTGTGAGTGAAAGCCATTATTTTCCACATGAATATAGTGTTTTGCCAAGTACCTGTTACAATTACAGCTGGGACAGTATTCAAAATAAGCTGAATCACATTTTGAGTTTGTTTTATGTAACGCTAAAAACATCAAAAAGCAAAACAAAGTCATTTGCATCTTCAGGAAGAAGGACTATGTACAACAAAATCACTAGATGAATTTAACCGAGCAAATCCACCTACATTTTCATCCGCAAATAAAGAAATGTCTTTGTAAATATAGTGTTTGTTGCTAAAACTTCTGCATTCCCCCAATCATGTAAGTGTTTCTCAACCATGTTCCTGGAGGACCACCAGCACATTTTCCATGTCTCCTTCACCAAACACACCTGATCCAGATCATCAGCAGAGACTGAAAGACCTGTACTGGATGTGACAAAGGAGACATCCAAAACATGCAGTGTTGGTGGTCCTTCAGGAACGTGGTTGTGAAACACTGAATTAGGGGACCAAGTGTTTAAGAATGAGCGTACCGAGACTTTTAATTCCCTTAAAAGCACAAAAATTGGATGATGTTTAAATTTAAATTTTTTAAGTACACAGTAGAAGCAGCAAAACATTTTACACATACATATACGAACACTCCTTTACCCAAACATCCCACACAACAAGGCATGGAAGGTGAAACACCCTACAGTGAACAGGACTAATGTGCATTAGAGATGCTGATATGTGGTGTTATGATCACATAAATAAAACTGTAATCATATTTAAAGATAGTTCAACCCAATTTGCTGTATGTTCACTCCCCCTCAGGCTGTAAAAGATGCTACCTTTTTATTTATTAGATCAGATTTCAAATATTTTTTATCTGAAACTATGATGATTAAAAAAGAAAATGCAAGTCTACAGCTTTGAGAGTCAAACAAATAAAAGTAATATACAGGCAAAAGAACTGCAGATTCTGACAATACACTAAGCCACAGGTGTCAAACTCAGATCCTGGAGGGCGGCAGCTCTGCAGTTTACTTCCAACCCTGCTTCAATACACTTACATGTGGGTTTCAAATATGCCTGAAGGACTCAATTAGTTTGATCAGATGTGTTTAATTAGGATTGAAACTAAACTGTGCAGAACGGTGGCCCTCCAGGAACTGGCTTTGACACCTGTTCAATTGCATTATTACTTTTAGTGTCTGTATTTGTTTTGACTCTCAAAGTGCTAATCACCATTGCTTTGCATTTTCTGAATCCACAAATACCCCAGTTTCACCAAACAAATCTTTAATTTTCAACTTTTGTACATCTTAAATGGCCTGAGAATTACTAAATGAACAGCGACATCTCAATTTGGTGAGAACTATCCATTTAAGAGGACGTATTAGCAGCTATCTTGAAGATTTAAAATGGTAGATCAAATCAAAGTTAGACTAGAAATATTTTATAGCTTCCCGAACTCTCGCCCTTTTTTGATCAGCTGCACAAATGTGACAAGAATACATTTGCATAAAATACGTAACAGCCGACTGTATAAGCATTAAAATAAAGCAGATGGAATGGTAAGTGCGGAGATTTTGTTTCGAGAGCAGCCGTTGCGTTTTGAAACATGCTTTTCCCGTCTCAGAACATGATGCTACGCTAACCTGCAAAGACTTGTGGCTGAAGTGGAGGTGGCAGCCTGTCGTTCTCCACGTTTTCGGCATCGATCGCTGATGCGCGTGGTTTGATGTCCAGCGGGTATCGCTCCAGGATCTCCTGCACCTCGCGGGCCACGCTCTCCTGCCATTCGGTCAGCTCCGCCTCCAGGCTCTGCGCCCCCTCGATGACCTGCTGCTGTCTTTTCTCCAGGCTGGACAGGACACTGAGGTTGTGTTGGATCTGAGTGAGCACTGGATTTACACGAGAGCCACTTTGGGGCCAGCCTGCCGGATCGTCTTGCCTTCGAGGAGAAGCCTGGCCTGACATGTAGCGCTCAAAATCCTCAGGGCTGAGATTTAATGACTGGGCGTCCAGCTTCTCTATGAAGGCAACGGCACAGCACTGTAGGGAAATGAATGATAAGAAAACTGATACATCCGAGAAAAAAAAAAAAAGACTAAATTAAAATATACTTAAAAGACTTTTACAAAAAGCACAATAACTTTAAATATAAATATAACAATAAATGTAGATGTGCACACACACTGACAAAAATAACAATCTGTTTATTTTAAGGTAATAGTTTTTCATTCTGCATTGCTCCCTTGTAACCAGCAGTGTGCTATTAACGCATCTGACCAGTGAATCCAGCTTGTGTAATCAATCTCTAACACACACTATTTTTCCCAGCAATTTAAAAAAAGAAAACACAAAGACGCCTAAAACTAACACTGGACCCCTGAGATTGTTTTATTTTATACTTGCCAGGCTGGCTTGCATAAATTCTGTGTATGTTTTATTAATATTTCCTATTCTTTAACTAATTGTTTCCAAGATAGTAATCATTTTTAAATAATCTTTGAAAATTGGGCTTAACATCAAGCAGTGAGCTTTTCCACAAGGTCATCTGTGGCTTTAAAATTCATGAGCCCTTTATATTTCAATGGATTCTGATAGTGACCCCAATGATGTTGCTTGCCCATATCTTTATTGTTCTAGCTGTGGTGTGAATTCGGCAGTTGTTTTGTATCCATGAATGATTTTAATGATTTTTATTTATTATGCTTAGTCTGAATGAAATGCCATGGGTCAAACAAATAAATTAATCCAGAAGACAAGACTAGACTAAACGTGGGAACGTTTATTCTCAGCTGATGTCTGGCTAGTTATTTTGCACATTTCAGAAGTAATTTTTGGTGGTCTCACAATTTCAATTTTGACAGCAAATCTCATTATGGGATTGAATGAATTGAACAAATTTAAATAGCATTTAAATAGCAAATTCATTATAGCATTATAGCATACGGTACTCGGCTTTCATTATTGTTAATATTTAAACATATTTAAGCTTTTTTGTATTTCCAAGAGCTGCTGAGTTCAGTTTGTTACTCCTGTTTTGCCTATAATAATAGCCATTTGGATATTGGATATGTTATATATTTTTTTAAGATTTTAAAAACGTCTATACTTTCATGCAAAAAAAATCTACATTTTATTAAATATTAAATTATATTACATTAATAATACCAAATTTCATTAAAATTTTTTTTTAAATGTCAATATTAATTCCATCATTACAAAACTTTTATTTATTTATTTATTTTTTAAATAGGAAATTTCCTTAATATCCAAATTTTCCTCTCAGGGCATCCCAAATTCATAACCGCCTCTCTAATGTTTCCTATAGTAGGTAGCATTAGCTCTTTTCTCACAGCATCTGAAATGTCCGATCCCCCCTGCTCTGATTGGTCAGATGGTTTGTTATGGGTCATCCATTTACAGTATATGTCTGAAACCAAACATTCACTATGTATGTGAGGCGAGCATGTCTGAATTTATAGACAACTCATATTATTTGTAAGTTCAAAATATTTTTTTTTCTTAAAAGTAAAGAAAAAATAATTGTTTGCACTTTTAATATAGTTGAAATCTAAAAATGTACTTTCTGTTTGTTGTCAGTTAAAATCTCAGATTACGACTGTCTGAGGGCACGGCTAACATACTTAACCACAGCAACTCCAACAGTCAATTTTGACAATAAACAGAAATGGTAAGGAGGAGGAGTCTGTAAGGCTGCAATAACTCTCCTCAAACACTTTTCTCGACCTTTCTGAATGAAATGCTTATTTTACTACATCCAATCAGCTCGCAGCAGAAAAAACAAGCCACACCCACTGTTTTCTCATTTTATCTTTTGTTTCTCTATGAACTGTCACAATACGAAAAAAAAAACGGTCGCAGCTTCCGGCTCATGTGGACTTTTAAGAGTCTTTGACAAACTACTAAATCATATGAACATATAAGAACCGAATAACTTGCAAAACAACAACAGAGTCACTCTATTATTAGTTTGTTTAAACATAATTTTTTGGCGACCCTTAATTGTGTGTGTACCCACCAGGTTGGTGAAGTAATATCCATCCTCTCCTGTCATGAGTCTTGAGGGGTTGCAGAAGCGTGTGATGTACTGGATGTTGGACTGCAGTCGTGGCGGGTTTGCCTTCAGTACGATATAGATGAGGGTGGGCAGGAAGTCATCTGCAGAAGCTGGCTCGTTCTTAGTGACCCTGATGGCATTAAAGATATGCTTGCTGCAACTGGTGATGCACGCCAGTTTATCCCGGGGCACACGCTTGGAGTCCATCTCAATGATATCTGTGGCATGACAAATCCATAATCAAACAATACTGTATTTGACACCAGCAACTAAGAGAGAAAAATAGCATGATGCTCGGCTGACTCACCGGTGATGGCTTTGACTACACTATCAGAGACTTCTGGAATCTCCTCTTCCACAGGAACACACAACATCTGAATGGTTACCCAGTGTAAGGCTCTGGAAAAACCATCCATCCATTACCAAGCGAGTTAATCAAGACTGCAGATTCTTTTAAAGCGTAAATGCCTCATATTCTCTTGAGGAGTATGTTTTTTATTAAGAAAAAAGGAGGTTAGCAGTGTTATCATGTAAAACTTAGTATTGTGACCTTGGTAACAGAAATAAATTGGACATATATAGTATAAAAACACTAAAACCAAAACCCTAATAAATAAAGCTAAATAGAAATAAGAAAATAATTAGATTCTGATCGGATTTTTGTTTTCAGAAAAAATTTGGATTTTTAAAAAATAATAATAAATAAAAAATGGAAAATAAATGAGAAAATATTAAAAGCTATTAGGTGACACAGTGGCTCAGGGTTAAGCACTGTCGCCTCACAGCAAGTAAGGTCACTGGTTCGAGTCTGTGTCCATTGGCATTTCTGTGTGGAGTTTGTATGTTCTCCCCGTGTTCTCCCCGGGTGCTCCAGTTTCCCCCACAGTCAAAGACATGCGCTGTAGGTGAATTGATTAAACTAAATTGGCTGTTGTGTATGAGTGTGCATGTGAGACTGTATGGGTGTTTCCCAGTACTGGGTTGCAACTGGAAGGACATCCACTGTGTAAAATATATGCTGGATAAATTAGCGGTTCATTCTGCTGTGGCGACCCCTGTTGAATAAAGAGACTAGGCCGAAGGAAAATTAATGAATGAATAAAAGCCATTATAGAAAAATAGAAAACATTACTTTAAATTTTAATAAACAATATAATTCATTCATTCATTTTTGGCTAAGTCCCTTTATTAATCTGGGGTTGCCACAGTGGAATGAACCGCCAACTTATCCAGCAAACGATTTATGCACTGGATGTCCTTCCAGCTGCAACCCATCACTGGGAAACACCCATACACACTCACTCACACACATACACTACGGACAATTTAGCCTACCCAATTCCCTATAGCGCATGTCTTTGGACTGTGGGCGAAACCGGAGCACCCGGAGGAAACCCACGCGAACAGGGGAAGAACATGCAAACTCCACACAGACAAGCCGATTGATCCAGCCAAGGCTTGAACCAGCGACCTTCTTGCAGTGAGGCGCTCGTGTTACCCACTGCGTCACCGTGACGCCCTAAGCAATACAATATATAGAATAAATTAAAAGTTTTTAAAAGTAGAAATTTAAAAAAAAGGAGAAGAAAATTTTAGAATTGTGACCTTGGAAACTGAAAAAATTTGGACATATATAGTATAAAACACTAAAATAAAAAAAAATAAAAAAAGATAAATAGAAATATGAAAATATTTAGACTAAACAAAAAATGGAAAAATAAATTGTAAAATATTAAAAGCTATTGTAGATAAATAGAAAAAGCTATTTTAAAATGTTATTAACAATGCAATAATTTGTTAACTAAAATAAAGCTTTTAAAATAATTGCCTGAATGAAAATAATTAGAGATAAAATGCAAAAATCACAAATAAAAACAGCAAATTAAAACAAAAATAGCTTAAACTAACTCAAAGCAGACAAAAAAGACAAAAAGTTTAAAAAGTGCAAAGAAAAACTGAACTAAAATGAAAGTAAATACTGAAAATATTATGTAAACTGAAAATAAAAATATTAAGAATAAATTGACTAATGAAAATGAATTGGAGCTAAAAAAAAATAACTAAAAGCAAATATAAAAAAATAAATAAAACAAAATAACTTTAATGAACTGAAAGTAAACAAAAAAGACAATACAAAATTGCAAAACTGCAAGGGAAAACTGAACTAAAATGAAAGCAAAAAGTGAAAATAGGATAATAAACATTAAATAACATTGGCTGACCTAATCCTGTGCTGCGTGGCCAGGTCTTTTTTCTCATCATCTGAGGTTTCTGGACAGAAGACGCTCTTGTAGAGTCGAGTCATGATGTATTTTTCCACTTGATCCATCACCCTGTCCACTTTCTCAGAGGAGCCTGAAGAAAAAACAACATATTAAGGTTTACAAATGTACAGTGTTTCTGATTAACAACTTCAAACCATAAGTAGCATTAAAGTTCGAAGAATTTAAATGAGCATTTAAATGGTTTGGAATCTGTGTTACTTTTTACAGTTTGTTACATAACTTTGCCACATCACCAAGATGAACAATAATTTTCTTTTAGATGCTTAACAGAAATGGTGGCTTCGTGTAAAGGGTCAGGGTTAATAGTGTTAACTAAAACTATTTCACATTTAAATAAAGAGGAAATTTAATTCAATATACAAATTAATCAATGAAAAATGTTTTTAAATTATTCATATGTATAAATAGAATAATATTTAAAAACAATATTCTGACTAAAAATCAATGATTTGCCTATTCATTGGCCAATTGTTACTTATACATTTCACATTTCCAAACATTTTAAAAAGCTTATTTCAAGATCATTCATTCATTTTCTTTTTGGCTTGGTCCCTTTATTAATCAGGGGTCGACACAGCGGAATGAACCGACAACTTATCCAGCATATGATTTAAGCAGCAGATTCCTTTCCAGCTGCAACCCAACACTGGGAGTTTGTTCAAGTTTACTGGATAATTTCAAATAATTGGCAATGCAAAAACTAATGTTTCATCCAACAAAAATGCACCACATTTGATGGTTGACTGGAATGTCAGGCATTTTAAATATAGTCATGTGCCTATTTGTTAACATTTATTACACATAAAACAGTACATACAATTATGCATACACACATGCATACAAAACAATTAATAATGAAGATTTTCAATTTGTAGATACACCCGTTTCACAAATAACATTGCCTCCCCCAATACCAGCCCCACCTACATGCAAAAAAAAATATTTTCGACCAATTACAGCAAACCACCCAATCAGACACTCAAACCAGTGAATTTCTTTATTTACAATTGATTGAGTGATTCATCACTGCGGGGTTTCTCAGAAGCTTGAACCCTACCTTTAAAATGATTCAAGAGTCGGTCAGACATGCCCTGATAGAAGTCTTGCACACATTCAGACAGTTCTTCAGCGCTGAGATCCTGCTGAGAGAAAATACAAAATATAATGTTTACTAAAATGATTAAAGAGCCACTATTATGAGCACTGTGTTTAAAACGAGTGATTCTTTAAGGAAATAGTCGTCTCGGAGTCGAATAAATGAATCAAGCTGGGTTCAGAACTGAACGCATCAATGTCGATACGGTAAATCACCAAATATGTAGTGCCAGATCCAGTAAAACGTGAATGCGCCTTTGCCATTAGACACTAGCGGAGCGCAGGGTTCATAGGACTAATCGTGACGGGAAGATGACGATTACTGACAGATTGTTTTCACAACAATCCCACAGTATAGCCAATCGTGTGCCGTGTTTGTTCCTGTCATTTTTCAGATTTTTGAACCTACGCTGCAACGCCAGATTCATCGACCGTTTATATTTGTTTGTTTGTATACTTTATTGTCCCTCAAGGGGAAATTTTCTGTAGACTCACATAGCACTTCAGCAGGTTTTGACACAATAACAACTTAAAAAATAAGCCAACATGCAAAAGAATTACATATACTACTGTTCAGTGTTCAATAGTCTGATTGACACTGGAATAAAAGAGTTCTTAAGCCTGTTCCATTTCCAGCGGAAAGTTCTGTATCTTCTTCCAGAAGGTAAAAGATCGTAAAATGTGAAGAGTCCATGCGATGGGTTACTTAAAATTATTTTCGCTTCATTCAGAGTGCATTGCTCGAAGAGTGTTTGTATACTAGTAAAAGTTTCAGATCCTATTAGTTTTATAGCAGTTCTGATAATATTTAAAAAATTTGATTTCAGATTTACAGAAAGATTGCCATACCATGTAGATACACCATATCTGATAACACTTTCAAATAGAGCTTGATAAAATAAGTACATAATTTTCTTATCAACACCATAAAACCATAACCTTCGTAGAAAATACAGTCTTTGGTGAAGCTTTTCACAGATCCAGTTTACGTGAGTGTCCCATGTTAGAGACCTGTCTGTGTGAATAGTGTGAATGTGAATGTGTCTATGTGTTTACTATTAAAGGAAAGAGCAGCAAAGACTATTATATAAGGGACTTTGTCAGACTTTGGCAGGGACTTTGTCAGTAACTTTAAGTTCGTATGGACCATTATCTTCTTCCTCCGGATCGTAACATGTAAGTGTGATTAAAATTGTAGCCTCATTTTGTGTAGTTTGCAAAATATATATCTAATAGTGTGTTGTAAGTTGTAATCGCTCCACGCGACTTGTGATCACTTATCTATTATAGATCAGTGGTTATAATGTAGCTCTTAGGTTAAATCTTTATTGGGCTATTTCATCCAAAACCCTGTTAAAAACGTGACGCGTACTTCTCCCTTCACAGATTTGAATGCGTTTCTGAACTCGCAATCCTCTGCTGTTTGTCTTTGCTTTGGCCACCATCAGCTGTTCCTAAAGCACATGGCAAGGTCAATTTTCAAAATAGTAAAATTTTTGCCACTGTGTGGATTAATAGTGAATGTGTGTCATGTTATTACTTGGAATTAGGTTTAAGAGAAGAGCATATGCTGGTGTTTAACCACATTGCTTTATTGCATTGCTGCTCTCACATACTCTGTGCTTCTTCATAACCGTGGTGAGCATTTCTCGCTGTCTCGACCAATCACAAAAGACTGGGCAATTGGACCAATCAGCACAGATTAGCCTCACGCAAAATAGGGGTTTGGGAACAAATGAATCGATAAACAAATCATACGGGAGTTATTAGGATAATTAGGTCAAAATAAATGCATATTATAAAACAATGAAAGTGTCATTGTGTCAAGCATATCAGACTGTTGTTGGTGACCCGCAAAACCAAAATATGATCTTATATAATGCATAATAGGGGCACTTTAATAACATCAAAACATTATGTAAACTTTATGTAAGCCTGATCCTCACCTTTTTATTCCCCATGCTGTCAATAAATGCACGACTGTGTTTGTGGATCTCTCTGCCAGGCTTATGCAAGGTCTTGAGGAACTCCACAAAGTCTCGTGACACGCGATCGGTCTCGATGCTGGACTGACGGGTGATGGACGGACTGGGCGTTTTTGCCTCATGGCTCTCTGAGGAATACAAATATGCACACAGTATGTTTACAAAACTAATTTAATAAACTAGTTGGATGTTAAAGAAACACTCCACCTTTTTTAGAAATATGTTTAATAAATCCAGTCGGCTGATGTCCGAGTATGGAAAGAGCACTTTTAGCTTAGCTTAGAATAAATGACTGAATCGGATTAGACTAGGGGTGTCAAACTCATTTTAGCTCAGAGGCCACATGGAGGAAAATCTATTCCCAACTGAGCCGGACTGGTAAAATCATGGTATATATAATTTAAAACAACAACTTCACATTGTTTTCTTTGTTTTAAAACGATAAACATAAAACATGAGACGCTCAGGACAACACAATCTCACGGCAATTCGTTACTTTTTGATTTAGCGGCTAATTTATATTAATTCGTAAGATCTCATTCGTACAATTTAGTACAATCTGCTTATCCACTGATGACGATTTGATTTAGGGGTGTGGTTGGGTGCGTTGCCTCCTTTTTTATATTGTACGATTTCGTATGACCGAACTCGAACTAATTAGTTACTAAACTGACCAAACGTGAAATAGTTGTTTTCTCATGAGAACACCTCAGTGTGGCATAGCAGGCCATAGATGTGATCTTTCTCTCTAAGAGGGCTCTCAAACTGATGCTAATTTAGGTTTCTGAATTGAATGAAATTAACAGTTTGCAATTGCGCCATTCAGTGGACACAACTGGAACAGCAGTTTTTTTCATTTTTATCCTTTACAGAATCATCTCGCAGGCAGGATTAAACTCGTTTGCGGGCCGGATCCATCTGTTTGACACCCTTGGATTAGACCATTAGCATCTTGTTCAAATAATAAAATAAAAAAAAAAGAGTTTTTAAAAATTTTCCTATTTAAAGTGCGAGTCTCCTGTAGTTACATCGTGTACTAAATGTACCTGTAGTTACATCGTGTACTAAGACAGACGGAACATCAAAAGTTGCTATTTACTAGGCTGATATGCCTAGGAATTATACTCTCATTCTGGCTTAATAATCAAGGAACTTTGCTACCATACCATGGCTCCAGCAAGTGCAATGATATAATGAAGTGCATGAAAGGAATTAAGAGAAGAGAATACTCATACAGATTAGTCAAACTTTAAATAGGAAAACAATCAAAACTCTTTATTAGATGCTAATGGTCTAATTCAATTCAATAATTTATGCTAAGCTAAAAGTGTTCCCGTCAGACCCAGAGAATGGCTTCAAAAATGATAAAACTTCACTTTAACTCTAGTGGGGTTGTAAATTATCTTATTTTCCAAAAACATGGAGTGTTCATTTAGAGAGATAGTTCACGCAAAAATTAAAATTCTATTATTTCATCTCCCTTTACTTGATCCAAACTGATTTGAGTTTCTTTCTTCTATTGAACACAAAAGCAGATATTTTGAAGAATGCTGGAGGCTGGTGCTTTTAGAAAATGACACTAATCTTTTGATTTGTTTACTTTTGTGTTCAACAGAAAAAACAAACCTTTTGGGGTGAACTATATCTTTAATATAGATCAAATGCAAATGGAAGTTAGCGTTCTTCACAGAATGTCATGTGAAATTAAGTCCTTTCCCGTCATTCTCACTACAACTGAAGTCCAATGAGTAGTCAATGTTTCTCAAGAATCAACAAAATAGCTTGAACAGAATTACTCATGACATTCTGCACAGAGTAAAGAACAATTCCATCAACTAAACAACATAAAAAGTCACAGCATAAGTCCAAATCAATTTGTAGCCAGTTCAGAAGTAGGCCATTACACTGAAATATTGATCTGTCACCATGCTAACACCTTTGACATCATATCAGAGTCAAAGAATGAAATAGAGAAGCTGAATGAATTGAGTAACTGCATGCTTTGGCTAACACTACACAGATGCAGTTACACCTGTTTTTCTAAACGCTCCATTGACTAATGAGGCGTTCCAAGAGTTTCAGCCTGAATGCAATAATGCATGCAGCTCACATACAACACTGGTTTGTTTTCTGTGATTTGTGCTGATGGGCTACAGTGATGTGGCACTAATACCCACCTCTCAGTCTCGATACCAGAGCTGCCACCAGATTGACAAGAAAAGAGGAGGACGCATGACAATGAGACAGTGAACATGGAAAAAAAATTGGTAGGGTGATCAATCAGGTATTTAATGATGCCCACACACATACACATACTGTACATTATTGTATATGCGGTTTACAAGGATTCTCCATATTCGTAATGCATTATATACTTTAAGAACCGCTTACTATTTGCTTACTACTTAATAACCCAACCCTCACAGGAAACCTGTGGCAAAATTTAAATGACAAATACCCCATTAAGTATGATTTCTTAAAAGGAACACCACTTTAAAAACTCCCCTAGAGTTAAACGGTAGAGTTTTACCATTCTTTACCTTCCCCTTGTCTGACAGAAGTACTTTTAGCTTAGCATAAATCATTGTATCAGATTAGACCCTTAGCATTAACTTCAGTAAGCGCATAAGAATGTAGATCAATTTCTTATTTAAAGCCTGACTCTTCTGTAGTTGTGTACTAAGACCAATAGATAATAAACAGTTGATAGGAACTAATTTGCTGCTGTATCATGGCACTGTTACCTAGTTAGGGACTATTTTCAGGTGCTATATAATATCATGATTACGGAATAAGAGTATAGCTCCAAGCCATATTGGCCTAGAAAATAGCATCTTTTCATTGTCCGTCTATCTCACGTGATGTAAGAAGATTGAAACTTTGGGAAAGTTTTTTAACTTAAAAACTTTTTTTTTTTTTTAAATGTGATGCTAATGGTCTAATTCGATTCAATGATTTATGCTAAGCTAAGCTAAAAGTGCTCCTGCCAGTCCCGGAGATTGGCTGAATGGATTTAAAACATAATGTGTAATGTGTATTTATATTTTATTATATTATATATTGTATTTTATTATATTATTGTGTATGGCCATACACACAGAGCACTTCACATTCATGAGGGGGGTCTCTCCACACCACCACAAGTGTGTAGCGTCCACTTGGATGATCCGACGGCAGCCACAGGACAACGGCGCCAGTGCGCTCACCACACACCAGCTATTGGTGAAGTGAAGAAACAATGATACAGCCAATTCAGTGGATGGGGATGATTAGGAGGTCATGATGGGTGAGAGCCGATAGAGAGAATATGGCCCGGACACCGGGGTTACACTCATACTCTTTTACAACAAGTGCCATGGGATTTTTAATGACCACAGAGAGTCAGGACCTCGGTTTAACATCTCATACGAAAGACTGACAGCATAGCACCCCCTTCACTATACTAGGGCATTAGGGCCCACACAGACCACAGTTTGAGCACCCCCTGCTGGCCTCACTAACACCACCTCCAACAGAAACCTTGTTGTCCCATGAGGTCTCCCATCCAGGTACTGACCAGGCTCAGCCCTGCTTAAATTTAGTGAGTACCTGGTCTTGGGCAGCAGAGTGATAAGGCTGGTAAAAAAAAAAGTGAAGTGTTCCTTTAAGGACACTTGTATGCCCTTGTGAACCATCTTAAAATTGCAATACCCAAGTTATAACCAAGCCACTATACCATTTTACGTCCTTGTAAACCACATAAACCAGAACACACACACACACACATCTAACATAAACAAGTGATTAAACCAATACACACACTACAGTATGGAATCAGGGTCGTACGTCACAAAGAACATGAAATGTTTGTTGCGCTCTGTGAGATACCCTTTAACCTGTTCAACACAAAACATAGGGGTCGACCGCAGAAAGGACAAACACTGCAAACTCCACCCACTCTCCCTTTTCATAACCCCAGATTTTCCTCCAGGCTCAGTCGGTTACCTTCAGTGGGGGAGCTCATTTCCCAGGGTTGGGTAAAAATGCCCTTCAGATCCCTCAGGAGGTTTTCTCCATGGCTCTCTCTCCTGCCTGGCAACTTCTCCTCTTTCTCTTTCTCTCTTTCTTTTTCGGGGGGGACTAAAACACCCAGGGTGGGCAAAGGAAACGGGCGAAAGGGAGGGGTGAAATGATGAAAAATGTGGTGGTGGTGGCAGAGGCGGGATGAATAGTGAAACAAAGAGTGGGAGAGTAGGGGCGGAGATCAGATAGAATATAACGAGAGATGAAGAAAACAAAACTGAGAGGTGAAGGGTGGATCACTTGTTCAAATAAAACCATCAGATAGACAAATGATGAAATGATATGATCGCAAATAAATAAATAAATGCATCAAAGCAAGGGAGGATTAAATACACTACCATTTAAAAAGTCTAGTGGGCAGTAAACAAATTAAATAAATGCATTTATTTTGGATCGATTACAAAAATATGATTAGGATCTTATGATTTCCATAATGGAGCAAATGCGGACGGAATTGAGAAATAAAGTCACAATAACAGGATTATCCCTGGGAAGTCATGGTATTTGGAATAATAGGGTAAATGCAGAGCTAGTGTTTCTTCCCATAATGATAAACTTCCGGTGAACGACTAATGTAACGTTTTTCCATTTTATACGGTTCCTTTTACAGCATTGATGTCGTAATGTAATAAAATATAATCAGTTAAATAGATTTTGCCATTCATTTAGTTGTTCAAGTGTAAAACCAGATGAAAAGTCGTTTACATGTACGCGGCTGTCAGGATGTGCAGGCTAGCGAAGAAGCTCCATTGAATGTACTGGGGTAACATAAATGCTCATGTTTTAAAGACCTGACGGGGAAAAATGTAATTTAATGCAGTGCTTCTTGTACATTCTGATACCCCTTTATATCACTCAGGCAGTGGAGATGGCTAATTTTTAAAGAAAGAAAAAAAACAGACCTTAAACGCGCCGATTTTGTAATGGCATACAGTTCACCGGAAGTGCGTGACCCAGGTTACTGACAAACTAAAAGTACTTCTGCATATATTTAGATCAATAAATCAAGATTAGCAGTGCACACAATATCAAATCGTCATGTTGACTACTGTTTGTGAATATAAAGCTGTAAACAGCATTGACATTTGTATAAATGTTTGTTTAAAACAATGACAAAATGAAAGCTTTCTATATTCTTTGTTCATAGTATTCCAGTTTTATTTATTGTCTTTCCAAACAATCGCAGCTATAATGAGCGTAAAACAGCATAAAAATAGGAATGTAATAATTCACAGTGAGTCAGTTAAAAACCGACTCAAATATGTGGCAATTCAAAACAGTTGAAATGTTGAATAAATCGTGATACATTTTGACCAGTGGGGGGCGCTGTGTTTACAGGCGAATCAGCGGCGAGCAAGAAGTGGGGCAGCAGAGTAAAATGAAAGCAGTGAAGTGCGCCAGACAAAACAACAAACTGTGTGCAAATACTGCAAAAAGATGTTTACTTACACTAACAGCAGTGTTGGGGAGTAACTAGTTACATGTAACGGCGTTACGCAATTTAATTAAAAAATAAATATAACAGTAATTTGTTATATTTACTGGGAAAATATGTAATTTAATTACAGTTACTTATGAAAATGTTAAAGATTACAAATGGGGTTACATCTGAAAAATTTTCTTTACAAGTAATGACGCTACTAGCTTAACTACATCTCTCAGTAGTTTGGCGGTAGCATCGCTACGTTAAAAATCAAATAGCTTTTTAGTAGCAAAGCTATTTTATTAGTCAAGTAGCGCAGTAGCGTCAACACAAGCTACATTTACCAATCGCAGATAAATAAGTGATGGCACCGATATTCACAGAGGTGTGAGGCCGGTGTCTAGCCGATGAAAGTAAATCCATACGGTGGTGAAAATGATGATTTCTTCTTCTACCTGTTTTTCAGTAATCGACAACAAACTTTCTGGTGCGTTACTGCCACCTCTCGCTCTGGTTGGTGATGTCGCCAAACAATTAGGCTTACAAAAGAAATTTACTTGATGGAAAGATGACTGAGGGAGAGGTATATATATATATATATATATATATATATATATATATATATATATATATATATATATATATATATATATATAGTTTACTGTAGTAAAGGCTAAAGTATACTATGGTAATTATTATTAGCTCATGATAGTTATTTATCATACTACATTATGTTGTGTAATTTATATTAATTAATATTTTGTTTTTAAAATAGCACAAAAAAAGTGCAGCATTTATGAAAAAAATGAAAGGGCTCTTCACCTTAAATTTGTTTCAAATAATTTTGTTAAAAAATTGTGACTGAATCCTGAATCATGAGATTAGTGTTGTGAATTGTATCGAATCGTGAATCGTTACATCCCTAATCAAAAAATATTTGTAAAAATCTTGCTGACTTTAAACTTTTGAATGGTAGTGTATGTTTGACATTTCAATAATAAAGCCTTTCCATAATTACCATCATTCATGTCTAATAAATAAAGATTAAACCAATATAAATTTGCATTCCAAGACAGTCTGCGCAGTCTTTGTGACTAATCTGTCATCATCAGAAGTGGATGTTCACACACACGGATGGTCTGATTAACACAATGCATGCACAAGGTGAATGTTCAAACAGAACGAGTCCACTTTGTGGTACTGCATCTGTGTAAAACATGCAAAATTAGGGCTGCACAATATTGGAAAAAACTGACATTGTGATATTTTATTGTTCAGCGATATCGAGTATGATTTTAACATTAAATAAACAGCTTGATTTGAAATAAAAAATTTGAATTTCAGGGCAATTTTGGATGATAACAGCATGATGTCACAGTGAAGCACATCTACATAAAATTGAATAAACCAAATCACACGCAATAATAAATACATTAGCCCCTTTCACACAGTGATACCGGTAAATATCTGGAAAATTTCCGGAAAGACTTTACCGGCTATCACTTTCGCATGTCGAGATGTTCATTATATGTGCGAGTGCAGGCGCTCACAGGCTGTATCACAGGCACACGCAAAGCTTGAAGGTAAACAAACAACGGCTTATCATAAGCATCTCATCGATGAATATTTACACAGGTGGCATTAAGAAGAACATATAAACGTGATCTGACTAACTTCTAGCAGCTAAATGTATCTGGAAAAATATTCAAAGGCTTTTATCCTCACAAACCGCGCGGACGTAAATGCGTCTGACTGTTGTGATTGGCTAAAGCAGACGTCTCACGTCAGCACGTTCTAGACGTGCACACGCTTATTACGGGAATCTTCCTTCTGAATTCACACAGCGCAGCATTCCGGCAAATTGCCGGTAATGTTACAACTTCTCTTTCCGGAAAATAGCCAGAACGAATTTACCGGTATTTTCAAAAAGGACCTGTTCACACATACAACCTTTCCGGAAAATTGCCGGCAATTTTCCGGAAAGGTCTGTATGTGTGAAAGGGGCTAGTAAAGCAAAGTTACAAATTAAATAAATGCTTTCTGATTTTCTAACAGTATTCGGGAACACAAACTAAATATTTAAATGTAAATTAAATAACACTGTTTAATCTTCATTGCAGATATACTGCACATAAATACAATTAATGTTTCTTGAAGTTACTAAACTTTTAACTTCCTGTGCCTGAGTGCTTTAAACTGGCTTGAAATGCATAAATGGTCACAGGCTTTAAAACACATGCAAATTGTACAATTTTTGGGTAACTTTATGTTTAAGCTTTGCAATTACTCCACAATCATGTGTGCTTTTAACGCCAACTCAACTATAATCCTGATTGAACATTGTAGATCCTGCAATGTGACTAATGTGGATGTGCACAAGGCAATATCAATGCTGAAATGATATATTGTGCAGCCCTATGCGAATTGGAGCAGACCAGGAAAATAAAGTATACCTTAAGGCTTTATCACAGAGATGTCTCCAAATGAAATGATAAAATCAAACTGGAACTGTGTGTGATCATGAGGGAAGTCATTTGCATATGAAAACAAGCCTGATTTCCAGAAAAAGTATGCAAAATTATGTTGGATTTTCTCTTCTGGGCTCTACGGGAAAAGTGGTGATTTGGGGAAAATCTACAGCACTGATGTCTATAAAGCTGCACTCTGTTTTTACTTGTCCAGCCTATGATAATATTCATGAAGCAAGTCTAAACATAAAATAATTTAGGCAAGAGAATTAAAGGACACATTCACTCTGCTGCTGGTCTCCTGCAGCAAAACAACCCAAATCACACTGACAACACTCCAATCTCACCCTACTCATACCTTTTTTGGGGGCTGTACGTGAGGAGGGGCTGAAGAACTTCTTTACAGTGGTGACCTTTCGGGTTTTCTCGTTGGTTTTCTTCTCCTCGAATTTGGAGAAGGTGGCGAGAGAGTGCTGGGAGTGGGACTGCGGAGGCTGGGTCTGTGAGGAACTATGACTGCTGACATAAGCGGCCTCCTCTTCTCGCTGCAGCCTGCGACAGGAAGCACATCTCCACATAAACTTCTGCTTTATGAGGGATTCATTTACTTTATAGTTTACTTACTAATTTTATTTATTGGTTGATAGTTAACACAAAAATAAACCTGTAATGTTGGGGAATTCATTGTGTTTTGATTCATTTCTGATTAATGTATTACACTCATTTATATGCTTATTTGAGTGATTTTAGTATTATTATTATTATTATTATTATTATTATCTATTGTATTATTACCCGTACCTGTGGCATTATTATCAGGTATGTGTGCTTTTGTAAATAAAAAAGTCATTCTGTGTAAATGCAGTCAGAGATGAGAAGATAAATTAGTAGAGCAGCATTAATGTCACAATGAGGGTAGGTTTTTAGATGCAAGGCCATAAGGACACCTGCGTTCTGTTCGGTAACTCATGATAAGGCACACCTGCACATGCGCCCACACTTATTTGTAATGACATCTAAAAAAATATGAGTACCCATAAACTTCAGCTGAACTTACAGTTGACAGCTCAGTGGACAGTGAGCAAGATATATTGTTGAGCATTGTTTTTTGGCTGAGTCATCACAGGAAGGAAAGAACTTAACTGGATATGGGTAAGACCCCTGAAAGACCCTGAGATTCTCAGCCAAATGGGTAAATGGGTTATTATTGGAGTGATTGCAAAGTTTATATAGTCCATCAGAAGTATCATATCCAAATATTAATAATTACTTGCCTAGATACTTTCAGTCCCATCTTATTTTATTAGTACAAAGTGGAAATAAAGTGCTTAGTGCATGTAAAAGTCAAAACACAAAAGATGCTCCTTTTCTCATTTGTATTATTTGTGAGGTAAAGTTGCCTAAAAGTTTATAGTTTTTTAAGGTCTGAGACTGTATTACCAGTGAACAAGATATATTGTTGAGCATTGTTTTTTGGCTGAGTCATCACAGGAAGGAAAGAACTTAACTGGATATGGGTAAGACCCCTGAAAGACCCTGAGATTCTATTGATGGTGGGCACCTGAGAGATTTAAGATCCCATTAGCGGAGAAGCTGATAGAGGTGTGCAATATGTAAATTTGGGTGGAGTATTAAGACACAGAAATGTAATTAAACTGTGTGCAAGCCTATGTTCAGCAGACCTGTCTCTGTTGTTACTGATGCTGTAACAATAAACTGCTTTGCCTAAAGACTTCGGAGATCTCAGATTTTCTCATTTTTTGAAAAGTTTAACTTAGAGACTTAGAATATTTTGCAGACCAGAATCTTTATTACGCAACAGTAACCGTTGACTTTCATATTAGGAATCTCTACAATTACATTTTAAGGAGTGATACCATCTTTAGCTTTTCATAAAGGTCTTTTTTTCAGTTAACATGGATGAAAACATACAAAATACATGTTTAAGTGTTATTGTTGCGCTTTATCAATATGCACCTGTAGACTTAAACTACAATACATATTTTCAAATTCTGTTTTCTTACAATTGTTTTCTTTCCTCCTTCATGGAGTCTTCAAATTTGACTTCAGCTGAACTTACAAACACCAGACTTAACAGTTTTGTTCACATGTAATTTCTGATCCATACTATACATACAGACTTATTCTAGTTCGGAGTATTTGTAAACATTTTTGACTTTAATGTATCCAAAAAAAAAAAAAAATAGAATCTTAAAACCGACTTCATCCGAATTTTCAAAAAAATCTGCAAAATATGAACGTAAACTAGTGTATATTTAAAGAAGTATTGCCTCATCTGTTTATTTAAAGAACATTTTCGAGAACTTACAAGAACATATTTACAATCCTTAATTAAATCAAACAACTGGAAAAGTATAGTGATACCTACTAGTTCATTTTTACTCTCTTTACCTGTGGTGCCTTCTAACTGTGTGAACTACCAAAACCACTACAGTTTAATTTGATCTTCATGAGCATTAAAAGGATAGTCACCATTTCCCCACCCTTCACTTGTCACAAGTTTCACTAAAACAGAAACAATTCTGAAAAATGTTGGAGGTCTGTAACCACTTACCTCCATAAAATAGCTTTTTCCTACTATTGAAGTCAATGGTTACAGATTTCTAACATTTTTCAAAATATCTTCTTTTGTTTTCAAAAGATAAAGAAGCAGGATAAAGGTTTGAAACTACTTGAAGGTGTGTTATTGATGAGTAAATAATAGTTTTTGTGTGAACTATCCCTTTAAATAAGCCACGAGAATGACTCACTTCTCTGCCAGAGCCCAGTCATCCTGGATCTGCCTCTGCCGAGCTTTCTGATATTCGTCCCTCCAGCACTTGGAGCACAGGCCCTGCCAGGCAGCATTGCCATAATAACCACAGCCTTTCTTACACAGCAGTTCTGATTGGTCCACATGGATCCCCCGTCTCTCCGAGCGCTGACTCATTGTATCCTTTGTGTCTAGGTAAAGACAATAAGAGTAATAATGAGCATGCATGATACTGTTATTGTGCACACTTCAATTTAAAGGGAATAATTATTCATTATTTAAACTCAGAATGCCTTTTAAGAATATTCAATTTAGTTACAAAAGGTCCATATATCATCTGTATGTGCTCGTCATGAGATTCTACAGTGCAAAGTAGTCCACAGAGTTTACTGGTTTAAGTGTAAACTGGCTTGCATGTTCCCAGCTATTGATCCAAACTGTGACATATGTCATGCTGAACCTGCAAATCTAGTTCACGTTTTGGACCTTGTTTCCTTTTTGGAAGTCTGTTTTTGATTCATTTTCAGAAATGACATCTGTTCAAATGTATCCTTTTCCGATGGCCTGTTTGGAGTTCTACTTCATTATTGGCTAGGTGGTGTGTTTTGTTGCAGTGGAGGTCTCCTCAACCCCCATACCATACTCAATAGATTAAAGATGCCTTATTTTTGTTAAATTAGAAAAAAATAAATATAGTCAAGGTCCAGTGATCAAGTTTTCTAACATTTATTTGCCATTCATGGAGCATGTCAAATCTCTGAAACTTGAAGCAGGTACTGTCGAATGAATGGTTGAAAATCTTGCTCTTTTAGTCTGTACTTTCCAGATGAGTACTAGTCCTGATGTAGCACAAGCATAAAACTCTTCCAGACATAAAACCGCAAGTTTAAAGAATGTGCCACCCCCCTAGCATATTCAGTTTAATCCCCTTTTCTCTCTCGCTCTTTTAATTTTTTTTTCTTTTTTCTTTTATTATCATTAATTTTGCCTAATACACCATGCTGCCAATCTCAACTTTCGGTACTGACTTGTTTGTATGTTTAATTTGTTAAATGAATGCACATCATATACTGTTTGTTGCACAATATGAGGCTTATAGTGTGGTTCATTTTTATTCTTTTAATCAATTTTATACTGATAAATTTATATATTTTTTTCTCTGTTACTTTTGTTTGTTAACTGTCAATAAAAAATAAATACATAAATAAATAAAAAAATAATTTCAAAAAGAATATTCAATTTAGGGTTGCACAATGTATCTTTTCAGCACTGATATCCCAATTTATGTATCCACAATAGTAACATCACAAGATCTGTACAGTCCAGTCAGGGTTATATTTGACCAGAAGCAAGTAACAGTTGAGAATACATGTTATTATTGGAGTGATTGCAAAGTTTATATAGTCCATCAGAAGTATCATATCCAAATATTAATAATTACTTGCCTAGATACTTTCAGTCCCATCTTATTTTATTAGTACAAAGTGGAAATAAAGTGCTTAGTGCATGCAAAACTCAAAACACAAAAGATGCTCCTTTTCTCATTTGTATTATTTGTAAGGTAAAGTTGCCTAAAAGTTTATAGTTTTTTAAGGTCTGAGACTGTATGACCATTTCAATGAGTTTAAAATATTCAGCCACAAAAAATGTGTTTAACTTTAAGAAAGATTAATTGAGCTTATGTACAATCAAGACAATAGTGTCGTTTTCATTTGCTTATTCATTTTCTGCACCTGAACACTGCTAGACTCCCAGACAACAATTTTGTTTCATGTGTATCATTGCTCTACTGTTTTTATCAATTATTGTGATTGATTTATTATATTTTATGCAGATACACTTCCCTACAAAGTCATCCTGATAAACATCAAATTTTTTTTTTCTCAAATGGAGCTATTCATTTCATTTGGTGAAATTAACTTAATATCACAGGAAAACAAAACATTGTCAGTTTTCCCAATATCGTGCAACCCTAATTCAAATTGTGGTATTTACTGCGATGTTCATCAATGCGCCCAAATGCTGAAGACTGAACAGGTCATTATTTCCAAACGCAAATATATTCACTTTAATCTGGCCTATGACATGCCTGAGATTGATTGAAAATGTTCTGATTCCAATTGTTAGTTCATAAATGTAGCTATTACTCACTGATAATGACACAATGCATTAACTAGTATTTAACAATGAGTTCCTTTTGAAAAGTCTAACCTGTTATACTTTATATTCTCTTTGGCGACTGAATTTGACACAGTTGTTTATTCTGAAAGGTTATGTACAATGAAGCTATTGCGAACACTGGCATTGTGAACTAAACATGCATGAAGCAAGTCAACAGGAGTTACATTACACAATTTGCTCTGCAGACAATACTTGCAGAGTAACCAGAGATATCAACATTGCTGCAAACGAGATGAGTCATTTAAAGAGCATGACAAATGAAAATGAAAGTAATGAGATATTCATACTACCATATTAAAACTAAGATTGATATTTCAGAGGTAAATGGGAGGGAAATAAATAGTTTTACTGATTATTTAATATTAAGCTAAAGTCAATAATTTCTTAAATAAATTAGTAACTTGATTAATAAATCTGATGTCAATCAACCAATTGCGTAGAACAAACCAAAAGGAAAATGAATAATTTAAACATCTATTATAGTTTAAATGAATAAATACTTTAAGGACAAACTTTGATTAGCTAAAGTTAACTTAGATGACACTAAACTCAGCGTAATATTGGATTGACTTATATTGATTTAAGAATTGTATGTCTTATTTGACATTTAAATCCAGTAAATTGAGGTAACTTAATTATTTGTCTGGTTATTTTAACTTGCGGGCAGAAACTAATCTTATAAGGCATATTTTATCTACCGAAAATAACAAAATGTCATTCAACCCGCCGCAGGCAGTCAACACATCAAGCTAGCAAAACAGCTACGTGGCTAAAAACAAACGCAACTCTTGGTTGGCAGTATATGGCATAACTCTGCAACTTTCCGTTTATAAATAGGCAAAGCAACATATTTAAGAGATGAATGGCAAAATACAGTGTTTAATCTTAATACAGAGGACGTGTACCTCGTCAGCGGTCTCTTCTCCGGGTCACAACGACGTCATATCCAGGCGACTGGTGAGGGAGGGACACTGGCTGGGCTGATCTCGAAATGTCAACATTCACGAAAACGTAACCATAAAACAATTCCAGCTTCTTCTTTTAAATGGCCGGCCACATATAACATTAATTGAGACGTTACTTGGAATCTTCCACATAAGTATTTGCTAAATAACAAAGTAAAATAAATTACATATACAATTTCAAATAGATGCTATCCTTGTAATATTTTGGTGAGTAAATATATGCAAGATATTGAAAACAGACAACTGGGTAAAACTATATATTTCAATGTTTCCCTCTATTTGTTGGAACAATTATTGTGGAATTTGGAGTACATTTGGACATCAAAGAGGATGACCTAACTGCAATTTGTTTACTTATTTTACCTTAATTCTTCATTCATAAATGCAAAATTTTGAAAACAGCTCCTCAATTGATTGCCTTTAAAGGGGAGTTTGCCACCCATGTAGAAGCTTTAAAAAGTAATGAAGGGTGAGAAGGCTAGACATTTGTATGATATGTTTCAAGAATATGGTTTTATTTAACCCCTTACATGGTTTCTTTGTGATGTCTGCAAGGTATTTTGTATAAGTTTTTTGTTTTGTGTAAATTTTATGGCTTTATATTTAATACACTGTATATCTGATATGTCTTAGTCAGTTTGTGCAAAATTATGTTTGGATTGAGTTTGGCCTAAATTGTTATGTTTTTGAAAGACAAAACAATTAGTACATAAGAAATTAAAAAAAAAACAAAAGTATATTTTGTGACTTGGAAGAAATCATTGTGCATTTTTCTTGTGAATGTAATTGTTAAATTATTTTGGACAGAACCATGTAAAGATCTCTCAGAAAAGACAAATGTTGATATTTGTTTAAATACTTTTGGCGTAATATTTTTTATTACAACTCTAAATCTTGCATTTAGTACATTGTTAATCTTTTTATTATAATGGGTAAGTTTTTTGTATATTTATGTGTAAAGTTTTGGGGGGAAATCATTTTCTGGCTATTTTTTAAATTGACTATAAGTCATATATTTTGTTTTTAATGAGCATAAAAAAGTCTTTTTAAAAGTAAAAAATGTTTTTTTTTTATTTAATTAAAAAAAATTTTTTTTCTTCTTTCTTATCTGTATAACACAGATTGTAACAACATTTTTTTCTAATGTTCCAAGTTTCTGCACTCTATTTTTGACTGTTTTTGAATCCAATAATAAAAAAGAAAGAAAAAAAACTATTACAAAAACATTAGAATTTTTTTATAAAGTTACAATCTCATAGCGTTCAAAATATGTGGGAAATGCTTTTTATAGATTGCAAAATATATGGTTTATTATCAGCACAATAAGAGCCAGTACAATAATGCAATACAAACTGTCTTCATCAAATGTACAACAGAACAAATATGCATCGGATTGAGCAACAAAGTTGAGCTCAGTTAGGATTATCAGAAGCATGGCTGTGACATATTCTGCTGCCAAAACACAAGAGAGCTCATGCAACTTCGTGTGGCCTTCACAGCTCTCAGACCGAAACGAATAGAGGTTTCAGATGGATGAAATAACAAATAATGCAATCGTTGAGGGTTATGGCAAGCATGAACAAATGCATTTGGCAGCAGAAAATAATTTCATAAAGTGTCAAAGTAGCAAAATAGGCTATTTAACCTGCAGAAAGTTGGCTAACAGTCTTTGTATAGTATCGTTTTAATTAAATGTACTCATATTTAGGACATTTTATATTCAATCTAAAAGCTTATTCTAAAAACAAAAGTGTTTTTAAATTAAAAAATAAATGTAATGCTTGTCTAGGGGTGTGTTGTTTTTTCTGAAGGCTTTATGTGAAGCTTTGGGTGGCTATAAATGCTAGACCTTTGTATTCTAAATTAAGTCAGCTTCTGCTTAGATTGCGTGATCTATAATGCTCATTATTGGCAACATAACACAGATCAGGTCCAACGTATATAAATAAAACAAATGGAGTAAAACAATATCAAAAATACTGAAGAGGAGAAAGGTTTCCTTCTGAAGAAATGCATCACAAGCAATGACAAATTTCCGATTTCCCATTAGGAGTGCAGTTGATTGAGTCTTGATCGAACTGTTAATACATTCAATACATCTAACACAAAAACATACTTTGCAGAGATGTCATAATAATAATAATAATTAAAAAAACACTGTTTCACATCAGTTCACTTCCTCTGAGGACGTTCCAGAAAACCCCTGTAGATCTACAACTGAATTAAACAATTTCGGGTTTATTCTAAAGGAACAAGGAAGGTAAACAAAAACAAAAAATCAATAGAGCTGCCCATAAAGGAAATTTGGGGTTGCAAACCACAGCAACAGCAATAATAACAGCCATCTTATTCAGAAGCTTGTAGTTTCTTCCACTCGTTGTGAGTCCTGCTGGTTTCATGTAGACCACAGCAAACATCCCTTTCTGTTCCTGATGAAACACCTCACCTTCACCACCAGGTGATTTTAAACTCATAGATGGGCCTTTTACAATAGTAGTGGTTGATGAGGTGTTTGTCGCACACGCCGATGCATTGCTGGTCAGCAGAGATTCCCCGCTCTGCCAGATCGCTTACTATGCAGTGCAGAAGGTCATAAACATCCGCCACTGCCTCCCAGGGCCCGAAGGACACGTCGACCTCACAATGGTGCTCAAACAGCTTGGCCTCACTCTCCGAGCGCTCAAAACGCAATGAGTTGAACAGCGGTCTTTCATAAGGGGTGATGGGCATCTCTTCCTTGTACACACAGATCTTCAGTTTCGCAAAGCGTGCCTTCCGCTGCATGGCACGGAGTTTCGCGATCTCCACGATGCGCTCGAGATTTTCTAGAGCAGAAAAAGGAGCAATGTTAAGTCAATTCAAAATTACTTGTTTTATTGATGATTTCTAAAGGTGTAACAATATATTATCAGGTAATGATATGACAAAATACAATATCATATCTCATTATCAGGCCCACAGCCAGCCTGGTGAACAGGGTGGTTCTTTTTTTCTCTCAAAAAGTGGACCTTTTTGCAGTTATAGGCCTCATTTAGGATACTATTTAATTATGAGGTTTAAATACTGCATGTTAGCGACATTTTAAGCACTATTTTAGCTAAAATAGCTTGTATGTTTGTCATCATAACCCAAAAAGTACATTCGAAAATTCATATATCACAACAATAGCCAAATTAGTATTCAAATTCATTTTAATGTGGGCCGCTTTTGGTGCTTCACACCTTTTTATAGGTCAGTTTCAAGAATAGGGCCCAAGAATTAGATGAAAAGTTACTTTAATAAAAACAGGAGCAAAACATGACTTCACTTACATGAGATTGTATGTTTTCTTACACAGCTGGATGTTGAACTCATGAAAAATAATTGTGTGCATTGGCCAAAACTGATTAGCTGAAGTCACACCGAAGCGACAGCCAACGGAGGATTCCGCTTGGTCTTAAAACCTTTTTTGATGGGTTATTTTCACTGTCTATGATGACATAACAGTCAAAATAGGACAAATGAGCTGATGTATGGGACAAATTCTGGACCTTTGTCAGTGAGGGGTGGGTCTTTCAAACCACCTGAAACCCCCCTGGCTACAGGCCTGATTATAAAGTTATGAAAGTTTGGACATTTAATTTAGCCTCAGCCAAAAAAAGTCACACTTTTTTTTTGGAAAAAAATAAAAATAAATAAATAAATATATATATATATATATATATATATATATATATATATATATATATATATATATATATATATAAATATATTAAAAAAATCACTTTAATTTTCTCTAAATATACATTGTAGCCTCATCTCTTCTCTCACAGTGTCTAAAATGGTTTGTTCGAAAATCTGTCTAACCTGCTTTGATTTGCCAAATGTCCCATTCTCTGATTGGTGACATAGTTTGATAAAAAAGTGTTCTTACAGCACTTATAAACAGTGATACCAGCAGTAATGCAGGTGTAGAATTAGCATATATCAATAAAACAAACAAACAGCCTCTTCTTGACAAATCGACAACAAAAACGAAAAACTGGGGCAGCAGAATATATAATAAAATTATCGCTATCGCGACAATAGTATGTGTAAAATCCCTATCGCAGATGTGATAACTTACATTTATATTGTGCAATGGTTGTTTATTTAAATTTGACCAATCAGATGGGGCCTTACTATATTTAGCCCCGCCTCTTGCTGTTCTGGTATTGGCTATAGCGGCCCAAATGTAAACCCAGGGCTGAAAATAAATACTTATGGTGGAATTCGAGATGAGAGAGAAAAATAACAACAGCCAATCAGTCAGAACATCTGCTGAGGTTTTCCCTCATTTGTAGTATTTTAAAGACTAAATGTTTGCAGCTGGCGATGCAGTGGCGCAGTAGGGAGTGCTGTCGCCTCACAGCAAGAAGGTTGCTGGTTCGAGCCTAGGCTGGGTCAGTTGGCGTTTCTGTGTGGAGTTTGCATGTTCTCCCTGCGTTCGCGTGGTTTTCCTCCGGGCGCTCTGGTGTCCCCCACAATCCAAAGACATGCCGTACAGGTGAATTGAGTATGCTAAATTGTCCGTAATGTATAAGTGTGAATGAGTGTGTGTTTGTGTGTGTGGATGTTTCCTAGAGATGGGTTGCAGCTAAAAGGGCATCCGCTATGTAAAAACGTGCTGGATAAGTAGGCGGTTCATTCTGCTGTGGCGACCCCAGATTAATAAAGGTAGTAAGCCGAAAAGAAAATGAATGAATGAATGTTTGCAGCTTGACATTGTTTTTTTTTTTCTGAATTAGATCTAAAAAATATTGTATTTTTATTGCATTTTAATATCATTACAAAATTATATTATTTAAAAACAGCCAACAGAAATATAATTTTTGGTCGTACTTTATATTAAGAGTCCTTAACTACCATGTACTTACATCAAAAAATAAATACGATGTACTTACTGTGTTTCTAATGTATTTGAGAACAATTGTGGTGCATTTGAGTTAGGATAGAGGTTGGGTTATGGACAGGTTTGGTGGCATGGGTAGGTTTAAGGGTAGGTTAAGGTGTAAGGGATGATCAACAATGTATTTACAAATGTAATTACAAAAGTTAATTACAGATGTAATTACATACAGGTATTTAATCAAGCATAAGTGCACTGTAAATGCATGTATTTACACAACAAGTACATTGTAACAAACTATTAATTCCTGTGTAAGTACATATTAATTAAGGCCACTTAATATAAAGTGGGACCCTTCAGGTACAACAGCACAGCATGAGTGTCAAATTAGACGCTGTTTGCAGGAAGTCAATAACGAGCATATTCTGGTATTATGCAAATGTGTTACAAACCTACATAGAATTGTGCAGGAAGACTACAATTTAAAAAAAATTGCGGTTATTTATAATTTCAGGCAGCTCACAATCATTTTTCTTATAATAACTCCAATAACACTACACTACCTGACAAAAGTTTTGTCGTCAATCTCAGTTGTAAGAGCAACAAATAATAACTTGACTTCTAGTTGATCATTTGGAAAAGTGGCAGAAGGTGGATGTTTCAGATGAATCATCTGTTGAGTAGCATCCCAATTATCACAAATACTGCAGAAGACTTATTGGAACCCTCATGGACCCAAGATTTTCTTAGAAATTAGTCAAGTCTGGTGAAGGAAAAATCATGGTTTGGGGTTACATTCAGTATTGGGGTGTGCAAGCGATCTGCAGAGTAGATGGCAACATCAACAGCCTGAGGTATCACGACATTTGTGCTCCCCATTACATTACGAACCACAGGAGAGGGCAAATTCTTCAGCAGGATAGCGCTCCTTCTCATATCTCGGCCTCCACATTAAAGTTCCTGAAATCAAAGAAGATCAAGGTGTTCCAGGATTGGCCAGCCCAGTCACCAGACATGAACATTATTGAGCATGCCAGGGGTAAGATGAAGGAGGAGGCATTGAAGATGAATCCAACGAAATTTGATGAACTCTATTTCTGTTGATGATGGACATCATTTCTGTTAAGTGACAAGTCTTTTGTCTGGATAGAGTCAGACGTTACTGTCCTAATTAAATAATTGAAAATCAAAACATGATCATATATTATTTTGGTAAAATAAGTGTAATCTAGAGGCCTTTTTCTTTCATATAAGCCTCTTCTGATACCAAATGATCAACTAGAAGTCAAAGTATTATTTGTTATTCCTAAAACTTGGATAGGTGACAAGACCTTTTCTTAGGTAGTGTATATATTAATGTAAAAAATTGTGCTCTCACAAAAACCTATACATTATTATGTAGTTAAGCCTCTAATTATTCATATTACCTTTATAATAGGGCAAGAGATCAAGAAAAGCTTGTCGCACTTTCTCTCCAGTGAGAGGCTGTGTGTCTTCCAGGTTTTCCAAAAGAGGTCCAATAGCATAATATTGAGCTTCCCTGTGCACGGCACGAACACGGTCCCTCTGAGGCAGCTCACCCTCGCGCAAGAAATTCAAAATATCCCTAAAGCCAGAGAAGTATATACAAAGCTTCATATAAGCATGTCATTTTTAACTGGATATCAAGCAGTTATTTAAGTAATCCACCAAACGCTATATTCAGCTAATCAAAATGTTTACTTTGTATTTCTGGATTCTAGGCAGCGACCATAATCAGATATTCACTAATCTAAACACTTACCCAAAATATGTTCCGTCCCGGTCGATGAAATATCGTCCCTCTGCATCTCGGGGAATGTGGTGGCGGCCACTAAACATGGCGGCCAACATAGTGTCCTCATAACGTCGCAGGGTGGACAGGCGAGTGGTGAAATATGTTCCTCCTACATTCAAGGGGATGACCTCAGGAAACTGTGGAGAAAGAGGAGCGACGGAAATAGCATTTTTACATCAGTCTCAATGTTCACTAGCGATCGAGAGGTTAGGGTTGGTAAGAATTTTTTTATGTTTTTAAAGTCATAACAAGGATTGCAACATACTGTCATTTAACATTTAATAATTTGGGATATCCTCTTACCCAAAGCGACTTACAAAATAAGGCCAATAGAATAATCAATGTAACAAAAACATGTAACTACTATAAGTATATGAGTTAATTCAATGCAGTGCACAATATAGATCTAATAAACAACAGGGTCAACTGGTGATAAAAACGATGAATCACTAGCCCTTGCAAAATGAATGGATAGTAATAGTGAAAAATATGACTATTATTTAACCCTTGTGCACTGTTCAAATTGACAACCCTTTTGTTATGTTGGAGATGAACACATCCATTGAATTGAACCAATCTTGTTTGAAAAAATCTGGTAATCAACCTAAGCCCTAATCCCAAACTACTTAATGCTTTTAAAAATGACATGATTTTAAATCTTTTATTGCCAAATTCATAAATGATGTCACTGATTTGGTGAAAAAAACAAACACACACAAAATCACGTATTTTCAATATAAAAAGTAACTGTGGACTGGATTTTTTTAACTTATATCAGAGTCTTGGACATGTGAATGATTAGTAACAACACTGGCTTTGATGCATTGTTAGATTTTCATTTTTTCTCCTTAATTTTCTGTTGGTGGCTGTTTTTGCCCCATTGACTTCCATTATACCCACATTTGATGATGCATAAATACACAGACTTTGTTTTTGTTTATTCCATGTAGTTCTGATAGCTGAGATGCATATTTTGATTTTCTCACACACATCAAGGTAAGTGCGTAAAGGTCACTCTTACTCATAGACACATACACACTTTAGTTTTCATGTTATACTCCATATAAAATACAGAAATTAAGCTTTTATTAGCACAGGATTTTCTAAAGGCTTAATGGTGCTAACAGTATCAACAGTAATCAACAGTGATCAACAGTAAAAAATTATAAATTTTTCAACAGGGGAAACCACCTACAATCGAAATTGCATGATTATATGGTGTTATGGTTGCGTAATAATAAAATGTGGTTATAATGAAAGTCAATGGGGCAAAAACAGCCACCAACAGTAAATTAGGAAGAAAAAAAAATAAATTAATCAAAAACAGTGTTAAAGGCAATGTTGTTTCACATGTCCAAGACTTTGATAAAAGGAAAAATAAATCCAGCCCACAATTACTTTTTATATTGAAAATATATGTCAATTTATGTGTTTAATCACCAAATAAATGACATCATTTATGAATTTGGCAATTAAACAGTTAAAATCCTGTAATTTTCTAAGCAATTTAGTATTTTTGATCAGGACTGAGGTTAATTTACAGAAAAATGAAAATAATATTAATCTGATGCACTTTTACAGCAGTTTAATTCAGTGGATGTGTTCATCCCTAACATTACAAAAGGGTAGTCAATTTGCCAAGAGTGTATCGATGAGTTTTTTAATAAATTCAAAGCATTTTCTCAAAATAAGATTTGTCACCAAAATGTATTCTGCTAGCTAAAACAGAAAAAGTTGTGGCCAAATTAAGACACAAAAGCACTCCAGAGTGGATGAAAACATCCCCAAAAGTACATAAGGGTTAAAAGACCCATTTTCAAATGTTATTTTCTTACTGTGATGGCAAAGCTGGATTTCTAGTACTCCAATCATCAGTGTCACATGATCTTGCAGAAATTATTCTAATATGACGATTTTTTAAAAAGAAACATGCTTTATTACCCAATTCACCTGTACCGCATGTCTATGGACTGTGGGGAAAACCCACGTGAACGCAGGGAGAACAAGCAAACTCCACACAGAAACACCAACTGACCAAGCCGAGGCTTGAAACCAGTGACCTTCTTGCTGTGAGGCAACAGCACTACCTACTGTGCCACTGCGTCGCCCTCTTTGATTCATAACATTTAAAAAGAACAGCATTTCTTTTTTTCTTTTTTTTATCATTTTAAATGTATTTTCTGTCCATTGTGTCAATTTCAACAGTACTAAATCATATATAGGCCTATATAGTGAATCTTTCTGACTCCAAATTTTAAACGGTACTGTATAACAAACATATTTCACCTGCCCCACCAACAAAAACATTTTTGGAATGCATTTATTAACTCATAATGTCGCTAGTTAACACACTTAATGCATTTTTTCAACACCTCCCATAATTTCAAAAATATTAACTATTTTGTAGAGGTTGAAATGTCGGTTTATGGTAAAAGTACCAGAATTAATACATATACTATGAAAAATCAGTAAATATGAAATGTAAGACCAATTTATTTAAAAAAATAATCAAATAAAACATTTTTTTAACGCTAAATCAGCTTTATTTTTTTACGTATGCCATAAAATATTTCAGATTCTCATTTAACATGTTTTCTTCAAGTGTAGTAGTGCAACATGATTATCTTTGTTTGATTTTCTTGTAAACCAACAATACTGTGTGTGTTAACCCTTATTTAAAACAGTCAAAACATGGTCAACCATTTGGTAGAGCAGGCAATTAAAGGTTTAAAGTCTCCTTTGAATACTGTTACATTTGAAGTTCCTCTAAACCCCCGTTAGAAATGATAAACAAAGGTGTTAACCTAACCATATTACACATCCTAACAGGTCACATCGGGTTACAGAAGTAACTGCGGCGACAACTTTAGCGAGGACTTCGCACAGCGCGATTACTTTAATCCAGCCAATGTTTTGACAGACACGCGACGGGAACCAATCAGAGGCGCCCTATTGGCAAAATCTACCAATCAGAAAGCGCCAATAAGGAGGCAAACACGCTCAATACATCTGTTGCCTATGGAAACGGCTATGATTAAAGCGCTGGAAAACTTTGACGCGGATTTTCCAGATGATCTAATCTTATTTATAAGAAAAAAAAACAATTGAACTCACAGGTATCTTACACTTTAATCACATTTATAGTACAGTGATAAAAATAGCACATCCCCTGTTAAACCGCGGCGACTTTACCTCCTCAGGTGCGTCTAAAGTGCGAAGGGATTTGGCTAGATTCAGGTTAGCGACAGGAATGGCTGGTTTGCGGTACTCCTCTTCTCCTTTGTCCGCACCCGACATCGCATCCCCCGGTTTCTCAGAGTCACTCGCAGCCGAAAACACCACCATCACTCTGGGCTGAGGGACCGTCCGCCCCTCCTGCGCGAACCTCCTCACCCGTGATGTTGCCATTTGGAGCGGAGCTGCAGCGCTAAAGGAAAGCGGAGGCGGTTCTCCGTTCGGGGTTTCTCCTGCTCCATTATGCTGCATGCACACACCCGACAGCAGGCTCGGTGATGGTGGAGATGAAGGCCCACACTGTCAGCGACTGTTTTGATGTCCAGAAAGGCGGCTGGGTTGCACAGCGCACCCCGAGCGAGAGGTGTGGTCTGTCGGCCTGTCAGGTGGATGTGAGGCTGCTCTTGTGCGCTGATAAAACGCGTACGCAGGTGGCGTAGGTAAAAGCGCACTGCCGGAATGTTTTCAGATATCACTCCGCTATCGGCGTAAACATAAATAGAGATTTACAAACGTGCGTAACTTGTGTACGCGCATTTCCTCTGGCTTAGCGTTTATGTAGGGCAGAGTTGATATTTGCTCGTTTTACGGGGCAGTTAAACAAACTAAATAAAGCAAAATAAAGCAAATAAAACACACACAATATGCTTTGACCTGGAATACAAAGTTTTAAATACACTTTCATTAAATTATTTCAATTTTACTTTATTGTTATTTACATAAATGCATTTTATTAGCTGTTTTTTTAATCTTTCATGTAATAATCATACTAAAATAATTAGGTAGATATTTTTCTGATCTAGTTAAATAATAAAAATACGATGTCACAATGTTTAGACTTAAAACACTACGAGTAACTGTCTATTAAACAACTGTTAATAGTAAAGAGACTGTATATTCAAGAGAACAATAGCTTGCACTTAACAAAAATAATATAACTAGAAATGTAAACATAAAAGCGGTAATAGTACATTGTTTTGAGAAATAATACAATTTCTCTAAACAACAGCATAATTATACTATTATATGTTTGGTATTGCATTCGTGAAAAAAAATAGATTTGGGAAATATACAGTTTGTAAGTATCCCTCATTCTGTTTAGCTAAAATGTATTTATTTTGAATAAAAAGATTTAAATATTGTATTTTATTTAAATATTCATTCATTCATTTTATTTCAGCTTAGTCCCTTTATTAATCAGGGGTCGCCACAGCGGAATGAACTTATCCTGCATATGATTTACACAGCAGATGCCCTTCCAGCTGCAACTCAGTACTGGAAAACATCCATAAACACTCATTCCCACACATACACTACGGCCTTCTACTTAAATAGTTTTATTAAATTAAATCATCATCTTTAATAGAAACATAGAAACTACATAAAATATGTGACATTGTTGAGGACTAGGATAATGATATTTCTTGTGATATAACATTTCCCTCAAGGCACATAACATTTATTTATTATTTTACACCTCTCTCTGATACAGATATTGTATGTAATATTATTGTGATAACCATTGTTGTATTTTTGTATTGCTATACGACCACTAATCAATAATATAGAATATATATCTATAATATATATCAGTGGATACTGATCATAGACTGTAACAAAACTGATCCAATGATCTATATATAATGATAATTCCTTTGTGATACCTACACTACACTGGCCACTTTATTAGGTACACCTTTCAAACTGTTCGGTAATGGAAATTTTTTATCAGCCAATAATATGGCTACTATTCAATGCATTTAGGCATGTAGACATGGTCAGAGATGATCTGCTACAGTTCAAACCAAGTATCAGAATGGTGAAGAAAGAGGATTTAAGTGACTTTGAACGTGGAATGGTTGTTAGTGCCATAGGATTTTCATGCAAAACCATCTCTAGGGATTACAGAGAATGGTCTGAAAAAGAGAAAATATCCAGTGAGCGGCAGTTCTGTGGGCGCAGATGCCTTGTTGATGCCACAGGTCAGAGGAGAATGGCCAGACTGGTTCCAGCTGATAGAAAGGCAACAGTAACCCAATTATCCACTTGTTACAACCGAGGTATGCAGAGGAGCATCTCTGAATGCACAACATGTCCAACCTCAAGGCAGTTTGGCTACAGCAGCAGAAGACCACACCAGGTGTCACTCCTGTCAGCTGAGAACAGGAACCTGAGGCTACGATTCACACGGGCTGACCAAAATTGGACAATAGAAGATTGGAAATGTTGCCTAGTCTGATGAGTGTCGATTTCTGCTGGGACATTCGAATGATAGGGTCAGAATTGGGCATCAACAACATGAAAGCATGGATCCATCCTGCCTTGTGTCAACGGCTCAGGCTAGTGGTGGTGGTATAATGGTGTCAACACCATAGCCTACCTGAGTATTCTTGCTGACCATGTCCATGCCTTTATGACCACTGTGTACCCATCTTCTGATGCCTACTTCCAGCAGGATAACGCACCATGTCATAAAGCGTAAATCATCTCAGACTGCTTTCTTGATCATGACAATGAGTTCACTTTACTCAAATGGCCTCCACAGTCACACAAAATCAATCCAATGGATCACCTTTGGGATGAGGTTCACATCACGGATATGCAGCTGATAAATCTACAGCAACGGTATAATGCTATCATATCAATATAGACCAAAATCTCTGAGGAATATTTCCAGTACCTTGTTGAATCTATGCCACGAAGGATTAAGGCAGTTCTGAAGGCAAAAGGGGATCCAACACGATACTAGTAAGACCTACCTAATACAATTCCCTTACATTCATACATTACCCATATATATTCACAATGTATGGACATGTTTACTACATATTTATTACACATCTATAGAACAGTAAACAGAATACAAACAAAAATACACAGAGGTACAGTTTAATAAGTTCATGAGATATTTTACCAAAAATGTGAAGTTTTATTTATAAAGATCAGTGGCCCTTAGCACACTTAAAAACCTACGGTCTGTTATGTAATCACTATGACGTGGTAACAGCATGAACGTCGCACCAATCGTGTACTTGAAACTTTTCTTAACGCACGCCATTGGTCGAAAGCCACTCAACCTGCAAAAAAGCGCAGTTCTTATTGGTCGCTTCGCTGCACGCGGAAACATGTTCATAGTTGATCTCAGTCTCCGCAATGGCGGCGGTCAGACTGCGGTTCGGGAGAGGAGCTTATACGCTTTCAAACCGCCCACTTTTGGATAAACCAGTGTCAAACGCGGCGTATATTGCAGCTTTAATAAAATCTCCACAGCTTTGGGAGTTCGACAGGATCGAAGCGCATAAAATACTGTGCGAAACGAGACCGGCCGGTGTGGAGACTCCAAGAGGGAGTAAAGAAACAAACAGCTTTAACGCATTGCTGGACTCTAATATCAGCAAATGGACTGATTGTCGTAAACTTAAGTCAAAGGCGTCGCAAATTCACGCGTTTTCAAGAAAGAGCTCGTGTTTGGGAAAACTTATATCCAGCCATACTGGTGCTCGCTCCCATTTAAGGAGATCCATTTATAAAAAGACTCCTTATGGACGTCCTAATGATTATTTATGGCACTTTATGTCCTCCAGCAGAGCGTATAGCGGCACGCAGTATAACAGCCGTCCAGAGGAGCCCTTACACAAATCAAAATCTGCTTATTATGACATTTTGGAAGTGTCTCAGTCGGCCACGCATGCGCAGATTAAGACCGCTTATTATAAACAGTCGTTCATTTATCACCCTGACAAAAACGCAGGGAGCGAAGACGCCACGCATCGGTTCTCTCAGATCAACGAGGCCTACAGTGTCCTGGGCAATAAAGAGCTGCGGAGGAAATACGACCGCGGCATTCTGAGCCAAGCGGACCTGCGGGGCTCCAGCAGAGGCGCCGCCGGCAGAGAGAGTCCGGCGTCTGGGCAGCAGAGCCGCGCTCGTCACTCGTCAACGGTCGGTTTCTCGCAGCAGAAAATCTTCGACTTCGACACCTTCATAAAGGCGCATTATGGAGAGCAGCTACAGAAGGAGAAGCAGAGGAGACAGCGCATGCAGGAGATGCTGGAGAAGGACTCGAAGCGCTCTGAGGACATGAAGAAGGACGTTATGGCGGAGGTTATACTCGGGGTGATAGTGATTTTAGGTGCGGTGTTCTTGTTCAGCTCCAAAAAGTGATACTAGAAGAAGCAGACCTCACATTTTAACTGATAAAGCGACACTTTCACGCCAAAAAATCTAAATTCTGTCATCATTTACTCCCCATTAAGTTGATTCTTACCTGTTTGAGTTTCTTCTGTTGAACAGAAAGGAAGATGTTTTGAGTATAGTTGGAAACCTGTTGCAACTGTTGACTTGTATAGTGATAGGAAAAACACATACCATGGAAGTCAATGGTTACAGGTTTTCAACTTCTGTCAAAATATCATCTTTTCAACAAAAGATAGAAACTCAAAAGATTTTTAACTGCTTAAGGGTAAATGGCAAGTACATTTTTATTTTTGAAAGTAATATATGGAAATGATCATATTGACCATTTTTATTCATACATTTAATTAACAAGAAGATAAATACTTTATAATGTCTAAATACTTTTCAATGTCCACTACAAAGGACACAAGTCAATGGGCGGGGTCTGAGGATATATATATATATATATATATATATATATATATATATATATATATATATATATATATATATATATATATATGTAACATTTATAATCCATACATTTATATAAATAGTTTTATGTAATAAATAACGAGTCAACAGAAAAGAATTGATAAGTTATAGTATAGCTATACGTTTGTGCTCTACCTCATCTGTTAAACTATTTAAAGTAATAATGTTGAATAAACAATGAATCTAAATTGATAGTAAACACAGCACTATTTTGCACAAGGATCCTTGGTTTGTTATTGTTATTTGTCTGGGTTCACTTCATCTGAGCCGTTAAGTGTTTTGTCCAGAATCAGTGTCATTTGATTATATGCCAGAATGAGGAAAATGTTCGAAAATAGGGTTATGGCTGGCTAATTGTTGCTAACAAAAGCTCGGAGCTCATTTTGTGGGGATAAACTGAAATTACAGCAATGTAATTTATATGTGCCTTTATGTTTAAATACATAAGTGAATATGTATATTGTCAATAAAGTAAATAAATTATTTCAATATTCTAGAAACACTCTTTGGGTTTATTTTTATGGGGGGGAAATGTTTTTACAGATTATTATGGCACACAAGTGTTTTTTTTTTTAGCTTTGATATGATTATACTTGGACCACTCAAGTTGCATGGAATGTAAGTTTGTTTGTATGTAAGTTTCTTTTCTGGACTTTGAATGTCTTTGCACCATTGCTGTATATAGAGGATAAGAGAGCTCTCAGATTTCATCTAAAATATCTTCATTTCTGTTTCAAAGATGAATGAAGGAGTCAGGAGATGAAGGTCACCAAAGAAAACATCCAATTAGCTAATGACAATGCATTAACACTGTGTAGACATGGTCAAGAAGATCTGCTGAAGGTCAATCTGAGCATCAGAACAGGGATGAAGGAGGATTTATATGACTGAACGGGACAGTTGTTGATGCCAGAATATTTCACAGACTAGGATTTTCATGCACAACAACTTCTACAATTTACAGACAACAGTCTGAAAAAAGGGAACTGATCCAGCAAGTGGCAATTCTGTGTGCGAAAATACCCTGTCGATTCCAGAGGACAATGACCACTGGTTTGAGCCAATAGAAAAAAAACGAAACTCAACAGTTCTTACAACTAAGATCTGCAGAAGAGCATCTCCTTGAAGCAGATGAGCTACCACAGCAGAGGAGCACTCCAGGTGCACAATTCACACAGACTCCCCAAAAACTGGACAGCAGAAATTTGGAAAAAATGCTTCTTATTTGACGAGTTGCAATTTTTGCAGCATTCCAATGGTCAGTTCAGAATTTATTATGGAGGCATGAATCTATCTTGCCTTGTATCAACGGCTGGTTGGTGTATTGGTGTGGGGCAGTTTTTGTTTTAACACTTTGGTCACCCAAGTACCATCTGAGCATAATCTAAATGCCACAGCCTACCTGAGTAATGCTGAAGTTCATCCCTTAATGACCACTTCTTATGATGGACCCTCCCAGCAAGATAATGCATCAGGTCACAAGGCTTAAATCACCCCTAACTGGTTTCCTGAATATGACAACGAGTTCAGAGATCTCGAATTGCCTCAACACCAGATCTCAGTCCAGTAGAGTACCCTTAGCATTCGATAGAATGTACACCTGTCGCAATAATTAAATCGACTTATCTCGCAACACATGGATGTGACATCAATAATCTTTGGTGACACATTATGTATTGCCAATTATGTTCGCACGAAAATGGATGTCACCAACGTTTTAGCTGATTGTGCAGCTTCCGTTATCTAATCTCTTTTGGAGGAGTCAGCGAGTTCAGGGAACGCCTTAAGAAATAATGTGAAGAATGAAGAACCAAGAAAAGCTGAATTTTCACAATTTCCTGAAAACTACTGATGGTTTGTTGTCAAGCTGTTTCAAACCTGCAGTCCACTTCCAGAAAAGTGACAGTGGAAAAACGTCACACATTCATATAAGATTAAAGCCACATCACGGGTGACGCTATAAAGCTTATATTTAGGACATTTACTACTGTATTTTAACACCAAATTACAGAAACTAACTTTAAAAAGATTGTTGACCCAAAATATTAAAATTCTGCCATCATTTACTCATCCTTGAGATTTGCTCTTTTTCTGTTAAACACAAAAGATACTTTGAAAAATGTTGTAAACCTGAAACCACATCTATTGTAGGAAAAACGAATAATATGGAAGTGAGTGGTTACAGGTTTCCTCCTCCTTTAGTGTTCAACAGAAAAAGAAAACAAGACTGGTCTGCAGCTAGCTCTCTGCAACTCTCACATGGTCGCCCACTGAATCTAGGCAGGGCTGCACCCGGTCAGTACCTGGATGGGAGACCACATAGGAAAGCTAGGTTGCTGCCGGAAGTGGTGTTATTGAGGCCAGCAGGGGGCGCTCAACCTGTGGTCTGTGTGGGTCCTAATGCCCCAGTATATTGATGGGGACTCTTACTGCTCAGTGAGCGCCGTCTTTCGGATGAGACGTTAAACTGAGGTTCCGACTCTCTGTGGTTGTTAAAAATCCCAGGATGTCCTTCGAAAAAGAGTAGGGGTTTAACTAAGGCATCCTGGCCAAATCTGCCCAGTGGCCTCTGTCCATCATGGCCTCCTAACCCTCCCCATATCATGATTGGCATATCATCACTCTGTCTCCTCTCCACCAATCAGCTGGTGTGTGGTGTGCGGTCTGGCGCAAAATGGCTGCCGTCGCGTCATCCAGGTGGATGCTGCACACTGGTGGTGGATGAGGAGATTCCCCCCCTTTGTGTAAAGCGATTTGAGTGCCCAGAAAAACGCTATATAAATGTAAGGAATTATTATTATTATTATTAAGACTTTGTCCCTTGAAAGTGTTTATGACTATTTTTATTATGCTACTGTAAAATCACAGTAATCATCTTACGTTCAATCCTTCCCTCAGTCGTGAACAAAACCCCAAGATACTTTAACTCCTCCACCTTGGGTAAGGACTTTCCTCCAAGCTGGAGATAGCAAACCACCTTTTCCAAGGCCATGGTGCTCCACCAAGATGTTCTTACCCAAGATGGAGGAGTTAAAGTATCTTGGGGTTTTGTTCACGAGTGAGGGAAGGATTAAATGTGAGATAGACAGGCGGATCAATACAGCAGTAATGCAGTCAATTTATTGGTCCGTTGTGGTAAAGAGAGAGCTGAGCCAAAAGGCAAGGTCTTGATATACTGGTCAATCTACGTTCCTACTCTCACCTATGGTCATAAGCTTTGGGTCATGACCGAAAGGACAAGATCTCGGATACAAGTCGCCGATTTGAGTTTCCTTTGCAGTGCACTACCTTATATATAGGGTGAGGAGCTCTTTCACCGGGGAGGAGCTCGGAGTAGAGCCGTTACTCCTCCACATCGAGAGAAGTCAGCTGAGGTGGCTTGGGGATCTGTTTCGGATGCTTCCTGGACGCCTACCTAGGGTGGTGTTTCAGGCATATCCCACCAGGAGGAGGCCTCGGGGAAGACCCAAGACACACTGGAGGGACTATGTCTCTGCTTGCCTGGGAAATCCCCCGAGGAGCTGGAGAAAGTGTCTGGCGAGAGGAAAGTCTGGGGTTCTCTCCTAAGACTGCTGCCCCTGCGACCCGGCGCCAGATAAGCGGATGAATATGAATGAATTATCGTAATATAATTAGTAGCATGAAATATCACTCAATGCAATTTCTAAAAAATAAATAAATATGGATTTGCTGATAAATCTTGCAAATGTAGACCAAAATCTTTGAGTAATGTTTTTGTAGGATTACGTTCTGAAAACAAAATGGAGCTCAACCTTATGCACCTAAGTGACCAGTGAGTGTACATACTCATAAAAGCATTTACACATGATGATATAAATAATAGATTTCGAACATTAGTTTCAAGTTTCCGACATAAGAAACGCTCAAATAAATGCAGAGTACAGTGGTGATGTGTTTGTACAAAAGATATTTACTTCAGTTAATACACCTATGGTGGTAATGAGGAATAATAATAATAATTATAATAATAATAATGAATTTCAAACAGTGATATTGCTTCTTTTTTCAATTTGGATTAGAACTGTAACAGCGCTGGGAACAGAATACAAGACTACATGATGATACACAAAGGAAAAACCAACCGAACTGAATACATATCAAGAGAACAAAGTGGAAGAGTCTTTATTCAGGTAAAATGGAGGATTCAGCTCCATCTTGTGGTTCAAAACCATGACACATAGAAAAATAAACCATACAACTGTCGTTAGCAGGTGTTAAGAGGGAAAGTGTCACCAACAAACTAATGGACAAAAGGACTGTGCTAAACCGAGGTTCTACCTGAGCTTTGAGAGACCTAAGGAGAATCTATAGGATACCAGCTTGTGTCGGGAGCTGCCTGTCATTTTTCATTACAAGGCTTCATTTTACCCATAATACAGCATACAGAGCAACAACAGAAAGAGAGAGAGAGAGAGAGATCTGCATGTCATGATCAAGACATCCCATTTCCATAGATTGTTGGTCGAAATGAATGGTGATACTAAAGTGTTGCTCTCGCTGAGACAGATGTATAATCGTCGTGCTCGCCTCACATGTAACACAACTACACAACTTTCAAAACAAACAAACAGAAATGAATGTAAATGGATCTCCATCTGGGATACGATGAAACAAATTGTGGCTGTTCAGAACATACTGTCTCAGGTGAAGAAAGAACATACTGTCTCAGGAAGTGATGTAAGTGTGAGGGAATAAACGAGGTAACAATTATGACATCACTAGCCAACTAAGCTACGGACGAATATCTACATTAATGCTACTCGTGACTACCAATGTAATATCAATAATGATGATCGTTATTTATTTATCTATTTTTTTTGTTGCTTAGTTTTTCTATTTTTTTTTGTTGATTTTTTTGTCCTTTTTTTTAAGAAATCATATAAACGTGCTGTCTTTGTGCAGTCGTTATTGTTGATGTGTTTAGTCATCTGCAATACTTTCCATAGAAAAATATTTGCAAAAAGCAGAGAAAAAAGTGCTGGACATCTGTCTGTTTTTTTTTTTCTTTCATGCCATGAAATCGACAGTACAGTTACGTTTCAGTCAGTGAGAAGAACGTGACGGACATAAAAATGTGTCCTTAATATAGACCAGATCTGAATGTGCTCTTAAAAGTGTGTGTGTGTGTTTCTTCTGTGTTCAATTGAGATCACATGTTTATGATCAGAAAAAAAAAAAAAGAGTCTTTACAAGCTGATTTGTCTGCTTTGACAATTTGGTCCACACTATAGTAGAGTTTCCACAAGCCGAATCCCATCTGTGAACTTCCTCCAGCGTAGGGGAAACTTGCCGTTAAAATACAATAACATGGTTATAAACATATGATGAATGCCTAGACATGATTAAAACACATTTGGGATGAGTAAATGTGGCGTTAACCGATCGAAAATTGCCTTTGGTTTTTTTAGTTTTTGTATGTTTTACAAGCTTGAATCCTGGGACAGCTGTTTTCTCTCAGATAAAACGATAGAGACACCCTAAAAGTACTGAATGTTATGACCTGAGACTATATGAGACCTTATTAATATAAACTTGCTGGCGGAGATTGCTAAAAACTTAGTTTTATGATCTGACACACGGTATTTTTCCGATTAAGTAACGTGGAATGAAGACGACGCAATTATAGTAGCGAACAGTTTTTTTCAGTGAAGGCACTCCAATGTTAGACGTGGAGAGAAAGTTCGAGAAACAGTCGCGGGCTTCTGACGTGTTCATATTTTTCGATTGGTACACGTAGTATCTCTCTGTGCTTTCGTTAGGTCTTAAAGAGACAAATTTGATTTGAATCATTCATTGGCACGCGTAAAAAAGGCCAAAAGGTAGTTTTAAGCCGACGGCGTTCTTCGAGATTCGTCGGCGTAATTTTTTTTAACGCAACCAAACGACATCAAGTGAATTTCATTCCTACTTAAAAAGAACAAAAAAAAAAAGTCCAATTCCTCAAGGTGCAGCTCAAAGCGACAGCTAAAATTTTCAGTGACGTTAACTACCAGTTGTTCACTGGCTCATTGTAGCAACTAAGCTTGATTGCGATAATAATAAACGTAATCTCAGGAAGTTCGCAGGTTAATCACCTGAAAACCTAATTCAAGAGCGTCATTTGTAGAGTGAATACAGCCAAACGCAATTCGCCTTGAATTGTCATCTCGTTAAAACATCTAAAATGCGTACTAATTAAAATCATTAATGCAATACATAGAATTCTGCTTCCTTTGTCAACGTAGAAACTGTTCATCCAGCTCACTAACCGAGTAAAATATATGGAAAAAAAAAGAGATAATCTTCAGAATTAATCAATAGACATGTATCAAAAGTACATCATTTAAATGTAATCCAATACTGCCGGCAGTCTATTAGTCTAAAAATATGTAACCTGACCTTTTATAGTCCCTTCCATTACAAAAAAAGAACACGTATAACAATATAAGACATCAATATGTAAAAGACAGCATCTATAAATAAGCAAACCACACCAACAAACAAACGGAAAAAAAAAATATCTACCATTAGTTTATGCGCGTAAATAAAAAGAACTTAAACGTACTATGTGATATGCTGCAGGACTGCTAAATAGCTTAGGGACGTGAGGAGGTGTTTGCTTCCACTGCCTGTGGCGAGTAGTAGTAGTAATATACAAATATAGATCACTCTTGTCAACAATCACACGCACACAAACACCCGCACACTCAAAGGTTTCGCACGCAGACGAGCGCGTGGCACCGGCGATCTGCGCTTTCGTTCACTAAATCAACTGCATACAATGACACAAGGGCCGGAGGTGAAAAGTGAGCAGGTTTCGAAAAGGTGATTCAGGAGAGAAAGAACATTTCTACAGAGGTGCCAAGTCCTTGCAGCGTCGTCTGACGCATGCGATTCACCTCAGGTTGCCAACGTTAAAAGAGCTTTTCATTCACAATCGACATATTTTCCTCTTTTTTAAAATGTGTGTTAAACAAGAACTGTGGATGAAAAGTCCTCCGTCATTTACAGTATGAAGAAAACAAAAGTCCATTTCGTAAGTTTTTTGTTTTTTTTCCAGTCGTCTCGGAGGACAGGTGAACATACTCGTGGACGCCGTGAAAAGCTTGGGTGAACAATGAGTGGAGAAGCTGGTGAAAAACCTGAAGTTTCGAGTTTGCACGAGAGCGTCCGGTACCCTGGTGCTGAGGACCAGCCCATACAGTGCACACCATAGAATTAGAATTTATAACACCATGGATATTGGATTAGAATGGTAATTCCAAACTGCCCAACTTGGTTAGAGGTCTCTGATGTATGGTTCTATTATAAGAGGATAAAAATCAGGCTTGTTCATTCTCTTTAAAAAATATCTCGTCAGGAATATTTACTCAAAGTACTGTACAAATCCTTTTTTTCTTCACTATCTGTCTTTGTTTTGGCCTAAAATGACGTTTGTTATTAAACAAGACCTCCGCGAGCTTTAAAACGCAAGTCGCGGGGGTGATTAAAGCTATGGAAAAGAAATAAAGGAGCGCTACCCTTACAAGAGACCTAAATAAAAGAAGAAAAATTGACACTTAGCTATCGAGTTACGAAATATCTCCCGTGTCCCATTTGCATCGACCTTACAAGAACGAAATGAATTTTTGCGTGATACGTGGATTCTTATGACAATTGTTTTCGTTTGCGTGATTTTCGATTTTTTTTCTCTCTTTTAGGCCGTTGGCGTGTAAAATCGAAAGGAGTGCTGTTTAGAGTCAACTGACTGTGCAATCTCTCGGTGGCAACTTAATTGCTATAAAAAGGATTTTCTTCTCGCATCGGAGAAGTTTCCGTACTGTGAAAATAATGCGGCTTCCATTACTCTGGAATCCATTGCGTACTAGAGTTGCATAGCCATTGGATGGCCTCCTCTGGGGAAGGGAGGGAGAGGCAGGTGGGGGACGGTGCACCCGTGTTCCTTCAGCCAACACTTACTTTTAAATGTTTTGGTTAGAAACCTAGTCTCTGCTCACGGCCGAAGCGTACGGTATACAAAAGAGGAAACTCCCAAGAGTCTTGAGAACTGATAAATTATTGTAACAGTTATTCAGCTAGTTGGTGAGAACGTCTCTACTAGAAATAGAGACACTGTGAGATCATAGTGTGTGAGTGTGTTTTTTGTGACTGTCGCCAGTCTTGAGAAGATTTCGTGGGAACGCTCCCTCTCCTGTGCTTTTCAGTTTTGTGTCGTCACCATTAGCCAATGGTGTGTCACAGTCCTGTGGCCAGCAGGGCTGTTAAGTGCTTCACAAAATAAACAGACTAAAAACTCGTTTCCTTTTCTTGTTCTTGTCTCTGAAAGCCCACTTCGAAACAGCAAATGGAAAACCCTTGGGTTGACCGGTGGTGTGTGTGCACCAGGCTTGGCCGGGTTAGCTCAGTGAGGGACAAAGTGAGAATAAAACGTCAAGATGGCGGCGGAGTCTCAGAACTCCCATTCGTGAGGCTCGTCTCGGTTCGCCGCTTTCTCCAGCCGGTGGATGATGTTGTTGAGGTTGGCTGCTTTCTTCTTGCGTAGACTGCTATCCTTTGGATTTCGGCAGGGGGTCGTGGCAGCATTGGTGACGGATATGGACTCGGGGATGCCGAACAGGCTGTCTATGATGCCTCCTCGTGGCCGGCTGGTGCCCGAGGCACTAGGAAACTCGCCCTCGCCATCTTCTTCTCTGTGGCCGAGGCCCGGGCTCTCCAGGAAGCCCTTGCGCTCCTCTGAGCCACTCGGTCGGCCTTCTGCCGTGCTGTCGGACTCAGTGCCGTCGCAGCTGTTTTCTCCCTCGCCTCCAGATTTTCCAGGCCGTGCAGATGGAGATCCACCTTCACCTGCTGCTGCCTGGATCTCTTCGATAAAAAGCTCTCGCCGGATACGAGACCTGTGAGAACAAGAGCGAGACTCATGAGGAAAACAGATACTTTGAATTACACAGGGCATTTGCAAGAATCCTAAAGGTCATTTCAACACCTTTTAAAGACTTTTTAAAGACATTCTCTGAATATTTTAAGACCTCATGGCCACTTCAAGTTCTAATCAGTATCAAACCCTTAACTTACTAAGCAGTTGTTAATAAACAGTTGTAGTTAAATAAATAAATGAAGCACAACCATGCAACAGAACTCAGATAAGTTCGAAAGCTTGAAAGAATAAATTACGTGGTTGTTTTCAGCGACAGGCTTCAGCCACTGTTTAAACTCGTCTTTCTCCAACCAGGAGTACGCAAACTTACAATTTTCCATTTTGCCGTCTGTTTCACTACATGTGGAGAGCGTCACATCGCCTTCCCATGTTTGCACAAATTACAGTACGTGACATGGCCGGACGTGCCCCGGCCCGAAGCAATCGTGTAGATAAAGCACGCAGTTGTAAATATTAGGAGGAAAATAAATATATTTATGCTTTATTTGGAGTCAGACAATTTGGACTACGCTTGAACAAAATTTAAAAACATGATTAAGACTTTTTAATACATTTTAAGAGCCTTAATTTTTTATAATTGATTTATCAACTTTTAATACTTTTTAAGACCCTGCGGACACCCTGCTATATGTACAATAGTGATGCGCGCATGACGGTTGTATCCACGGGCGCTGCGGATAATCCGCAGGTCAGGTAATAAAAAAAATACATTATGATTAATTGCGGATGGGTGAATGAGATGAATTATTAATGATTTTTGCTTTGTGTTTTTAAACATTCTGTAAAATACGAATGTGTTTTTTAATGCATTTTCATCAGGCAAACAAACACGAATTTGCACGCTAATTGAAAAAAAAATATGCGCAGGAGGTTTGATTTGATTTATTTATTTATTTTCTAACAGAAATATCTTATATAAAAATTCTTTAACAAAAAATGAATATCAACATTGTTGAACATGGAGCAGGATGAAGCACAAGCTTATTATTTTCCCACCCCATTATCACACACATCATACTTAAACTTATTTCTTCTTTTATTTATCTCTTCTTTTTAAATGAGACATATGAGTCCTGCATGAGACATATTTTATCCTTTTGGCATCTTTGACATATATGTTTGCTTCCATTTGTAGATTTACATTTTATAACACAGACCCAAAAGGTCCATTAAAAGGTCCGTTTGTTAAAGCAGAAATGAAGGCGAAACATCCGAGAGAAACTTAAAAAGGGAGAATTAAAAACAAAACAAAAAGAAAAGAAAGAAAAGTGCCGTGTTGGAAGCGTTTCAGCAAAGTGGTTATCGAGGATCAATCAAGTGCTGGGTATGTACTATGCAACGGCTGTGAAGCGCTGTATGTATATAAAGCCACAGGACTGGTACCCTAAATATAAAACATCATGTGTGTGCTAAATCGATAGCTGTAGTGCCACTGTTTTTTTTAATCTTTTTTTTTGCTTTAACCAACTTTTGTTTTTATAAATGAATGTTCAATTAAAACAGTTTACCAGTTGCGTATTCATTTACTATCAGAGATGAGCAGATTAGCTCACTGAATCTGCTGTTAATAACGAACTACAGGTATGAACGCTGACCTGTCATTATGCTTAAAACAATTAGAATTATTAAATTGACGATCGTGTGCAGGTCGGGTGCAGATATACAGATGAAGTCAGAATTATTAGCCCCCTTTTGATTTATTTTTCTTTTTAAAATATTTCTCAAATGGTGTTTTACAGAGCAAGGAAATTTTCACAGTATGTCTGATAATATTTTTTCTTCTGGAGAAAGTCTTATTTGTTTTATTTCGGCTAGAATAAAAGCAGTTTTTAACTTTTTAAAATCCTATTTTAAGGACAAAATTATTAGCCCCTTTAAGCTATATATTTTTTCGATAGTTAACAGAACAAACCATCGTTATACAATAAATTACCTAATTAACCTAACCTGCCTAGTTAACCTTATTAACCTAGTTAAGCCTTTAAATGTCACTTGAAGCCATATAGAAGTGTCTTGAAAAATGTCTAGTAAAATATTATATACGGTCATTATGGCAGCGATAAAATAAATCAGTTATTAGAGATGAGTTATTAAAATTACTATGTTTAAAAATGTGCTGGAACAATCTTCTTTCCATTAAACAGAGATTGGGAAAGAAATAAACAGGGGGGTGAATAATTCAGAATTTAACTGTATATATATATATATACATATACAAGTTAAAATCATGTATGTGCAGGTGGGTGGCTGTGGGGTAATTGGTATGAATCCACACATTTGTGTGACATTTCAGCTGATCCGTGCATCTCTAGTGTACGTTTGAATGACAACACTGAAACACAATAAAACAGTAATGACAGGGAAGTTACCACTGCAATCACTGTCAGAATTAATTACTTTAAACAATTACGATTTTTATAAACAAGTAAAACAATAAAGGCTAAAACACTGATAGCCAATCAGAATACACTAGAGTTCAAAAAGGTTGAGCATGTAAAAAGGCATTAAGTGTACACTGAATGCTATTGGCAACTGGTGCAAACAAAATGTAACTGCAAGTCTTTACTTCCATATTATGACATTTATTAATCAAAGAGAAACAATCAAGACAGTATGGAGGGTGCGATCTGATTATGTCCACTGGCAACTTTATTGGATGGTTGTGCTTTGCAAATGGTAAATCTCAAGTGAATGACTGGATCTCCTGGCCTTGGGCCAGACAATACTGTCAATATTTTACAGTGAATTTTAAATAGATTTATTTTAAAAAAACTTATTAACAGGAGGGGGTAGATTTCTGAACGGAACAGCACCCCATCCACCAGGGGGCGGTCAAAAACTTTTGAGTGGAAAAAGTGAAGCACACTTGGTTTAAAACGAGTCTTTTGAGAGCATCCCTGTTCAGATTTTGTCAAGACCCTTCCATCCTATTTCATGATTGGTTAGTGTGATGCATGAGTGGAAATATATGATTAGCATGCATCTTTAAGGCCTGTGACTAAGCATTTCAGGAGAGTTCAAAGCATTCAGACACAGGAAATCTTTGCCAAAGTTGCTGTTTGTAACTTTAATATAAAAAGATTTTATTTATATAACTATTTATCCAATGAAGACTATGCAGGTGTTATTTATCTGAATATTCAAATTCTGGACCTGAAACAAGATGAAAACGTGAAACGTGTCTTAACACCAGATCGCTTGATACCTGTAGTTGTGGAACCAGTTGATGACGGTGCTGGTTTTGAGGTTGAGCTGACTCGCTAACTCCTCAATGGTTTTAGGGGAGGGGTAAGGCTTCTGCTGGTAGGCCCGCTTCAGAGCTTCCTTCTCTTCCGGAGCCAGAACCACCCGGGGTTTCTTCAGCTGGGGCTGCTGCTGTTGAGGCTGCATCTGCTGCGGCGGCTGCTGCTGGGATAGGTGTTGGGGACTGGCACCCTGTGTCAGGTCTGCTGCAGACAAGCCGCTCTCCAGCGAATGACTCTCACCGATGGAGCTGTGGCGCCTTTTCATGTAGGCTGAAAAACACATTAAGAAGAGCAGTCAGCACAATATACAGTACTACACAAAATTCCTAAGCACTATAGCAGCTTTGTTGGTCTAAGAATTTTGAACAATATATAATCAATTAGTCTCTTTATTCAAAGTAAATAGAAAATATAAAAAAATACATTAAAATAACAACAACAGCAGCACAACATTTCCTCTTCAAGCAAACAGTGTGTCTGTGTTTAATGTGGCTTCCTTCAGCACCAAGCACAGCCTAAACTCTTTTGCTCTAATTTTCCTGACATTTTCTGAAATAATGTGCATATGTGTAATATCAGACTTCTTTTACTTTCCAGAGTTCTTCTTTAGGTTTAGAGTGTCATATCTTTCCTTTTCTGTCCAGGTGATCTCATACAGCCTCTATAATCTATAATCAGGTCTGGACCCTGTCGAGGCCATTTCATGACCATCATTTTTTCTTCATATGGTTTTTCACTGCAATTAGCGGATCAATATGGTATTGTAAATGAAAACTTTCACCACTAAAGTCCTTCCCAGAAGCAATGGGAGAAATTAATTAATGGCATAACTATTTATCTGTACTATCTGTACATTTCATCTGTACTTTTTAACATTTACAATTCCATAAATTATGACAATATTGCTAACAACAAAGGTAGAAATACAGCTCAAACCAGGACAAACAGCCTCTCTCCAACATTGTCTTTCACATGTCTTAAACAATTAAACCAAAATAATTTAAACCTATCCTTACTCCTATCCTAACAAACCACACATCAACTGAAAGATCATTCCTTCAGCTTGTGTAAATCTCAATAAAAAAAAAATGGACAAATAAATTTGCACTTATAACTGGTTTTGTGGTAAAGGGTCACATGTATTCATTATACCATCAGTAAAACAACAGATGTAATGTTGGCCAAAAACTTTTGCACAGTACTGTATAAGCAAATGTGTTCTTGGAAATAGGTTCGATATGATTCACCAAACAGCAAATATATTAGGAAATATTTAAGATTTGCCCATATTGATTTTTCAGCACTTTTAATACTGTGTCCCACTTAGTGTCTTCAGTAGTTACAGTCCTACCGAACAATCATGATGTTTATTTCATCCAGTTAACAGAATGCATAATTGCTGAAGTGTTTTCTAGTCAGTAGGGGGCAGTCTCTGATTACAAATATCATTACTGCAGTTTGTCAAGTTGAGAGATTTGCTACACCATTATTCCACCAGCACAGAAAAACAAATAAATGAATTTCATCCAACAAAAGGTTGATTCCAGAGGACTAAATGATAAAGAGTACCTGATGAGTAGAGTTCAATTGAATTAATAATTTTGTACAGTTTGTAGTATGTGTTTTTATTTGTTGCATCTATCTATCTATCTATCTATCTATCTATCTATCTATCTATCTATCTATCTATCTATCTATCTATCTATCTATCTCTATCTATCTATCTATCTATCTATCTATCTATCTATCTATCTATCTATCTATCTATCTATCTATCTATCTATCTATCTATCTCTATCTGTCTGTCTGTCTGTCTGTCTGTCCATCCATCGGTCCGTTCGTCCGTCTGTCCATAGTTATGCGTGTCTAAAATGTAAACATTTCTAAATTTACATTCAGTATGGATGCACTGACTAGATTAGAATTGACAAATCTGTATATATATTTAATAACTAATTACACAGCAATATTGTTTTCCACAACACTATCATTCCTTGAGCACTAAAATCAGCATATTCTAATCTCTTGTGACTGAAATGATGCAAACATTTTGATTTGGCTATCACAGAATTACATTTCAAAATATATTACAATAAAAAACGTTAGAAGGTAAAAATATTTCACAACATTACAGATGAAAACATGAATAGTAAACTAGGTGAGCAGAATATTCTCAAACTATCCTCTGTTAATTTACAACTCAACAAGAACAGTCAATCACACCACAGTCAATCAATCACTATAATATCTTTCCACATCTTCAAACAGAGGCCAATCACAATAACATCCCTATTCCCATTAAAAACACACAGTTATGTGTGAAATTCGTCATTTCCGCTGCGTTCCAGCATCAGCAGAAGAGAAGCCAGTGATAAAAGCTTCCGCTGGTGGCCAAAACTCTCAGAACGAGGGCCAAGCAAGGCTAATTTGCTTTGCGCCTCCAGCCAGCGTTGAGGTCAAACTCGTACTATTTCTCTCTTTTTTTCTGAGGTGGAGAGACAGACCGACAAAAAAAAAAGATAGAAAAACTCAGAGAAAGAACACGACTGTTGCTCTCCATCTCTGGCAAGCGCAACATGAGCTTTAGGGGTAAATGGTGGAGCCAGTTTCAGTCTAATGAGGAGGTTTCGCCCTCTCCGAAGCCTGACTCACAACCAAAGCATCATCGTCATCGTCACCCAGGGAGCACCAGTAATGTCACTTTTAGCCCGAGAGGAGTGTTAAACAGGCCTAATGACTCCAGGAATGTTCACTTGGCGCTGGGTGCAGTGGACTTTAAGTAAAGCAGCCCCACAGAGCCGTCAGCCTGTCAGAGGCGATCACCGAACTGACATCTCCCAGCCTCATCAATCCAGACAGCGGCTTCAGAGAGCATGTGCGGCCTATTCGGCAGCCAGAGGACACATCTGGGCTATTAAAGAGGAGGAGGGAATGAAAGCAAAAAAAGAGCAATCAAACAGCCCATCAGGCCTCCCTCCGCCTGACCGGCTCGTCTCCTGCATCTCGCGATGCATCTCTTCGTATTAAAGAGAGGCGAGCTGACGAGAGGATTGTTTTGGGGGACTCCTGGAATCAATGCTGGATGAACACAAACAAGCAGTTGGCGGCGATTAAAGCAGGTGCCGTGCCGTGTGTGAATAGGGACATGCGAGAGAGTGACTGATGTTTGTGGTTTCTCATAAAAGGGAGAGTTCACCCAAAATTAACATTCTGTCATCGTTAATTTATCCTTCACTATTTCAAGATTTCTTTTTGATGAGTTTTTTTATCTTCTGTAGAACATGAAAGGAGATATTTTGATTAATGTTGGGGGGGAAAAGGCAGAAAACCTGACTTCTATACAATAAAAATAAATCATATGGAAGTCAATGGTTACAGGTTTATTAGATGACTTTAAAGTGACCAATATTCTAAATAAAAGCACACAGTTGTTGGGTTTTGAGGTTCTCTTAAAAGGAAGAGTTCACCCAAAAAAGAGCATTTTGTCATCATATATTTCAAGTCCAAATTTCCTCTTGATGAGTTATTTTTCTTCTGTTAAACAAAGAAAGATATGTTGAAGAATGTTGGGGGAAAAGCTGAAAACCTGACTTCTACAGAATGAAAATAATTACTATGTAGGTCAATGGTTACAGGTTTATCAGATGATTTTAAAGCGACTGATGTTCTGAATAAAACACACTGTTGTTAGGTTTTTGAGATTCTCTTAAAAGGATAGTTCACCCAAATTCTTTATTCTGTCATCGATTATTCATCCTTCAACTTTACTAAATTTCTTTTTGATGAGTTTTTTTCTTTTCTAGAACTTAAAGGAAAATATATTAAAGAATGTTGGGGAAAAGCTGAAAACCTGACTTGTATAGAAAAAAATAAACACTATGGAAGTCAATGGTAACAGGTTTATCAGATGACTTTAAACTGACTCATGTTCTGAATAAAAACACACTGTTTTTGGGATTTGTGGTTTCTTTTAAAGAGAGTTCACTCAAAAATCATCATTATTATTATTCACCATTTATTTTTATTTTTTTACTTATTATGTTTATTTAGTTTTTTCAATGGGAAGTAATAGGCTGTTGAGGGAGGTAAGTGTTTATTTTGGGTGGTGTTAACAACAACATGGAAGAATAATTATAAAAATGATTGTTGTAAATAATTTTCCATTTGATTTTAATATTAAATTTGTAATGACTTCAATAAAAAAAATAATAAAAAAAAAAATTCAGGGCACTTTTTCATGCAAGACAGCTAACATGATCAATATGCTGCAGTGCCCGTGTGGTTTTTGTTGTCTCGGAAAGATGAGTACGCCTTTAAAATTTGTTATTTCTGAACATCGATGTGCTATTTTATATTATGATCCTGGAAGTCCGAGGGGTGATCTTAATAAATTGCTGTTACAACGTTTTGGATTTTAACTAGATACATTGTCTCCAAAAGGTTTAAATGAGTTTGATATTTGGTCTTTTCTTTAATGTTTAACTAGTTGTTAGGGTAAAGGTTTTTTGGCAATTTTTTTTGTATTTCTGTTATATTCTGTTTTTCTTTATTTGGGATGTATTATTAGGATTAGTTTTTTGTATTTTTGTTTTGAAAATATAAGTTGTATAATTGATAAATGCTTATTTTTTTATTTTTTTATTCTAAGATCATGTGTGAGAACGTTTGATCCGAAAGCGTATAAAAAATACAGCAACATACTGTGATGAACAGTCTAATAAAGAGTGCTTGAAATGTCCTTCTATCAGCCTTTTTTAATAGAATAAACTGTCATTTTTGGAGCTTTGGTGTTGCCGCCTTTTTGAATACATATTGACTTTTTTTTTTTTTTTTAGCTTCCCAGGTTCTGCAGGTTGTAAAGTCCCGAATTTTGCTTGCCAATGTTAAGCCAATTGTAATGGTTTGTTTTGGTTCAATTTGGAATTTTCCCAACCAGCGCAGAGCCTAGGGGACCAGAGTGAGTGCTCCGACTTGGCCTCCCCCGGTCTGAATATAATGATGACCGTCATTTGTATTAACAATCAACTACTCAATTGATTGTAAACCTTAAAGAAATCATTTACTCTCCCTCATATGGTTGAAACCTTTGAGTTTCTTTCTTCTGTTGAACTTAAAAGTAGATATTTAGAAAAATGCTGGCATCCATTGACTTCCATGCAATTTTTTTTTCCAACTATGGATGTCAACGGATGCCAGCATTTTCCAAAACATCTTCTTTTGTGTTTAACAAAAGAAAAAAATCTCAATAAGTTTAGAACAAATGTGTGTAAAAATGACAGAAATTCACTTTTGGGTCACCTATCCCTTTAATCATTGACATTCCTAGTATCAAAAGTAGTATCGAAGAGTTAAAAACATGAATTCAGAATTGGCACAAACTAAACTCGACCCAAACATTCACACAGATTCGAGCAAACGGCTGCACCAACATCAAGAGAAGAAAAACAAATAAAATACCACCCCAGACAGCCGTCTTTCAAAAGTCCCGAAAAGACCTGCCAACGAACCCGGCACTGAACAAACTGTGAAGCGCTTTAATAAACACTGAAATAACAACGCTGTGGAACAACGCAGACAATTGCAAGCAGGTGTTTGTGTTGCTGTGCGGCAGACGCCTTCAGAAGAGAGATTACCTTTCTTCTCCATGCGCTTCATGTCCATCAGCTTCTCCACGTTGCGCGGGTCGCTCAACCACAGCTGCATGCGCACGAACGGCTCGCGACCCTTCAGGCTGAGCTTGTGCCAGGGTTTGGGTCGAGCCAGCAGATCAGACACTGAGCCCTGCGTCAAACCCAGAATGCTCTCCCCGAACAGACGCTGGCCTGTGGAGCAAACACAAACAAACATATTCAGCTAGAAACCTTCACATAGGCAAGTTACAGATCAGATTTACATTGTGCGTCACTTGAATTTGATTTGAATGAACTGACTAATTGAACATCACCATGACTTTTATTCAATATAGTTTGCAAATATTAATGATTTCATGATACTGTATCCACACAGACACAAACATCCAAATGATAAAACCCTTAATTATAAATTTAGAAAGTCTGAAGCAGAGATGGGTGTAACGCGTTCCCAGTGGTGGAAAGAGTACTGAAAAATCATACTCATGTACAAGTACCATTACTTGCCCAATAATGTAGTGCAAGTAGAGGAAAAGTATCTGTTGTGAATATTACTCAAAGTATGAGTAAAAAATAGCCCTTTAAAATGTACTCAAGAGTAGTGAGTAGAGAGTATTACACTGTAAGAAGCTGATGCATTTACATGTCATTTGTCGATGTGTGTAAACGTAACATTCTGTAGTGCTTTTAGTTATTGTCCAGCAGGCACACAACGTCATAAGATGTTAATGTTAGGTTAGATTTAGTTTGTGATGCCAGTTGATTAAAAGTCTAGCCAGCATCTAAGAATACTTCATCTAATGGTATTTTGATGTCCAATAATGTCATCAAATGACGGACCAAAATTCAACGTTGAGCCATCATCTTAAAACAAGACCGTATTGACATCAAGTACTGATATTTGGCAGGCATGGCAACCAAAATCCAACATCTGATAGACGTCATAGTGGTTTCGGTCATCATACAGTAAACATCCTTCATCTTCTCATCAGTGACATGCAAAGATTTTGGACGTCTTCTTAAACACTTTTAATGCTTCCCAACAGTTTGCTGCTATTATAAATCGCCCATGTCTGGAGGTAGTTCATTATGAGGCGATTTACCTTCTATGTGCGATTTGATTGGACAGGAATCACAGGACTGATTTTTCTAATCCCCATACACATTTATAAAACTAGTTAGTTGTTGCGTGTGGCGTTCACTCCTGCCATTAATAATTACTTTCAATTAATCTTGTTTGTCCTTTTCCCTTTTCAGTTTTCTATTGGTTAATCTGGTGGCGTCAGGCCTTTAAAACGAACAGAAGCGGACTTCTACAGCCCCTCATTCCTCCACGTCATCACAGTCTTTGACGGCTTTATTGTTGTGTTCTCCTTTATGCTTTCCTTTTGATATTTGTTTGGAGTGGGGAGCTCCAACCTGCTTTAGGTTTGTTTGGTTGTTCTTTATTATGTTGTTGGGCTCCCCATCTCTTGTCAATTTGGATTGTTTTGTTGGTTATGTTATATTAATAAATAATTTAGCTGGAGAACTTTGGCCGTTGTTTATTATGTTACGTTGTCTTTTGGTCACGAGTCTTATTTAAGTTAGGGACCGTAACATTAGTTAATTTCAATTCCTGAGAAAAACAACTCAATTACAGTACTGTAGTTTGAGTATTTGTATTTGTAACACCACTACGCGTTCCACAGTATCATGTTACTGTATTCTAATTTAATTTTTGGGAATCGCAGTAATGTAACCAATTACATTTTAAATTTGTGTAATTTGATTTTAGTTACTAAAGTCAATGTAATTGCGTTATTTACAATGCAAATATAGTTTTTAGAGAAAAAAAAGGCTTCTTTTAGATCACGTTTTCCACTGCAACGTCAGTTAATAAACATGCACTTTCAAATTGCTGAAGAGTATGAGCTGAAACGACTGCTGACGAGAGCGGTTGCTTTTTCAAGTGGACAAACAGACATTACTTTTTCTTTCTTTCTTTCTTTCTTTCTACCTAGCATATTTTTACCTAAATAATATGAAAAAGGTTATATATACATATTTTATAGTAATATTATTATCTAAAATATATACACAAACATTTATATTTATATACACAGACACGCACGCACGCACACACACACACACACACACACACACACAAGTATAAATATATAAAACACACATTTAAATACAGTATTTGTAATGTATGTGTTATATGTATGTGTACTGTATATATAGACATATACAGTTGAAGAGAGAATTATTAGCCCCCATCGAATTTTTTTCTTCTTTTTTAAATATTTGCCAAATGATGTTTAGCAGAGCAAGGAAATGTTTACAGTATGTCTAAAAATATTTTTTCTTCTGGAGAAAGTCTTTTTTTTTTTTTCGGCTAGAATAAAAGCATTTTTTTAAACACCATTTTAAGGACAAAATTATTAGCCCGTTTAAGCTATATATTTTTTGATAGTATACAGAACAAACCATCGTTATACAATAACTTACCTATTTAACCTAACATGCCTAGTTAACCTAATTAACCTAGTTAAGCCTTTAAATGTCATTTTCAGCCATATAGAAGTGTCTTGAAAAATATCTAGTCAAATATTATTTACTGTCATCATGGCTAAAATAAAATAAATCAGTTATTAGAGATCAGTAATTAAAACTATTATGTTTATAAATGTGTTAAAAAAAATCTGCTCTTCAACAAACAGAAATTGGGAAAAAAATAAACAAGTGGTCTAGTAATTCAGGGGGGCTAATGATTCTGACTGCAACTGTATACATAAACATTTAAAATGTCAGTTCATTTGATATCTGCTTTTTGTTTTGTTTCACTCTCTTTACAGAGTTTTTATTCACTTTTATGTTTGTTTTCCTTATTTTTCTTTGGTTTATAGTTTTTTTAACATGCCGTATTTATTTATTTTGACAATAACATGCATTTATGATCATGCCTTTATTGTACTGCAGCATCAAAGTTGGATCAAACGAACCCTGCTGATTTTGCTTTTAACCTCCACCTTTTAAGACAAGGTGCTTTTCAAACAGTTTTCAACGGCCGCTTAAGCTTTCAACCACCTTTTTTTTCCTCCACTGGAAATAAAAGGCACCTGAATCCTCTCGACAATAACCGCGATCTGTCTGTGTTCAAAAAGGAAATGTTCCCCAGAGTAAAACAAAAGCCTGAGATCCCAGCAGATTCCTCCTCTCTCTCTCTCCCCGCAGACTCAGATCAACACAGCTGTCTTTACATTCAGCACTTTATACAGGTCAACACCACAACACAGCACAACAAATCTTTGTTGCTCCCAGACAAAAAAAAAAAGAAACCTCACGTCTGCAAATGAGGATCGGCGAGATGAAAGCGAGCGTCACAGTATCACACTGAGCTGAGTCTGTATTCTCCTCTCTTATATGGTGTGTGAGATCACATGACTTTAAAAGAAGAGTGTTCACAGAGACAAAGGGCCTGTTTACACCTGATATTGAAGTCCCCCTTGAAATAAATAAATGTTTTTTTGGGGGCGTTGATATTAAGTGTGCTAGGTTTCTAGGGTTCCTATAAGCGAGTGTGCTCCAAGACTGTTACAAGATTCTTAAAGCTTGCCGTTTTATTATACAACATTGCAGTTTTATATACAATATACTTTAACAATTTTATGACACCACAGCACACTGATCTTCAGACCAATCAAATGCTCTCTAGTATCTGAATGGATAGCTGCATGGATGGATGTATAGACAAAAAAGCATAGATGGATGGATGGATGGGCAAAATTATGCATATATGGATGGATGGATGGATGCATGCATGCATGGATGGATGGATGGATGGATGCATGGACGGATGGATGGATGGACAAAAAGAATGCATAGATGGATATATGGATGGATGGATGGATGAATGGATGGACAAAAAGAATGCATGGATGGATGGATGGAAGGATGGATGGACAAAAAGAATGCATAGATGGATGGATGGATGGATGAATGGGGAAGGGATGGATGGACAAAAGTATGCATAGATAGATGGATAGATGGATGGATGGATGGATGGATGAACGAACAAGTATGCATAGATGGATGGATAGATACATAGATGAATAGATAAATGGATAAATGCATGGATGGATGGATGGATGGATGGAAGGATGGATGGATGGATGGCTGGACAAGTATACATGGATGGATGGATACATAGAGGAATAGATAAATGGATAAATGCATGGATGGATGATGGATGGATGGATGGATGGACAAGTATGCATGGATGAATAGATACATAGATTAATAGATAAATGGATAGATCCATGGATGGATGGATGGATGGATAAATGGATGGAGGGATGGATGGATGGGTGGACAAGTTTACATAGATGAATGGATGGATGAACGGATTAATGTATGGACAAAATATACAAAGATGGATAAATGGATGGATGGATGGACAAGTATACATAGATGGATAAATACATAGAGGAATAGATAAATGGATAGATGCATGGGTGGATGGATGGATGGATGGATGGATGGACAAAAGTATGGATGGACAGATAGATGGATCAATAAAAGTATGGATAGATGGACACATACTATTTTTTACCTAACTTTATCTAATGTTCATACTTCTGTGCTGGACATTTAAGCAAATTAGCACATATATAACTAAATCTAAACATCGCCTCTGAACAGCAATTTGTGTCTGCAATTACTCAACGTATTTTTACTAAGTTTGAATTAACATAATATATCAACCTTCAGGAGTTCAAATATGGTAAAAAATACCTCAACCTGATGTACAATGAAGCTTATCTGAAATACCGTGAATGGCTAAGAGTGTAAATTCACACTAAAACTAACACGACTTCCTGGTCAATTAAGAGTCTCCAAAGCAATTTATTCTGACCAGAAAAATTCTACGACATGATCTCATCAACTGAAACAAATCTTTATACCAGGTGTAAACAGGCTGATTGTGTTTTGAACATGAGGCCGCTTTCGGCGGCGGTTGCGAGTCAACATAAACTGTGAAGGAGAGAACAGCTTTGTCCAGCGTGACATTCTCTATCGACCTCTCATTAATTACGGCCAGGACGAGGAAATCGGTCATTAAGAGCTAAAGCAGGGCCAGTCTGTCCTCCACCTGTCCTCTCATGTGGAGACACACATTATTACATGAACCGTCTCTCCAGGACAAAACCCATGATGTACTGTATCTAATAATGAGCACAATAGGAAGCGCTGTTCACAAGTCTGATTCACTTCAGCCAATCAGATCACTTACATTTGAATCAATCACCTTTTCTGAAAGTGCTAATCAAGTATTCAGAGCACTTGGCAAATGGTTTGACTGATTTGAAAGAACTCAATTTAAAACTATTTATGCACTAATTGAAGAATATTACGGCTTGTGAGTTTTTCAGTTGACAAATGCATTTAGGATTTTATATATATTTTTTTATCTTAGTCGAGTAACTAATCTAGTTGCTATTAATAGTTCTAAATATGAATTATGTTATTGTTTTTCCTTGTTGTTATAAGTAATTTTTTTATTGTATCTCCTTTTTATTTTAGCTATTTTAATAATAATCTTTTTTTTTAATCTTTGTTGTTTTATTGTTAAGTTAAATGAAAGAGAAATAATTCCTTGGCAACCACGCTAAAATTACGATTTTTTGAAATTGAAACAACCCAATTTTATGTGTTTTAGGATCTAATTCTTGCTTAAGATAGCATGATTAAGATGCTTTGTTTCCAGTGAGGACTTAGAGAAACGTGTTCATGCTTTATTCACCAGCAGAGTGGATTACTGTAATGCAGTGGTCCCTTATTAACCCTTATATTACCGGAGACTGGTTAACGTTTGACAATTTTACTGTGGACCGTTTTCTCAGAGAAAGACAAGCAAACAAAATATTGCTGTCACTCAGATACAAGTTTTATTTATAGAAAAAATGACAAAGCACTGCAGTGTTTAGGTGTTCTGTGTTCGAGAAATGTGATATGTGAACGGCCAGTAAAAAGGCCATAATTTGCAATCTCGAGCAGTTGATCTTAGGCCGATCACACTGAACACGCTTGTTGCGCCCTGCGTGCCTCACTTTTTACCAGCCGCCTGCAGTGACAGCAGTGTTTGTGTTTTCAAGACAACAACTGAGACTTTTAAAGATGGAGGAGAGACTTGTGGTATCTGTTTTGAGTTATCAAGAGCTGTATGACTTCTTGAACGTTGAAAGTCAACATTATTAAATATTAAAATTATATTAATTTCAACAGCAACACACACAATAACCAGCTGATTCAGTCATTGTCTAGTGACATAAAAAAAGCACAGCGCGCTTCTTTTTTTCTAGTCAATAAAAAAGGCAGTGAGGTGCGCCTCGTGTTTTTGGAACGTACAGTAAATGTGTGTTCAGTGTGATCGGCCTCTTAGACAGCCATGGTGGATTTACCTGATTTGTTGACAAATAGGTTGCGGATCCATTCCTTGGCAGGTCCTTCACTGGGCCTTTTACCCAACTTTTAGAAACTTTCCAAAGACGTCAGTTTCTTACTCATCTTACAGCTTGTGGGTTAAATTTGGCCGCTCAAGTGACCGAGATGCAACCCAAAGAATTTGGTCATTTTTCATATTAAAAGACTTTTCAAAATAAAAGATCGTTCAGACTAGGATAATAAATTAAATTGCAAATAATTAAAGATTTCTTGTGCGGCCCGGTACCAATTGATCCATGGACCAACTGTATACCGGTCAGCGGCCCGGTGGTTGAGGATCATTGCTGTAACGGACTCCTCACCGGCCTTCCCAAAAAGACAGTCAGACAGTTGCAGCTCATCCAGACTGCTGCTACCAGAAATATGACCAGGACCAGAAAATCAGAGCACATCACCTGTCCTCAGGTCTTTACACTGGCTCCCAGTCACATTCAGAATAGATTTTAAAGTATAATAACTCTTCTATAAATCACTATATGGCCTAGAACAGGGGTGCTCAATCCTGTTCCTGGAGAGCCACCTTCCTGCAGATTTCAGTTGCTACCCATATCAAACACACCTGAACCAATTAATTAGGACCTGAACACCACTTGATAATTACAGGCAGGTGTGTTTGATATGGGTAGCAACTGAAATCTGCAGGACGGTAGATTTCCAGGAACAGGATTGAGCACCCCTGGCCTAGAACCTCAATACATAACAGATATGCTCACTGAATGCAAACCTAACAGATCACTCAGATCTTTAGGATCATATAAACTATATAAACTAGAAAATCCAAGCAGGGTGAATCTGCCATCAGCTACTAACAGCGCCCCCCGCTACTGGAATCAGCTTCCAGAAGTGATCAGATGTGCTCCACCATTAGGCACATTCAAATCAAGACTGAAAACACTGTTTAGCTGTTATTTTACTGAATGAGCACTGTGCGACATCCCACAGATCGCACTATTGGGTCTTTCTTTTCTTTTTCATTGCTCTATAACCTGTTTTAACACATTTTAAATGTTTTTAATACGTTTCAATCCTCTTAATCGTTTTTATTTCCTTGTTTATTTAATTTTTGTTTATGTAAAGCATTTTGAATGACCATTTTGTGTATGAAAAGTGCGTTTGAAACAAACCTGTCTTGCCTTGATGTTGTGAATTATATCTCTTTGCAATAATAAAAACAATACACTGATCATCTTCTGTTTTGCTAACACACTCACCCAGGTTGTTATCAGTGAGGACTTCTTTGACTTTTTTCGTGATGACGTACGTGTCCAGCTCGGCTGACATGGCCACCATCTCCTGAATGCTGAGACCGGCCTGTCCCGGCAGAGGCAGCGGCAGCGGCGTCCCGGGCTGAGACTCGGAGGCTTCGCTGGGCTCCTGGACGGAGGATCGGCACATCTGCTCCTCCTGCTGGCTCTTCACAGACTCCTCAGCCGAGCTCAGGGGGGATTCTGGGGCAGGACTGCAGCTGGCCGAGGTTTTGGGGGTGATTTCTGTGGAAAGGGAGACGTTAAGACGTTGCGCCAGTGAGCCGGGCATTACTTATCGACAGAAGGCCTGAATGAAGATCAGTCTAAATATGGAGAGGGTGAAGCCAATGAAAGCGTAACCCCAAACCGAGGTCTTCCTGCTCAGCAACAGAAAGTGATGGACAGTGACAGATGCATCGTGTCATGCCAAGTCACAGCTTCTGTTCGAGCATAATGAGACAAATAAATTAAGGAAGACGGGAGACTCAATGTGGGGCACGCATACAGAGCTTTCTGGGTTTAAAGGGACTGTTTAATCATAAATAAAAATGTATTTATTAGTGATTAACCTCTATTTATTAAATATTTTTAATAATAATTTTATCTTTGCAATTGTGCAATTAATATTTTTTATTATTTTATCCTAATTTACTAAATAACTACATTAAATAATAATAATTTATCAATAAATGACATAATTTTTGTCATAAAAACTATTATTATAGTATAATTGTGCAATTACAAGGGATTGTTTAATCATAAATACAAACTATTTTATCACTAATTCACCACAATTTATTAAATAATAACATTTGATATTTTTAATTTTAAATTCCATCAGTTTTTGGTCAATAATACTTTATTTTTACTGTAATTGTGCAACTACAAGAGATTCTTTTAATTAAAAATAAAATTATTTTATCACTAATTGATGCAGTGGATGGCACAATTGCCTGACAACAAGAAGGTCACTAGTTCGAGCCTCGGTTGGGACAGTTGGCATTTCTGTGTGGAGTTTGCATGTTCTTGCCATGTTGGCATGGGTTTCCTCCTGTTTCCCCCACAGTCCAAACACATTTTATTGAATAATTACATTAATTACAATTATTTTATTAATAAATTACATATATTTTGATAATTGTTTTTTTTACTCTAATTGTGCAATTTAAGGGATTGTTTAACCATGAATACATTTTTATTAACAATTAACCACAATTTACTAAATAATTATATTGATTATTTTATTATTAAATTACAGAATTTTTGTCATTAATAATTTTATTTTTATTCTAATTGTGCAATTACAATAAATTGTTTTAATAAATAAAGATTATTTTATTACTAATTAACCACAATTTATTAAATGATTACATTTATTAATATTAATAATAGTTTTGTCATCTTTTTTTATTAATAATTATTTTTTACAATTACAATCATAAAAAGTATTTCAGAGTGGGCAAATTTTTTTTTTTTAATTCTTATTAATACCTTTAAATATGCATTTATTAAAGAAAAGGTGTACTTTTTTAATAAATAAAAACCATATTCATTTTATTTAATAAATAAAAACTAAATAAATAAAATAATAAAAATGAATTGCAGCCATAATCTATGCGTAAACAAAACTATTTTAAATGCTCACTTAAACAAAAAAATATTTTAAATAAAATATTTAGATGTTAATAATATATATTTTTCCACATTTAATATTCAATACATCCATTCATTTGTAAAAGTCTTATAATTTACATTTCATTTATAATACCTTAAGTACTTGCATTAATAATCACAAAAAATGTATATATAAATCTATATAAAATAAATCTATATAAAGCTCTCTTTCTATATATATAACAAATATATATATAAACATATATATATATATATACATATATATATGTATATATATATATATATATATATATATATATATATATATATATATATATATATATATATATATATATATATATATATATATATATATATATAAATCTCAATCGTAAAACAACATGGCTTCATTTTGTATGTTAACAACAAACAACCCAAAGTCATTCATGTCCAAAACTCCATAACGTTTCTAAATAATTAGCGATTTCCAAAATTTTGCCTGAATTACTCTATTAATATACAGACAGTGAGGAGCAAGTCCCTCTCTAACACTCTCCTCTCTGTTATTCCCCATGCTCTTCAGTCTGTGATTGGCTGGCTGTGGCAGTGAGTGCGGTGCTGGTGGTGAAGTGAGCATCGGGACGGAGCGTCAGTTTGGATTAACCGCCTGCCGAGCTGCAGGACACGGCGAGCAGAGAGCAGGAGCTCCAGGCGGAGAACAGCCAGTCATATCAGATCTGCAGCAAGACCACGCACTGCCTGCTGACAGTTTGACTGGCGGCGCGCTCTCTCTGTGTGTGTGTCTCTCTGCGCGTGTGTGTGTGAGGTGTTTTAGGGACACGAGCAGGAATGACGGGATGTTCCTGTGACATGCAGCAAGTAACCCGTGCGTCTGCGTGTGATAAAGAGGACAGGAGGGGTGGACACATCTGGACACACAGCTGGTGGACAAACACACACACACATATACAGAGAGAGAGAAGCCCAAAACGTGAAAGCCTACATCTGTCCAGCCCTAATTTTGATGCATGATGGGATTGAGTCTACAAACGGGTTTATAATCCGGCCCAAAACATCAGATCGATATTGTTCTATGTGTACACTTATATTTAGGCATGAACTGAACTACAGGAAAACGTGTAATAAGCAGCATTTTTATAATTTATCATAACAAAAAAAAGCTTTCTGACAGATTCAAATAGAAATAGAGTAATCAAATTGCACATATTAAACATTTGCACACATTAAAGTAGCACAAATTGATTGCACTAATCCATCTTGAACTGTACATATCCACTGTACATTTGTAATTATGTTCATATATATCTGCATACCTCTGATTATTAATAGCAACCTGTACATATATTCCTCTACTGTAAATCTGTTCATGAGTACTGTCAATTAATGTTCAGAGCACATCCATCTGTGAATATCACCATGGCTTTTCTATAATTGCACTTTGTAACTTCTCTATCCTGCATTTGCTGCTATAGCACTCCTGGTTAGATCTAATCTGCATTTTGCCATATCAGTCCACTCGCTTTCTCTTCCTTGCATTTTTCTCTTGCTCTGCTTTTGTCGCGTGCGTTTAGAAAATACCCTGTCTAACAGTGTTTTGTTGTTGCTCGTTTCTGTGTGCACGTTATCCGTCCGTTATTCGTACATCGTTCTTAGTTTATCGTTGTTTACGAGGCTTGGACGAAGCGGACAGGTAAGAAGGTCACGTGACATACATTTCGCAACACATAGGAATACTTCCTATGTGTTTATACTGTTTTTCACATAGTTAGTTAGCTAGATGCTTCTGGGAAGTTAGATTTAGTTTGGGTTTTGTTCTTTTCATTTCTTTAGCGTCACCCCGCGTCCCTTCTGCCAGCTCTCTTGTTTTTTCCCGTCTTTATTTGTTTCAGTGTTGTACATATTGTAAATAGTATATTTTTGCCTTTTTCTTTATTTTTGATTAATTCGTTGTTGTTGTTCACTTTGGGATTGTAAATAAAAACGCATATATTTTGGCATTACTTTGGTTGTCTTTCCACTCATTCACTGTTTATATAAATATATTTTAATTCAATAAATGTCAAACCCCACAACCCTAGACTAACATCAGGGGTTTGTAACACATTTTGTACCTGTACATGTGTAATGACAGTTAAGTTGAATCTAACATAAAAGCATTTGAAAAGATTTTACTGAATAAATGATTTTTGAATAAATGCAGTGAGCATGAGAGAGTACTTTAAGAGATATTAGAAAACTTGCAATGCCAAAAGTGAAAAATTTGAGGTCAAGAAGTTTGAAATATTCTGAATCTTTATGTTTTTAAATAGTCCTCAAATGCTCATCTATGTGATAGATTACAAATCTAATGTGTTATATTTCTGTAGTATAGTGTAGAATTGAGCAATCCTGCAACTCTAAATAAGCTGATGGCATGATATTTATCATAATTAAATTGGTTTGTAACGATTTTCTGAATGATTTAAACAGAAATCGAATAATACAATATCGTAAAAGCATTTTAAAAGATTTTACTGTATCTTTTACTGTATTTAAAAAAAATACAGATCATTTATCATAATAAAAAAGGTTTGTTTTGAATCGCAAATAATCTTTTATTAAAGCTTTCTGTAGGATAAAAACAGAAATTGAAGAATAAAGCATTTTAAAAGGTTCTACTGTATCTTTACTGTATTTCTTAATAAATATATGCAGTGAACAACATAAGAGAGTACTTTAACAAAGATTTTTAAATCTTACAATTTCAAAAGGGAAAAGTTTGAGGTTAATAGGTTGTAATTTTGTGCTAAAAGTTCACATTTAAACAGTCCTCAAATGATTATCTCTGTGTTATACCTCTCTTAATTTTACTGTATCTTTTACTGTATTTTCAAATAAATAAATGCAGTGAGCATAAGAAAGTACTTTAATAATATTTTCAAAACTTTAAAATACCAAAAGTTAAAAGTTTGAGGTCAATAGGTTGTAATTTTGTTCTATTTTGTTCTAAAAGTTCACATTTAAATAGTCCTCAAACGTTATCTCTGTGATAGAATACATATTTAACACAATATATTTTTATAATATAATGCAGAATTTTGCAATTCTGCTCTCCTAAATTTATACAAGCAAGATTTTTTGATCATTTATCATAACCAAAAGGTTTGTTTCAAGCTGCAATCATCTTTTAATGAGGCTTTCTGAAGGATTCAAATAGAATTAGAATAATGAAATGTAGTAAAAGTATTTTAAAAGATTTAACTGTAACTTTTACAGTATTTTTGAGCAAATAAAAGCAGTAAACATAAGAGAGTACTTTAACAAACATTCAAAACTCTTACAGTAGCAAAAGTGAAAAGTTTGAGGTCAATACATTTTACTTTTGTTCTAAAAGTTTACATTTAAATAGTGCTCAAATGCTTATCTCTGTCATCAAATACAAATTTCATTCACAACAGTAGAATAGTTTTGTAGAATTGTGTGTAACTTTGCAATTCTGCTACTCTAAATTAGTTTATTATAATCATTTTGTGGCAGACAAATGCATGCTTAATTTTGACATTCACATATATGAAATTACTTGCTTATATTTGAACATCAAGCTAACATTTGACATGTCAATGTCAAAT